GAGCGCTCACTAATGGGTCCTCATCAACTTGGGGGAAATTGATAAGTGGAGTGCCACAGGCCTCCGTCCTGGACCCATTGTTGTTCAATGTCTTTATAAACAACTTAGATGAAGGCATTGAGGGGATGCTCATCCAATCTTCAGATGACACCAAGATGGGAGGGTTAGCCAGTGCTGTTGAAGACAGATGTCTCAACAGACATGCACAAGAATGCACACACACACACACACACACACACACTGATTCAGGTGTGTTTTGAACTTTCCCACAAATAAGGTATTGGGAACTAGTAACCAACTTAAGCATTGTACTGATGATGATGATGATGATGATGATGATGATATTTGTATACCCCATCCTTCATCATGGTTCACAGCATAAAAATACAAAATGAGAATATAAAATATAAAATAAATGTTTACTTGTAGGTAAGTTCCACTGTGTTCAATGGAGTTTACTACCAGGTAAGTATGCATAAATGATTTCAACTTAAAGATCTGACAACTTTGAACATGAACAAGGCTTTGTCAGCAGCCTGGATGCCACGTTCTAAACCAGCTGAAACTTCCAAAGGCTTTTCAAAAGTCACCCCATGTATAATTAGTAGGTTCACCAACCCCCGGGGAACAGGAGACTAGAGTTACGCACTGAAATACATTGTAATTGTTAGAAGGCCCAGGAGAAAGGTATTTAAATATTATCCTGCGATTCTGGAAAAGCAGAGAAGCTCAGTAACATCTACATAATGTGTTCCTTGTCTTCTTTCCTGAATGCACCCGTTGTCCAGCATAACTTGACTTCTCATAATTACATATAATTAAATAAAGTAAAATTAAGTGTGACTGGTAAGATAGAAGACTAGGGTAGTAGCGGGAAAATGCACGGCCTCTGTATGTGCGAATGTGATATTCACTTCAGAATATGTTGTTATTAGAGTGCAGCATAACGCGTACATTTGAATGGTCGCACAGGGGTGTAGGAAGGGGGGGGGGCGCCCCAGGTGCCATCATGGGGAATTGTTCCTTTATCAAGGAACAATTACTGCCCTACTAGGGCGGTTCATAAAAACCTTTTTTTAAAAAATGCCTGCTGCGAAGGTCTTATCTTACTACAGTAGGGATTATATAGCTATATATGAAATTTCATGCATATCAGTTAATATACTGACCCTCCTCCATGAAAATAGCTGTTTACTTGGCTGTTTTCCTATGTCGTGAAGGCTGAAATTTCAATTCAGTGGAGCAGGGTTGAGATATTAACTGATATGCATGAAATTTCAGATAGAGACTTTGAGAGTATGTTGTCCCTTACTCATGAAAAAGAACAGAAACTAAATCTCAAACACCTTATCCCCTTTTGACATGCCCCTGATAGCCATACATAATTAGTGGCGCTGATTTGCCTTTCCAGGGACGAGCAACGGCCAGTTGTGCTGCTGTCAATGAAAATAACATTTCCCCATAATTTTTGCACTGTATTGCAGGCCCACTGTGCATGGAAAGAGGAACCACAATTCCCAAAGCCTTTTCAACACAATGGGGACAGTGATGAATCATTGTATTTTAATATTCTGCTGGAAGCCGCCCAGAGTGGCTGGGGAAACCCAGTCAGATGGGCGGGGTATAAATAAATAAATAAATAATATTATTAAGACCACCACCTGAAGGAAGGCAGAGGATAATTGGGGGGGGGAGCAGGACCACATCCACTCCCATTTGTTTTCAACAAGGACAAGGGGAACACAGATTTGCTGAAAATGTGCATACATTTGCTAACATACATACATATATGCACATTTAGAAATAAATGCTATAATTTAAATAGTCAAGTACATATCTTGCATTTCTATCTGCTGTCTGGGTTTTGTTTGATTGGCAACTTCAAGACGTCTGCTCTTTTTTTGGTCCTAAGCTGGGACTGGAAAGGCCTTTAAACCGAGAACATCTTTAAAAAGAGGATTGTCCTCTGTACAGTAGGACATCTGGCCACTTTAAAACAGTTGTGTGTGCAAATTTTATACCAAAATTTGCAGATGGGAGGGAAGAGGAGGTGATGTAATTCTGTTTCCTCATTCAGTATATACATGGGTGGGGAACAGCTGAACAAGCTATGGGTTTACAGGGATTGCTATGAGTCACATTTTACTGTGTCATGAGCCCTCTGATATATTTACCAGAAAACTTCTGGTATCTGCTACAGCTGGATGTTTAATGTGAAGTATTTGTTCTACTGATAAGCTGACCTTAGAGCAAGCATAAAAAATAAATCATTAGATGGGTAGACACTGTCCACTGAAGACTGAATTCAGTCCCTTTTCTGGGATAGTTTTTGCATAAGGACATCAGAAAATGAAAAAGGGTAATGCCTAGGACTTTCCGATCAGAAGGTTGGCGGTTCGAATCCATGCAACGGGGTAATCCATGCTCCTGCCAACCTAGCAGTTTGAAAGCACGTCAAAGTGCAAGTAGATAAATAGGTACCGCTCTGGCAGGAAGGTAAACGGCGTTTCTGTGCGCTGCTCTGGTTTGCCAGAAGCAGTTTAGTCATGCTGGCCACATTACCCGGAAGCTGTACGCTGGCTCCCTTGGCCAATAAAGTGAGATGAGCGCCGCAACCCCAGAGTCGGCCATGACTGGACCTAATGGTCCGGGGTCCCTTTACCTTTTAAGCAACTCTCTCTCGTGGAATGATATGTAATCTGATATCAAAGTGCAAAATAAATATTTATCCATCTAACACTCAGGATAGATGTATGTCAGACCCTCCAAGTGTCCCTATTTTTCAGGGACAGTCCTGGATTTACAGAAGTCACTCCCAGTTTCTGATTTGATCCTGGAACGTCCCACTTTTCCTTAAAGGTAAAGGGACCCCTGACCATTAGGTCCAGTCGTGGCCAACTCTGGGGTTGTGGCGCTCATCTCACTTTTTTGGCCGAGTTTCACGGGTGAAATGTTGGAGGGTATGGAGTTATCTGACCCCTGCAGCATAGGCGCCGACTCCATGGGGCTTGAGGGGGCTCGAGCCCCCTCAAAAAATTTTTTGGGGGGGCTCAGCCCCCCAATAATCTCGGGCGCCGGGGGCGGGGGCTCCTGCCTCGCTGCTTCGCAGCACCACCGCCACTGCCAAGGCACTGCCGGGGGGAATTTCCTTCCTCCTGGCGGTTTCAGCCCCCGCGAGAACAGGGGAATCCCGACTGGCCACACCTCCCAGCCAGCCAATCGGCTGGCTGGGGGGGCATGGCTTGCCCTATTTAGGGCCGGAGCCACTTTATTTGCATATTCATGAGCTTATTTATTATTCATGAGCTTTCCCGGGCCCCCCCAATATTTTTTATAAGTCCGCGTCCCTGCCCTGCAGCCATCTGAAGGCAGCCCTGTATATGGTGTGTTTTTTTAAAAAATGTTTTATTATGTTTTTATATATGTTGGAAGCTGCCCAAAGTGGCTGGGCTAAGTCAGTTAGATGCATGGGGTATAAACAGTAAAATGATTATTATGGGAAATCCCTATTTTCACCAGAGAAATGTTGGAAGACATGGTAGGGCCTTCTGGCGGTTCCCTCGCTGCGAGGTAGAGGGCCTTCTCGGTGGTGGCATCCGCCCTGTGGAACCGCCGTCCCATCAGATGTCAAGGAAATAAACTATCTGACTTTTGGTATCTGAAGAAGTGTGCATGCACACGAAAGCTCATACCAAGAACTAACTTAGTTGGTCTTTAAGGTGCTACTGGAAGGAATTTTTTTTGTTTTGACTTTTAGAAGACATTTGAAGGCAACAATGTTTAGGGGAGTTTTTAATGTCTAATGTTTTATGATTCTTTTAGGTGCTGTGTGCCACCCAGAGTGGGTATCAATGGGCAGGGTATAAATAAATTATTATTATTATTATTATTATTATTATTATTATTATTATTAGTGTCAAACTGGCCATGTCCTCCTTTGTACTACCATCCAAAAACCCCACTTCCCTCAGCTTCATTCTCGTCAAATTTTGGCAACAGCCTACTATCATTTTAAGCTGGGTTTCCCAATGGTTGCCTTCCCCTCAGATAAGAGGCACTTGCTGACAATTTGGCGCAAAATGGAAAGAAGTCCCAGCAAAGGAAGACCGGATATAAAAACTTATGGAATATACAGAAATGGCGAAACTTACTGGAAAAATCAAAAATCAAGATAACCAACTTTTTATAAAAGAATGGAAATGGTTTATTGAATATTTACAGATAAATTGCAAACTGATAAAAACATTGGCAGGACTATTGTAACAACCGGCAGTTTCATTAAGAGCGCATATGTAAAGCAGATAATTAAACGAGCAAATTAAATGAATTTGGATATGCAGAAGGTATTAAAAAAACAAATTTAAGGAACTGCAGAAAGATGGGGAAGTCAAGCTTTGAAATGTTAGAATGATTGTAAAATGAATGAAATGTATAAATCTGAAAAGTGTATATATATATATAGAGAGAGAGAGAGAGAATTTGGCGCAAAAGACAACAGCCTTTTGAAGGAAAGGAAATTAATAATAATAGTAATAATATACAAAGAAGAATGAAGGCAGGGATACCCGCTATGACCGCCTTCGTCAACTCATTACCACACTAATGATAACTTATGTTGGAAATGTAAAGAGAAAGAAGGCACTTTTTTCATATGTGGTGGACGTGTCCCAATGTGAAAGACTTTTGGGAAAAGATTTATAATTAATTTTTAAAAAATGTTGAAAAATACATTTATTAAGAAACCAGAAGCCTTTCTACTTGGAATAACAGGACCGGAACTGCCCAAGAAGGATGTCAGACTGTTTTTGTATGCCACTACAGCAGCAAGACTTTTATTAGCCAAAAATTGGAAATTGCAAGAAATACTGACATTAGAAGAATGGCAGATGAAGATGGACTTTTTGGAGCTGGCTGACCTGACTGGAAGAATCTGCGACCAGAAAGAGGAGGAAACACAAGAAGACTGGAAGAAATTTAAAGAATATTTAGTGAGATACTGTAATATAAGATAATTAGGAAATCCCTAGAAGTAACAGACTAAGGGATAGAAAAAGGTTAATAATAAAAATTATTATGGATGACAATTGGAAGTAAGCTTGAGAAGTTTGTTATGAAGTTTGTTATATTTATGTTATAAATATGAAATTGGGAACTGCTAAATATGTAATATGAAATCCAGATTGGAGGGTGTCGGGGAAGCCTTTTAGCAATGTAAATACACCAGGGAATAAGAAGAAAAAATTCTTCTTTTATTTTGTGTGTTTTTATTGTTGATAATTTTTTATGTTGTGTCAAATGTAATGTTTTTCTTTTGTGTTTTTGTCTATGCGTTATAAGAGAAAACGACTAAATTTTCTGGAAAACCAAAACTCTGAGGCGGGAGGGCGCCTCGAAACCGCCTTTTCCTCCCGCCTCACACAACCACGCCATGAGGTCGCCATTTCCCCCGTATCCCGCCCTCAGGAGGGCCGCCTTTTTTGCGCGGGCCAGGGGCACTTCGCCGCCCCCATCCCCTCACCCCGAGCTGCCCAGCCATCTCCCTCCGTAAAAATCCCTTTCCCCGCTCCCTCGCTTTCGTTTTCGGCGCCTGCGCCTCCTCCCGCTTCCCTCCCCTTGACGAGGCTCGGGAAAGCCAAGCCGCCAGGCCGGCCGAGCTCATTTCCCGCCTCTTTTCTCCTCCCCGCCTCGAGCCCGGCGGGGCAAACGGCCGCAACGAAAGCGCCATCTACGGGCATGGGGCGCGCACTGCCGGCTCCCTTCGCCGCCGCCACCCCTCCTCCTCCTCCGTCGCGGCCGAGCGGGCAGGAGGGAGCCTGCCGCGGGGCTGCGGGGTTTGTGGGGGGGGGGATCCCTCCGAGCTGCTCTCGCTGAGGGAAAGTTTGTGTCCGCCGAGGGAGACATGAGCGGAGGCCGGAGGGGGAGCAGCAGGAGCTGCCGGGGCGACGAGGAGGAGGAGAGGGAAGCGGCTCTCCAGAAGCTCATCGTCCGCCTGAAGAATGTCCAGGAAGGGAAGCAGATCGAGACCCTCGTCCAGATCCTGAGGGATCTCCTCGCCTTCGCCTCGTCGCCCAGCGGTAATCTCCGGAGAGCAGCCTTCGCCTTTCGGGGTTTTATTCTTGCTTGGCTTTCCGAGCTGTTGAGTAACGTGGCAATAACTTTTTCGCTCTCTCTCTCTCTCACTCCCCCCCCCCCGGCATTTTCCTATTTTGCTTTTCCTTTTTATTTCTTTTCTTTCTCCCTCTTTGGTCTCGCTCAGGTCCTCCCTTGCTCGTCGGGAAGAACGTCCACGTGCCTCTGTTGTTGGTGCTGGCCTCGTACATGAGGGCGGCGAGCGTGCAGCAGGTAAAGAAATAAAAGCACGTTTAAAAGAAGAACGGGAAATGCTTGCATGGGTGAAAAGATGTGTGCATTTCTAAAAAAAACCCGCTGGCAGCACTGAGATGATAAATTCAACGGTGTAGATCAGTTTTGAGGGATGCAACACTGAATGGTTTCACGTATATAAAATAGGCAGGGATTTGTGGTATGTAAAAGGGACACGGGTGGCGCTGTGCATAGGCGCCGACTCCATGGGGCTTGAGGGGGCCCGAGCCCCCTCAAAAATTCGTTTGGGGGGCTCCGCCCCCCCCAATAATCTCCGGCGCCCCTCCAGCAGAGCGCCATCGCCGCCCCTCCCCCAGCCCAAAATGCACAGGGAGGGGCGGGCTGCATGCCTCCTGCCCTCCCTCCCGAGCAAAAGCTCCACCCAATTTCCTTTGGAGCTGATTAATAGGCGCAGCACGCTCTCCCCTATTCGCTCACGAGGAGGCGGCGCCACTTTATTTGCATATTCATGAGCTTATTTATTATTCATGAGCTTTCCCGGCCCCCCCCCCAATTATTTTTTTATAAGTCCGCGTCCCTGGCGCTGTGGGTTAAAGCCTCAGCGCCTAGGACTTGCCGATCGAAAGGTTGGCGGTTCGAATCCCCGCGGCGGGGTGCGCTCCCGTCGTTCGGTCCCAGCGCCTGCCAACCTAGCAGTTCGAAAGCACTCCCGGGTGCAAGTAGATAAATAGGGACCGCTTACTAGCAGGAAGGTAAACGGCGTTCCGTGTGCTGCGCTGGCTCACCAGATGCAGCTTGTCACGCTGGCCACGTGACCCGGAAGTGTCTGCGGACAGCGCTGGCTCCCGGCCTCTAGAGTGAGATGAGCGCACAACCCTAGAGTCTGGCAAGACTGGCCCGTACGGGCAGGGGTACCTTTACCTTTACCTTGTGGTATGTAAAATGAGAAAGAGAAGAAGGGAAGCCGCTGGTTTAAGGTGGTTTAAAAGAATACAGTGGTACCTCGGGTTACATACGCTTCAGGTTACATACGCTTCAGGTTACAGACTCCGTAACCCAGAAATAGTGCTTCAGGTTAAGAACTTTGCTTCAGGATAAGAACAGAAATCGGGCTCCAGCGGCAGCAGGAGGCTCCATTAGCTAAAGTGGTGCTTCAGGTTAAGAACAGTTTCAGGTTAAGAACAGACCTCCGGAACGAATGAAGTACTTAACCCGAGGTACCACTGTATTCTAAAATGTAAAATAGAAAAACTTAATAAAAATCCTACAAAATAAAAAATAAAGAACTGTTTGTTGGGTCGTAGAATTGAGCACTTGGAAGGGGACCCCCCCACCGGTCATCTCGTCCAAGGCAGGAAGAAGCAGGTGGCCCAAATGGCAATCAGACCCCTTGGCTTTATCAGCGACATGCTCTAACCCACTGAGCTATCGGCTCCTCTTTTTTTATACTTCTCCCACCCCTGCTCCTAGCCCAGCGCATAGAGAATTGTGGAGTCAGAACCACAAGGGTCGTCTAGTCCAACCCCCTGAGATGCAGGAATCTTTTGCTCAAACCCAGAACCCTGAGATTAAGAGAGTCGTGATCTACTCACTGAGCTATCCCAGCAGATGAAGAACAATTTGACTTTGTTTTCTCCAACCTCACTTTATTGCAGGGTGATGTCTACTGCAAAGTTTAATATGATATCAGGATATAGAAAGGGATGCCCAAATGGAAATCCTAGGTCCGAAGATGCTCTTTGTGGTGATTGGGGATGTCTCAACTCAATTTGTACCCATTTCTAAAGCAAATTTGGGTTCAGTTCATATCTCTCTGAAAGGCGCATGTGTGAGTTACTTGAAAATGGGGAAGCAAGAAAAAACGTGCCATCCTGAAGACAAACTATTAGGCTCATGACATAAGCATTCATCCTTAAGGGGCCCTAAGACTTGAAGTTTCAGCTGCTAGTGCATGAGACTATTATGTCTACCCTTTGAAAATGAGAGTACTGCAAAAATAAGTGACTTGAATGTTCAAGTTCAGCCATCATTCCAGTTCCGTAAATCCAATTGACCTTGTCTTGAAGCTCTTCCCCTGGGGCATTTCTACCTTTTGTAAACCACCCTTTGATGCTTGAATGAAGGGCAATATAGAAATTTAATAAATAAAAATAATACATTTTAACAATTTGATGACTGACAATGGTGTAACCCATGAAATTCTTGACATTATTTTCATGTCGGGAAAAATGTTAACTATAAAATATGTGCTGCAGGAGTAGACTTCAGCATGCTGTCTCATTTTGGTTAAGTTTAAAAGCAGTGCAAGTTGAAAGGAAATAAACCCATCTATTATATGTCTTAAGATTTGCCCTGGATGTTCTAACAGGCTAGCCCACTTTAAAACAACAATGTGAAAAGTATTATTTAAAGGAGTTATTCAAATTTGCTTAATTTGCATGTATAATTTTAATTGAGATATGTAACTATAAGTATTTTCAAACAACGTTCTTAGAAAACATGAATACAATATAGTTAGAGACTGCATGTCAAGAAATTTACATGTCTGTTCCATCCAGCTGATATAAATGGTTTCTGCTTTAAGTGCACGACATATTGTATAATAAGCAGAGAATATTACACCTCAAGCAGTAATTTTAAATAAAGGAAACTGTTGGAATGCGAACCATACATTTTAAAAAGGAAATTATGTGGCTGTGTTTAGTTATCATAATAATATGAGTGTTTTTCAGGCAGAAATGAACAAGAAGGCAGCTGGCAGCCTCTATGTCCTATCAAGTCTGGTTCTGCTTTTGGGGGAGGGTACCTGTGAAGATCTCTCCATGATTAAGTTATCATACACTCAAATAAGAAGTTATTTTTCCCCCTGTTCTGTTCAGGGTTTGATCCTTCTGCATAGTCAAAGAAATGGATGCTTTGGACAAAGTTGATGATTATGGGCTCTTTGCACTGCTGTGGCCTTTTTTCATCAGGACTAATCAACATGCTAGTTTATTATTGGCTTCATGACTGCAATACAAGCAGTGGCTTGTGCCGTAAAGCCAAATGTGCATCCTACACAATGCATTTCTGGAAATAAGCGATTTGCTATGTTTTTATAAAATCTACCAAATCAAGTGGCTAAAGCTTTTCCTTCAAAGTGTGAGGGGAGGAGTTTGAAGGAATGTGGACGAGGAAATATTTGATCACTGCACTCTTGGGGGAAAAAGTAGAATACAGTGGACGCTTGGGTTGCAAATGTGATCCGTGTGGGATGCACTTTCGCAACCCGGAGCGTTCTGCCTGAAATGGTAGATTCCATGATAATTCCTCCCATTTTGATTCTGCTGATTATTTGAAGTGGCTTTTAGTTATGTTGTCACTGAGGAACAGGGCTGTCCTGAGGGCCCTTATACACAAGCACAAGGCATTTCTGGCAGCTCTTGTCTTTTCACTTTCATGCCACTCTCCAAAGGCCCTTGAAGCAACACTCCTAAGAGACGCAATGACTTTCCCCCTACTTGCTTGTAGTTCCATGTTCAATGCTTGGACTGTTGCTGGGTAGCAAAGCACCGGATGCTGCTGTCACTGCAAAGGGTTGGATCAGGAGAGAAATAACAAGAAAAACTTGGGCCAATCTCATCATATTTTGTGCCTTGTTAACTTGTATGCTGCGTCCTATTAATTTGTTGGACTAGATGACCCTTGGGATCCCTTCCGACTCTACAATTCTATGATTCTAGGAATTGAAAACCAATTTCAGATCCTCATGACAGTGTGTTTTATCTCTTGAAATTGACAGAAGGAGAAGTACCATATTTTTTCGCTCCATAAGACACACTTTTTCCCTCCTAAAAAGTAAGGGGGAATGTGTGTGCATCTTATCAAGTGAATGGCGCTGCACAGAGAGAGAGAGCTGCGCAGCGCCCCTTCAGCGAAGCGGGAGGAAAAATGGAAGGGGCTCCGTTCCTTCTCCTGCTTCGCTGGAGAGGCGCTGCGCAGAGGAGAGATTTTTTTTCTTGTTTTCCTCTAAAAACTAGGTGCGTCTTCTAGAGCGAAAAATACGGTAATGTCCTTAGGTGATTTGCCTTTACTATCTTAATGCTTTTAGGGTAAACTAGAAGTTTGTATTTCAGACCTCAGTTTCTGAATTTGACTAAATAAGTAATACAGTTAAAATGCAAATATGTACTTGTGTTGCGAATTGGTCACATGGCATGCATAAATTGGCAGGACGCCTCTGGAATCCTTTCAGATTACCACTTCGATGTTTATTCTGCAGAGATCTGACCTTTTAAGTGTGTACAGTTGAAAGTATATTCCATGTAGTTTACCATTTAAACGGATATTCTTTGAACTGGAGTGATGTGGGCATTGCTTCCACATTGTCTGGACATGCAGTGCATTGATAACACATTAATAGACTGCGTCCACAATGCCTATCTCAATATGTATGATGCATACATTATCAGTGAATTACCAAGCTGAAGTCTCTCTTATGGAAGCTTGAGTAATGTTGGGAAATCCCTAAGCATGTGAATGAGGCTCCAAAGGTGTCTTGTGACAATAGCAGTAGCTGTCAACTTTTTTTTTGACTGGCAGTTGGAATCAAATGCAGAATGAAAATACCCAAATTGTGCCATAGGAGGAAGTGTTTATGTGTATGTGTATTTAAATAGCAATTGTGTGTGAAAGAGAGATAATATTTTTGAAGCAAAAAATCAATAAAAATTCCCCTCAAACCAGTATACGTTAAAAACTAGTATCTCAATCTGAATAGTGTAATAGCATGTTTTGAAAGTTGGACTAAATCTGCCATTGTAACAGTCCATCCTCAGAACTTTGTAGTTGTAAAGTCTTGTGATGGTGCAAAAAAGAGCTTGATGTGTGCTTTGAAAACTAGTTGTGTTTTTTGCTTTTAAGGTGGGATGGTCGCTTCTTTGCAAACTTATCGAAGTTTGCCCAGAAACGCTTCATAACTTAGCAGCTCCTCAAGGTGTTGGGAAGGATTGGGAAGTGCTTGGTGTTCACCAGTAAGTACATTAATGTTTTAAAAATAGTGTAATGTGTACAATTCAGTGTTTCCACAAAATGGAAATACATAGAAATTACTGTTATTACTGGAGAAATGTGATAAGGTAAAGGTACCCCTGCCCATACGGGCCAGTCTTGACAGACTCTAGGGTTGTGCGCCCATCTCACTCAAGAGGCCGGGGGCCAGCGCTGTCCGGAGACACTTCTGGGTCACGTGGCCAGCGTGACATCGCTGCTCTGGCGAGCCAGAGCCGCACACGGAAACGCCGTTTACCTTCCCGCTAGTAAGCGGTCCCTATTTATCTACTTGCACCCGGGAGTGCTTTGAACTGCTAGGTTGGCAGGCGCTGGGACCGAACAACGGGAGCACACCCCGCTGCGGGGATTCGAACCGCCGACCTTTTGATCGGCAAGCCCTAGGCGCTGAGGCTTTTACCCACAGCGCCACCTGCGTCCCTGGAGAAATGTGATACTCTTCTCTAAACCTTTGTTAACTATTTCAATTTCTGGGCAAAATCAAGCAAGCCTTACTTTTATCACAGTTTTGGGGCAAGTGTTGTGGGGGTTGTTTTTTTTGACCTAATAATTTCCCATTTGAGATTGTGGGGCTGTTCGCTAGGTTTGGAAAGAAACAAAATATGAAAAAAAATTCCTAGAATGGTGTGCCATTTTAGCATTTCTAATGTATAAATGTATTGTTGTGTTTGGTTTTATTCTTTTGTGGCAGGGTGACTTTAGTGTAAATGTTTACTGTTATGTTTAAAAGCTGTTTATCACCTAGTGTATTTGTATTGTTTTAAAATATGTGTTTTGTCAGAGTTCCCTGCAAGAATATTGATAACTTACACTAAAAACAAGTGAATAATAAATTGTCACTAACAGTTGGCAGAAGATTTGCTTCTTCTCCTTTGACTCAATAACCAAATGTATGAATCGTTCTCAGAAGAGAAGAAAGAACAGTTGTAAATATAATAAGTTGGTGTTTAATTTTGCATGTTGTTACTATGGACCAGAATATAATATCTGATGTCGGGGATACCTGATTGTCTCAGCCTCACTATGTGAAAAACACAGGTTTAGACATCTGCCACCAATTCTCTCAGAATGTTTACAAAACCTGCTGGTAGTTAGCTTAGATGTGAAGTGGATGCCACCACTAGACAAAGGACAATATTTTAACTAAGATTGTTTTATTGAGTGGAAACTATGTACATAAGGAAGCAGCATTACAGTATTTACATTAAGGTCTTAAAAGTGCTTGACAAGAGTTTCTATAGCCTCAAGACAATGTTGCTGACCCCAGCCTTTTAGTGGCTTTTACCTCAGGCCAAATTCCATTATCTTCCACCCTAGCCACAACCCACCACTCCCACAACCCAGTCTAGCCGCTGCAGACAGTCTGCCTCCTAAATTTCCTTCTCTGCTTGTACAGTGGTACCTCTAGTTGCAGACTTAATCCATTTTGGGGTGCCGTTTGCACCCCAAAAAGTCCGCAACTAGAGTGCCTCTTTCTGCACATGTGCGCTGCACAATCGAGCGCTTCTGTGCATGCACGTGGCGCGCAGATCACTTATGTGCATGTGCACGCCGCGTTTGTAAGCTGAAAGTCCATAACAAGAGCGGAACACAACTTGAGGTACCACTGTACTGGCTGCTTGGACAGGTTAGGCCACTTGTGTAATCTCAGGAGAACTTTTCAGCCCAACTCAATCACCAGGTCTTTTTCAATCTTGACCACACAAGTATTAACAACACACAAAGTATTAATATCCAGGCCTTAGCTATTCTCCTCAGCTTTTCTCTCTGCTCACTCCTTCCTTTTTTATTATGAATTTATTTATGATTTTCAATTTTACACATTTCAATAATTTTATAATCATTTTAACATTTCAAAACTTGTCTTCCTTCCCCCTCTTTCTGCAGTTCCTTAAATTTATTTTTAATATTTTCAGCATATCCAAATTAACTCAATTTACTCATTTGTTCATCTACTTTAAATATATACTTTTATAAAACTGCAGGTTATTACAATAATCCTGCCAATGTTCTTATCTGTTTACAATTTATTTGTAAATATTCAATAAACCATTTCCATTCTTTTATAAAAAGTTGGTTATCTTGATTTCTTATTCTTCCGGTAAGTTTCGCCATTTCTGCATATTCCATAATTTTTTGTATTCATTCTTCCTTTGCTGGGACTTCTTCTTTCCATATCTGGGCAAGTAATGTTCTTGCCGCTGTAGTAGCGTACATAAATAAATTTCTATACAGTTTGGGCAGTTCTGTCCCTATAATCCCAAAAGGAAATTGCTCACTCCTTCCTCGTCAACTCCTTTCTGTTCCACCTCCTCAACTGCTTTTCCTTAACTGACAGTTGACTTCCCTGCGACATATAACTCCCACCTGACTGGACCTTCAGCCAATCAGATTCTTTTCTTAACCACACCAGCCAGACTAAGAAGGTAAAGGACCCCTGCATGGTTAAGTCCAGTCAAAGGTGACTGTGGCGTTCTTCAGGCCCGAGGAAGCCTAAATTAACCTGATTCAGGACCCACTTAATAAAATCTGAGACTGGCTCCCTCTCTCCTCTGTTAGAACCAGTCACCAAAAACTGCTGCTACACAAGGCTGTGGCATCTTAACACAAGGGGTCCTGCCCAGATGGAACCACTGTTCAGATTATATTCCCCTCCAGTTTATATCATTTTCCTTCCAACAAGCCATTGTACTGCTTATAGGATCTGTGCATAAGCTTCAAAGAAGCAAATGGGTGGGGTATAAATATTTTATTACTATTATTAGGTTTCTTGCAGAGGAAATTGATTACAAATGCGTGAGGTTGGGTAGAGCTAATTTGGGCAACAACTTCTATAGCACAGAAGGGGCCTGGGTGGAAGGTTTGGAGAAGATGGGCTTTTTCTCATTACATTCTTAGTTTTACCTAAGTGTCTCTAGCTTTTGATGAGTTTTTAGGGTGGTAATAAGTCCATCTCTCTTTCTTATGAGCTGAGTAAAAAATCACGGAAATGTGATATTAATGCCTATTTTGTCTATTGTGTATATTTGTATATTAATATCAAGCGGATGGCCTGGATATGCTAAAGGAAATCTTAAAAATGTACACGCAACAGCAGTGCTGTAAGATGATTAAAACTTTCAGAAAAATATCTGTCCCTTTTTAGAGAACAGAAACTTCTGTAACTGATGAATTTTTCATGAAAGCTTTTGCCATAATGAATGTGTTAGTCTTTAAGATGCCACAGGACTCTTGGATGTTTCTGTTGTAGAACTAGGCTAAATCTGCCCAGACAGCCTACCTTGTCCCTTGGGTCTGATGACTAATGTTGTGGTAAATAGTACCGTAACCATTTTCAAGGAGGAAAAAAAGTAAAGTCTCCTAGTTACTTTCTGAATATTTCAACATCTGTTTTGTCACAGAGCTTTCAGGAAGTAGGGGAGGTGAAAACATTTCACTTCTGTCTTTAAACAGCTTTTGAGGTTGTGAATACTGGGAGAGAGGTTTCCGCAATAAGTTTTACTGTTGATCTGAGTAGTGAACTAATAATTTTCTGCGTGTGTTTTTTACCCCACCTTCGTATTGGTAGCTGCTTCTTACTATATTAGTTCATAGGCTTACACATATTTCCTACTCCTAATTTTCATGATGTTTGTCCCTTGATAAACGCAGAGTTGGAGTTACATGTGTGGAGTTCTGCCTATTAAATGGGGTGTTGCAGCATCTCGATTCTGCCTTCTTCCTGTACCCTTAAACAATCTGCCTTAGGTAGGTGGGTAACCATAGCAGCAAGTGAAATTATACTTGGGGATGAGGGGGGTTTGGCAAAAATCCCCCCCCTTCTGTTCACAGGGGCCTCTTCTGGGCTCAAGCCCTTTCATCGGCAGGAGGACACTTGGATCCAGCCAAAAATGTTTTGTAAGGTCACATAAATGTATACTTCCCCAGAAATCGAGAAGAAAATCCATCATTTGATAGACCTGTCAAACTGTAGCAGGTTAGCTCCTGTCCCCTCCTGCTGTTTCCAGCAAATGGTATTCAGACGCATACTAGCTCCGGCCATGAAAGTGTAACCATTGCGGCTGGTAGCCACTTATCTTCCATGAATTTCCCCAATCCTTTCTTAAAAATAATCAAACACTACTACTTTTGGGAGTGAAATCCACAGTTTAACTCTGAATCTTCCAACACTCAATTTCACTGGATAGCCCTGAATTCAAGTGTTAATGAGAGGGAGAAAAAACTTTTCTCAATCCATTTTCTCCACACCATGCATCATTTCACACAACTCTTTCTCCCCTTACTCACCTTTTCTCTAAAATAAAAAGCCGCAGATTTTGTAACCTTTCCTTATAAGGGAGTTGCTCCATTCTCTTGATCATTTTTGGTTTCCTTTTCCCAAACCTTTTACAGCTCTACAATACCCTTTCTGAGGTGGGGTGATGAAAACCGTGCACAGTATTCAAAATGTGTTTACACCATATATTTGTATAATGGCTTTATGATACTGATGTTTTTATTTTCAGTTCCTTTCCTAATGATTCCTACCATGACACTTGCGTTCTTTGCAGCTTCCATGCACTGGCTCAACACCTTCATGGAGCTATATCTGACACTATACACTACAGTTCCAAGGTTTCACTAGTTTAGACCCCATGAGTGTTTGTGTGAAATTACAATTTTTTTTGTCCCAGTGTGCCAACACATTGAATTGCATTTGCCATTGAAGTGCATTGTCCATAAACCCAGTTTGGAGATATCCTTTTTGGAATCCTTCACAATCTCTCGTCATTTTAACCACCCTGCATGATTTAGTATCGTTGGCAAACTTTGCTATCTCAATGCTCACCATTGACTCTAAATAATATACAGGTTCTAAGCTGCATATGTGGCATTAGCATTTAAGTTAAATTGCAGTACTTGAACACAGCATGTGCAACTGGGAAGATAAAAAATTCTGATGTTGATCTTAAGGAATAACAATACAGTATATAATATAAAAGCAGATGTGCCACATTAAGAAAGTGGGAAACCCACCTGACACATTAAGGGAAGAATAAGATTGACAGCAAAACCAGCTGTTCTCTGTGTGTTTGTGTTTATACACACATTTATAAACTGACACCAGGTAATTGCCTTGCTGCCTGCTAAAAACATTTTTGTTCAGTTCTATTTGATCAAAAAAATGACCACTAAGCATATGCAGAGTAACTTTCATCACTAAGAATAGGTTGCCGTTGTCATCCTCTTAAAATTAATTATCCCCAGGGCAGACAGCAAGGATGTCACATAGATATGAGCCGTCTTTCTTGTTAGAGATTAAGCACTGCTTGCCCTCCCTGGATTATATTCTGAGAGCAATCCATTTTTTCTCTAATGAAACTGATAGTGCTCCTACTTTCACTACTACCAAATGACATGATAGAACTTCATATCTGACTATATCTTCTTATTCTTTTATCGCTGTACACAGTTGAATTTGGGATGAGTTGAAGGTATACAGCACTGCTGCCTAAGACATTGTATTCCATAGCCTGTGGAGCCATTCTAAAAGTTTGGAGGAAATTTGCCCTATCCCTTCATTTCTGCATATCTTTGAAGCTTTATTTACATGCACTGAATGCAAAGCTAATAATTAGACCCTTTGGGGAAATATCACCCTGGTATGTGACAAGGTTTTAAGCAGATTTGAATCTTTCCTTGGAGTCTGTCAGTGCAGAGTTTAATGATACAAGGCGGTTGCACAGGAGACAGTTGTGCCTTGGAGTACCCTCTGCAGCATAATAAATATTGACAATGTACCATGGCAGCTTAACAAGTATCATGCTTAATTAGTGTGTTAAGCTGAATCTTCCTTTCTAAATGTCTCAGACTTCTTCAACAACAGCTAAATCACTCTTCCTATAGTTAGTGCAAAAAGCTGAGGATGCTCTGTCTTATTGGCAGAAGTTCAACCATGATTTGAAGTCATTGCAGGACCATGTTTGTATCATGTAGATGCTTTCAGCTGCATTGCATTTCACCAGTGTACATTCGTACCTCAGGTTACATACGCTTCAGGTTACATACGCTTCAGGTTACAGACTCTAACCCAGAAATAGTGCTTCAGGTTAAGAACTTTGCTTCAGGATGAGAACAGACATTGTGCTCCGGCGGCATGGCAGCCGCAGGAGGCCCCATTAGCTAAAGTGGTGTTTCAGGTTAAATACAGTTTCAGGTTAAGAACGGACCTCCAGAACGAATTAAGTACTTAACCCGAGGTACCACTGTACCATAAATATCTTACGAATACTTTGCTATATGAGCGCCTCCATGCATTTGTATGCAAAGGGGCAGCGGTCAAGGTCATTTGGTCGTTGTTTGCCTATGAGCCTTGCTATATCCTCAGCAACGATGCCAGTCCCTTCAGCCAGAACTCATTTTGGTTCAAGTGTATGCACGGAGTGCGGAGAATGCATAGAACCTTCCTCTGATAATCCAGGAGATCCTTATTTATTTTATTACACTTGTATCCCATTCATATCCCCACCACCACCAAGGACCTTAGGGCAGTTCTATCCCCTTTTCATTCTTGGAACGCTTTGAGGTAGGTTAGGCTGATTTGATAGTGACTGGACTAGGGCTTTTGAAATTCATGGCTGAGTATTTGAATTTTAGTCTCCCCAATCTAACACTCTAACCCAGGGCAGTCCAACATGCAGTCCTCAAGCCCTTTTTTAGCAGCTCTTGGTAACATTTCATGCCCCTTACCCTCCTGTGAAGTGCTGGACTTTGGCAAGGAGGTGTGAGGGCTCTGACAGGGTCCTAGAGTCCTGCAGCCTCTTTCCCCAAGCCTAATTCGTGCTTTCTCAGTTTTGGGAAGGAGGTGGGAGGGTTCTAGGACCTGTTAGAGCCTCACGCCTCATTCTCAAAGCCTGGCTCCTCACTTATCCAGCTTTGGAAAGGCAGTATGAGGGTGGGTGGGTGTCAAATTTTGACTGTGCTCCCCCCACCTCTGCACAACAAGGCAGTGTGCGGCCTGTGGGTTATGTGTCGAAGTACTTTTGGATCCCATTTGGTCTGAAAAGTTGGGCTCCTCTGCTCTAATCAATTTGGCTCCCTTTGATATTTTGGGTGATGTGAGAGGGTCCCTAGAGGCCTGAATGCTCAGTATACAGGCAGATATTTGATGATAGCCACCTGATATAGATAGTGAGATTTGTGTTCAGAGGTGCATGGATATACATCTGGATAGTCATCCATGTTGTGATATCCATTCAGATTCCATTAGCTAGTTGTGTCTTTTGAAGCATATGTCCATCTCACTTGATAGTTATTCGTTGTTGCACGCAACTAGAAGCATCTATGTATGTCATGTGATTTTTATTCACTCTGATGTGGAAGGAAAGTACTTGCTTTCTTGAAACTTAATGTGAGTGTTTTGTTCTGGTATCAAGTTCATTTTTTCTGTTTCCACTTCAGGCACATTCTTAAGATGCTTAAAAACCACAATGTGAACATACACCTTTCAACAGTTGGCCTCAAAGCATTAAATATGCTTCTCTCTTCAGGTACTGCCTTTTCCAAATGTTACAATTACTTAGGGTTAGAATACTGTACAGAATGCTGCCAGTCTTGCATTGACCTTAACCTTTTACCTTTACCTTACCTTTAACAATTGGTCTGGTGGCTGCTTAATCTATATTGCATTAGTTAATGCATAAGCACCTCCTATCCCAGGAGAAAAAAAGTGTGTACGTGTGCCATCAGTATCCCATTCCTGGATTGAGCAGGCAGCTGTTCCAGTGTGGCAGAAGCTGTTCAAACATAGAGCCAGAAGCATAATTGAAAATGGCACAAAACTCTTCGATCATTCTGCAACATTTATCTGTGGAAGCAGGGAGGTAAGCAGCCACCCACTTTATGCTCTTAAAAGGGTGGAAGAGGTAGATTGTTAAATCACATTTCGGCATGAGACCAAGGTGTCACCCTTCCTAGTAAAAGGATTCAAATTATTTTACATCATGAGAATTCTGGTCCCAGGGACTTCAAAGCAAACATGTTACCTGTTGCTTTGCTGAGGGACACAAACTTTACTTGTATTTTTTTGCACATCAGTAACACAATTATGTTTTTTGCTTGAATCCTGCATTGCCTATTATCAAATTATATAGATGCAGAAAATGTGTAAAACGGCTGCTAACACTTTTACTTTTGAGGACATTGCCATTTTTTATGATAACGGCAATGGATTGACAGTAGGATTAAGGATTAATGCTGTTCTAGTACAATATTTATTTGGTAGTAAGTAGGGATGGGGAAGAAATTCAATTCAGTTTGCTTGTAAAGGTGAATTTATATAATCCACATACAGTGCTGTAAAATAATTCACACTTCTCAGAATTTTCCAATGCCAAGCATTATGTACAAAAGTGTGTATACTAGGTTAAAGTGTGTGTGTAATTGCATATGTTAGTGAAAATTACATACAAAATGCATTACAGTATGGGAAATCACTTTACAAAAATATGTGCACAGGGAAAATTGCACACAAAAACGTGTTTATCAGGAGAAATGTGCACTAAAATGGTGACAAATTATCCTGGTTTTTGTTTTTAATCACAAACTGATGTGGAAATGTGGAGGATTGAATTTAAGATTGGAAGAATCTGACAAATTGCCCATTCCTAGTAGGAAGTCCCATCAAATGCAGTGGGTTGTACTTCCATTCTACATAAACATGCATCAGATTGTTATGTAATTTAGGCGTGCAATCTACACGCATACCTGGGAGTAAGTCCCACTGAATCTTTGTGGCTTATTTTTGACAATCCAGTTCTGAGATAATGTATTTTTAAAGTGGTTTGTGACTGCAGAAAAAAAGAAATATTTTGGTAAACCTGCAACTCCCCCCCCCCCATTTGTAGATGCAATAACACTTCTTCTCTTGGAGGAAGGAACAGACGTATTTTTACTGATATTTGATGCCATGGACACATTTTCTGATAATGAGGAGATCCAGAAATATGGATGTAAAGCTTTGCACATGCTTCTTGAAAAAGGTAAATTGTGAGAACAGGTATTTTTGCTCTACGAGTTCTTAGTGTTGCCTGATGAAACATGAAATATGTTTGTGAAATAAGGTGTTCTGGAAGAAAATACTGTGTAGTTAAATTCTCAGCTGAATCATTTAAATTACTCATTTTCCTAGCACTGTTTTGGAAAATAAAGTGACAGCAGTAGTTCTGGGTGACAGCAGTAGTTCTGGGTGGGTAGCAATGATAACCTGCAATTGTAAGCTGCTGCTTACAAGAAGAGTTGATTAGCCAAGGTGATATTAATTAAAGAAACCACCTCTTCCTAAGATTGACAGCTGCAGGAGTGTGTGGATATCTGCATCATCACTAGTGCTGGGAGCTGCAGACTGTCCAGTAAATAAGGACACATATCCCAGATCACTTGATGTTGAATTGGTACCTTTATAGTCTTTAATTAACCAGTCTGTCTACTGATTGGTGTCAAAGCAGATCCCACCATTCCTTTAAATACATTCCTTGCCCTGCCAAGCACTGGAAAACCCAAGGTATAAAAGAGGTGCTATGTGGTTGCCTTTAGTGCTCCTTTGCTTGTGTTTGGGAAATTTTGTGACTGCTGTGGCCAGCTGCAAATCTTCTGTGACACAGCAGCAGGAGTGGTAATGACATACGGTCAATACACAAATGCTGTATCTGGATCATGGGTATCTCTTGGATCTTGTGGCAGAGCTTGGCCTGTTAAGCATCCACCCACAGTTTTTGTGAATTTAACATTTAGTTAATAGCACCAAAAACTGATCAGTTCATGCTGAAAAATCTATGTTAACCTTGGAAATCCTCTTCTGAAAATGGTATGGTTTTGTGTTTTTTTTTTAAAAAAAAATCATTTTCTGTAAGCAGATTGAAGTCAATAAACTTGTTTGATGCCAAAAAGGTGTTACGCATTATTCTTCCCACAATTTGCCATGTACAGTAGTGATTTCAGAACTTTCTAGTAGACTTTTATTTTTAAAATCTTATTTTCTTTGGAGATTGTCTATCTACTATCCTTTAATTATACAACAGTCCAAAGTCCTTTGTGTCTGACTTGTGTTTTGTTTGGAAGACAATAATAAAAAGAAAATTGTATAAAGTTGGTTCATCAGTAAGGACTGCAACTCAGCGATAGAGTGCGTGCTTAGCACACACAAGGCCCCAGGTACAATATCCAGAATCTTCAGGTAGGTCTAGGAGGGACCTTGGTCTGAAAACGTGGAAACCCGCTTCTAATCAGCATGGACAATACTGATCTAGATGGACCAGTGGTCTGACTCAGTATATGGCAGTTTCCTGTGTTCTGTGTTCAAAAGCCTCCTGCATGCTGCTATGTGGAAAGTAAATAAAATAAAAAGTCACTTTTGTACAGTGGTGCCTCGCAAGACGAAAATAATCCGTTCCGCAAGTCTCTTCGTCTAGCGTTTTTTTCGTCTTGCGAAGCAACCCTATTAGCGGCTTAGCGGATTAGAGCTATTAGCGGTTTAGCGGCTTAGCGGCTTAGCGGCTTAGCGGCTAAAAGGCTATTAGCGGCTTAGAAAAAGGGGGGGAAAGCGAAAAAAAATCGCAAGACTCGCAAGACGTTTTCGTCTTGCGAAGCAAGCCCATAGGGAAAATCGTCTTGCGAAGCAACTCAAAAACGGAAAACCCTTTCGTCTAGCGGGTTTTTCGTCTTGCGAGGCATTCGTCTTGCGAGGCATTCGTCTTGCGGGGCACCACTGTAGTTAATGGTCTTGTTTTTGTTCACCAGAGCTCATACCCAACAACTATTATTAGTATCAAGGCAATAGCTAGAGCTAGAAAGAATTCCTTAGGGAGGGGAGTTGAAATACAGTGGAGTAAATACATTTGGTGTGTACAGGAAGAATCAGGCATTCATGAAAACTATATTTTGGACCAGAGAGGAAATGGAAATGTGTCACTCTTCCTATTCCTTTTCCTCTCTATCTTGTGGAAAATTCCTATTGTGCAGACAACCAGCACACATTCTAAACAAGGGGAAATAATTCTCTTCCTGCTGAACCACCCCCCCAAAAAACCAAAAACCTGTGGCTTCCACTGCCTAGGAGATTTGCAGACTGTGCTCCTGTCCCAAGTTGGCACATCTCTCAGGTGGAGGAGATGTAGAAGTATTTTTTGCTAAAACAGAACCAATGAAGAAGTTAGCAACAACCAGCTCACACACTCCCACCTTAGGATAAAGAGTGGGTAAGTAATCAAATAAAAATAAGAGCTCACACAAGTGGTCTACTCACATTAGTTGTGTAATATTGGGAGATTGAAATGGCACAGGTGAATGGAGAAATCCATTCATAAAAGAGGAGATATCTTTACCAGTTCAGATGTGGAGGATCGGGATGGATGAAACTCGAAGTTGCAACAGAGAGGACGCCAAGAAGGGAAGTGGGTGAAGATGAAATAGAGGAAGTTTGGATGCTAAAGCAGGCTGGATGCTAAAGCAGGTACAGTGGAACCTTGGTTCCCAAACGGCTTAGTTTTTCGAACAAATCGGTTCCCGAATGCCGCAAACTCGGAAGTAAGTGTTCTGGTTTGTGAACGTTTTTTGGAAGCCTAACATCCGATGGGGCTTCTGCGGATTCCGATTGGGTGCAGGAAGCTCCTGCAGCCAATTGGAAGCCATGCCCTGGTTTTTGAATGGTTTCGGGAGTCAAACGGACTCCTGGAACAGATTAAGTTCGAGAACCAAGGTACCACTGTACTTCCTCTGGGCTTGGAAGTCTGTTTTGTTTTTCTTAACAGGCTCATGTCTCCCTAGCTTCACTCTTAATTTTTCTTCCCTATTGTTAACTCACCTGAATCATGATTCCTTCTATCATTTGCTCATTATACTTTAGAACAGTCAGGTTTGCTTTGGAAAGAAGAAGAAAGCATGGATAGTGGTCTGGTGCTGGTAGACTGCTCTTGTGTTGTCCCAGGTGTATCCTTAGTTTGCCTTCAGTGAATGAAAATTTACACATGTATTAAAGAGCTTATGTCTTTACGTCTTTATTTTTAAAATTCAGTTCCAGAGGAGCAGCTGATTGAATTTGTTGAGGACAAAGATCACATGATCATACTGAATGTGCTCAAAAAATTCCCCAAAAAAGAAAACTTAGTACTTCTTGCCCTGTTGTCTTTACATTCATTGGCAGGACCACGTAAGTATTTAAGTATTGGTAGTTTTTAATACTTAGAGTGTGCATGGGGTGAGGGTGTGCCCTTAAGAATTAATCAGCAGTTCCTGTCTGGACTTGCAAATGAAGGGCAGTTCCTAAAAGAGAGATCATTGGTGTGCTCTGATCTGTATTTGATGTCTGAAAATTATTTCTGAACTGAAAGATGGGTGCTGCCTTTGTTTTGGCTCAATTCCTCAGTATAAGAGCTGTACTGAAATTCACATCCTCTTTGTGAAACCATTTGTGCTGCATGAAAACAGGAGTGAGTAGGGACTGACTATGTGCAAATTTCATAAAACTTCCTTAAACCTTTTTGGGAGTGACTTGCCTTACTTTATATGAGGTTTCTTCTCATTCATCTTTTCCCTTTCTTAAAAATAATTTTAAAAGGTTAGCTACTGCTTGTAGAAGTGGCAGGGCTCCCCACAGCCTCCTGGTCATGTTTCCTGTACCATAATGCTCATGAGTATAATACTTAATAGGTTTAATCATGCCAGCCATATGACCTGGAAAGTTGTTTGCGGACAAATGCTGGTTCACCATAGTTAAATTCGACTGGACATAGCCGTCCAGGGGTCCTTTACCTTTACCTTTTACCTATGTTCCTAATGTAGAGATTAAGCAGGCAAAGCTTTTCCTGGCCTGGAGATATGGAGTGAAAAATTGGAAGTATAGTAAAGCAGTGCATGAAACAGAGCTAAGCACAACTGGAAGGTTCAACACAACACACTGAGATTCTTTTTTGGGTGGGTGTCAGCCTTTGAAATAGTGTCTGCTGGCACTCTTTTCTGCTCAGCCTACAGCTGGCATGCCAAAGCTAAAGTGGAAAACATTTGAAAATAAAGGTTTCTCAGAATTCTGTTCTGAACATTGTAACAGTACATTGAAACTGTGTGCTTGCCTAAGTTATTGTCAATGTTCTGTTCAGAATGCAGGAAAAAAACCATGCTTGGTCTAGCAGTAGAAATACGCAAGGTGATTTTGTTGTGCACACTTCAGTCTTACAATGAATTAATATTCCCATCAGTCAATTTTAAAAGAACACTTGTGCATGAATCTTTCTTCTTCTCTCAAATAAGTTTATTCCTTCTGTCGTGTTCAGCTAGCAATGCAGAAATTCTTATGTCTGGAAATGTGAGGTGTTACAATGTCATCGTTCAAATGATGAAAGATTTCCCCGACAATGAAGCAATTCAGGAAGTGAGCTGCTGCTTGTTGCACAAACTTGCATTGGGTGAGAACATGATCCCCTTTATTTAACATGGGTGATATTTCTAGAGTAAACTGGATTTATCTGTAGAGAAAAATAGTAGTAAAAAGGGTGCATAAAGAGCTCCATGAATATAGAGGAGCTTCTGAAGCCCTTCTTTCTAAGAGAGCATGTTATGCTGCCTGGCAAGATTTCCTGAAGCTCAGGGGACTTTGGGGGAGCAGTCTCCAGTGCAGCAAGAGAAGCTGCAGTTGAAAAATAAAGCTGTGAAACCCCAGTGAATGCACAGAAGCACTCACTAAAGATCCAAGGAGTTCTTTGGATCTTGGGCACTTACATAATTTGAAAAGGTCTCATTTGTTCAGGCCTTTTCTCTTCTGGGTGTAGCTGCCTTAATCGTAGGAACAAACCCCTTTTGTGGGAGAAGAAATTGAGGAGAGACCTGCTCACAGTTGTGTGTTTAGATTTGCTGCCTCGCCAGAAAAACAAAACAAAACGCCACATTACTTAATGTGTCAGATTGGTACTGTGGTAATGTGTCAGATTGGGAGGGATTTTCCCGGTAGAAACATAGCTTTTGGTTTCAAGATTTGAATTTGACTCCTTGGGACTGTTTCCATTTTAAAGCAGGGATATGGAACCTGTGGCCCTCCAGATGTTGGAGACCAGCTCCTGTTAGTCCCAGCCAACATGATCAATGGTCAGGGTGTTCAGAAATATAGTCCAGCCACATCTGGAGGGCTACAGAGCCACAATTGCAAAGCAAAACCAATCTTAAATGCCTTTGAATAGTTGTGATTCCTCAGAAGGAACAGAAAGCATGCAAAGGATTGGACAGAGCTTCCATCTATTTGACCTTTCCTAAAGCCAACAAGGTTTTCCCACTGCAGCCACTATCACCCCAGTTCATGTACCCCACTTTTGTAACTACGTACAGATAAAAACAACTCATAGTTGTTTCGAGAGGAGAATTTGGGGGCCGTTGATTGAAAAATTGTATTTACTTTTCATGAATATCTATTTTCTTATTCATATGATGGCCATTGCTGCGCAGTATGTGTGTAAAATGCATGCACCCAGTGTTTGCATGCGACTCAGTTAGCTTTTTTTAATCTCTTGTATACAGAAAACTTTTTCAATATCCTGGTATTGAATGATGTACATCAATTCATTGTAACAGCCGTTGGAAAATACCCTGCTAGTGCAAAGCTGCAGGCTGCAGGCCTCAGTTGCTTGGCTCTTCTCAGTAAGTAGCTGTATAAGTTAAAGAAATTATGTTTCTCAACGCTCCTACAACTTGCTGATAGAATATTTTTGTCATATGTGACTGCAAAATTGAATGAACAATAGCCTTGTCAGTAAGGGAAAAGGTAGACCAGTCTTCCCCAATATGCTGCCCTTTAGATTTTGTTGGACTAAAACTCCCATAATCCCTGACATTTGGCCAAGCAAATAGGAGTTGGAATCCAAAATATTTGGACAGCAGCAGGTTGGGGAAGACTGCTCCAAAGGACTCTATAAACACTTTGCTGTAACCCCTCTGCCCCAAATCACTATTGTGTTTTCCACTTTTCTGAACCGATGGCCACTTTCTTTGTATCCCCTTTGCAGCCCATTCATTACTTCTTGTTAAAGTTGAAAGCAGCCCCATCCTGTTGAATCATCCATGTTCTTCCTAAAGGATGGAGGGGCTCCTGACCCTGTTCCTCACAAAATATTGTTGAGGTCCCCATGTTTGAAGCTAATGGAGACTTCCAACATGATAGCTGTAATTCATGTAATTATCCCACAAGTTATGGATGGAGCAGGTATTGACCACGAGGATGCTTTGGGCAATGTTGCTTTGGCACCTCATAACAGATATTCCAGTTCTTTGTTTCCCTTCTTCTTTATCCAGACTCCTGATAGCTTCCTCATCTCCAGTCAGGTTACCAGGCAGGCCACCAACATCCCCTGACTTCTTATGCAATCCTGTCAGCAGCACAGGGGCTTTCCTTTCTCCCTGAAATTTTCCTCAACCTTTGCATCTTACAGCCTTTCTATGTACACCCATCCTATGAGGTGGATCACGTGCCATAGAGTTTCTGTTCTTGTATTTATTTATTTTTTACCGCTCTGTGTGTTCTCTCTTGCTGGTGAGACACAGAGAAGCCACACTGTGTTTGGGACTTTTAAAAAGAGAGAGGAGAATGGCCGTCTTCTGCTTACCCTGTCAAGAGGGCAACCATTCCCATTCTGGCCTAAAGCAACGCATGTAGCTGAAAACCTGTAGCAGAACACCTGAGAAGGCTTAGTAAATGGTAAATCTCCAGAATTCTTCAAAGAAAAATCTTTTTTAAAAAATAAGGCAGAAGTAAGAGATGAAAAAGCAGAGTGCTGGATAAAAATATATATGCAAAGCATCATTTTGTTTTCCTGGAGGAGCAGGTTGTGAGCATTTCATATGCTTGTGGTTGCAGAGTTTGGCTTCTCGTGGTCAGATAGGAAGGTGTCTTTGCAAACGAGTGTCATCTCCTTTTAAAACAACATATTAGCTGTATTAAATAACCTCAAATCATCTTTGTTTTAATAGTTTTAATCAGTTAAGACCAAGACAGTCAAGCAGCTAAATACTTGGAATAGAAGACAGACCTAACACATAGTCTTAGCAGTCATAAGCTTGCTTTTAATTTTAAAGCATCTTATTCTGGCTGAAAGAAAAGCAAATTGTAGATAATAGGAACACACCGTGGGGGTGGCAGCTGCCTCACCTAGATCAAGTAAATCAATAAATGCACTTAACTAACTGAGGTTCTGCTCCCACCCTAACATGAAGTCTGCCCCTCCTAACATGGAGCCTGCCCCCACCCCAAATCCTGGCTATGCGCATGGAGCTCACAGTCTAAAGTTTTAATGAACACCATTCTGTATCAGAATGCCCATTGATACCAGTGATGGGGTTTCAGCTTTAACAGAATTCAGTTGCTGTCTTAAATTCTTGAGTCAAATGGTAGCTTGCTGAAGCTTCTGTTAAAATGCTTCCGCTATAAATATGTCATTGTGCTTTTGGTTTTCCTAATGATAAGCAGTTTTTTGATCATTGTGTTTCATCACCTTCAGTAGTCTGTTCTAGAGTGTGAAAACAAGGGAATATTCATATTTTCAAAATGCGAATAAATAACTTTTTCCCCAAGCGGAAACAATATTTTTAAGCAGAGACTTGGAAGAGGAGGAGGTGGAGGAGGAAGAAAAAGAATTGTGTTGGCTGGAAGCCTGTTATAAAGCATTAAAATTGCATCGGAAGAATATAGATGTACAGGTAAGAAACTGCGGGTAAAGAATTGGGAAACATGAAAAGAGTCCTAAATGATGTGCTTTATATAAATTGCAACCAGAGGAAACAACAATAAAATTGGGTAGAAATATTTTTCTTAAGCATTTATTTGCTGCCAATAATGTATTGCATTTTTAATTTTCAAATCATACCTTACAATCTTCAGTGTGTTTTATTCTCAGAAGTGGTTGGTTTTTTTCACCGTTTCTCTGTTTTATTTCTTAGTTCTCTGTTCTCATTTCTCTGTTCTCATCTTACTGGAGAGGAACTGAAGCTCAGGGATAGTAGTTAGCATAGGTCCAAGGGCTTGAAGTCTTGGGCTTGGGATGGAGGAACTTAAATGCTATGGCTTCCTTGATCCCTAACCTCTCGCTGCTTGACAATCTTGTTTGGTCCAGATTTTTAAGCAAGCAGATACATTTTGTACTTCCCAGACTAAGCCAGGATAATATAAAAGGCTGTTATATCAATTGTATCTGCTTGTCTTATTCTAATAGATGATGTCATTCCTTCTAATTTAGCCACAAGCCATATTTTATTAAACTTCTCTGTTCATGTGAAGAATTGTATGCTGTGATCCACATGACATCAAAACTGACTTGGAAAAATGTTTGCATTACAGATTAAGCTAGCAGCCGCTATGGAGAAATTGTCTTAGCATTTGAGATTGAAGTACATGCTGTGGCCATGAATTATATTGATGATTCTTCTTGGAATAGTTTGGAAAGGCTTAATTGAATTTATTGACCAAATAGTTCCTTTTGTTGTTCCTTCCTTCCTTCACTAGGAGGCTGCATGTTGGGCTTTGAACAATCTGCTTATGTACCAACGTAATCTTCATGAGAAGATTGGAGATGGAGACAAAAAGTTAGTAGCCTGAATTGAGTGCTTGGAAATGTGAACCACTAGATTTATAGCCCAAGATCTGTTTCCCCCCTCTTCGATATCATTTGTCTTAAGAATCTAAATTGGGAGAAGGAGACTGCCTTCTAGGGACACTGGTATTGTTGCTTCCTACGTATCTGTCTTGCATGGCAAAGAGGGCGGCCGGCACCTAGCTGCTCCCTTAAATACACCAGGGCCAGACTGGGTGCAGCTGTCATGCCCCTGTCCCCAATTGATCTTGTGGGTGAGGCGGGCCTCACCCGTAAGGTCCTGTGCGGCCAGAGGTAGCCCTTCTCCCGGCCGTGCAGGAAGACAACAGCCTCCCAGAACTAGCTGTGGCCAGTATTAGTGGTAAAACACAAAAGAACATAAGGGGAATCCCCTTGGACTAGGGTTTGTATGTAGAACTCCCGGTTTGGAGTGCTCTCGCCAGGGAGGTTTGTTTGGTGCCTTCATTATATATTTTTAGGTGCCAGGCGAAAACATTCCTCTTCAACCAGGCCTTTGGCTAATATTTTACAGTCTTTTTAATGTGTCTGTGGGGGGGGTATTGTTTTGCTGTTTTGTTTTACTTATTTACTTGTTTTTATCTTGTATTTTATTCTGTGAACCACCCTGAGATCTTATGATGAAGGGCAGTATATAAATTGAAATAATAATAATGATAATGATTAATAATAATAACAACAACAATAACTGAAACCTTACAGTTTTTTTTTGTTTTCTGGCACAGTTTGTTCATTGTTAACCTTCGGAGCAGGGGTAGAACTGGTGATAACACTGACAAGTTAGATGAAAATCTGACTTTGTTAAATTATAAATAAAAATTACTCTTACGTTGCTTTTAGTTCCTGACTGCTTTGGAATGGCATTTTGGCCCAAGATGCATGGTGACAAATTGATGCTAGAATAGAATGATAACATTTATTGGCATCTCTTTTTGCTATAGCAACGTTTGATTGTTATCATATCCTTTTCTGTTTGCATTAGATTCCCAGCCCACAGAGAAATGATGCTATCCATGTTGATGCATAATTCTTCAAAAGAATTGTTTCAAGCTGCTGCAAATGCCTTGGCAACTCTACTGGAGCAAAGTGGTAAGGGATTGTGTAACACTAAACCTGAGGATGGAGTGGAGCACAAAACCTGTCCTTGACACTGAATTTGTCTGATATAAACCCCAGTGATAATTTAAGATTTAACTAGAACGACAAACAATTAACAATTTGGAGCTGTGAATATAATAGTTGGTATGTTTTCCCCCACAAATTCTTTTAGATATCCAGTTCCCCAATATCCTCTGTGTCAACCAGACACATTGCTCCTTCCAATTATAAATAAACACCAATAACAAAAAAGTAAGGAGAAAAAAGGGAAAGTAAAAAGAACAAAAAAGTGTTTCAGAATGTTCCACGGCATGATATGTCATAAGTTTTGTTGGTCTCCAGGTGTTAGTCTGCAAACAGCCCTACAAGCCCATTCCAAATCTCAGGCAATTGTAAGGCTGCAATCCAAATCACATCTACTCTGGAGTAAATCCCATTAAATTCAACAGGGATTACTCCCAGGTAAGTGATGTTGGGATTGCAGCCTAAATTAGTTGCACGTTATGCCATTAATATCAATGGCACCAAACTCATGTTGATTTCAGTAGTGCACCTAACTTAGACTGCACATCCCTTACATACCTTAACCTTCAACAGTTGGATTGAATTCAATAGAACACACATCCGAGAAGACTTAAATCAGACTGCTCGTTTAGTCTACATCCAACCTGAAGTACTGTAGATTGTTACACGTGTCTACTACCTTTTGGGTAAAAATGAAAAAGTTAGGTTGGTGCTTGCAGCCAACATTCATGCTCTTTTTCATATAGTACCCTATTCTTATTGTAGTGAATATTAGAACAGTTCTGCTGGCAAAAGGAATACACATGAATGTGCTGGAGATTATGAAGAAACACTCCAACTCCCCGGAAGTTGCAGAAAGTGCTTGCAAGCTGCTGAACCGTGCTTTTGAAGGAAGGTAACGAAATGTAGTTCTGCGATAGGTACACCCAAAATCAGAACCATGATTTTGCAAATGTATCATTATATCCTAGAGCAAGTTTAAATTTTGCACTTCGTTCATTTGATTTGTATGCCACTTTTCCGGGGGGGGGGGGAATCACGCTCAAGGCAGCTCACAACAAAGAAACAGGGATGCATTTCAAACATGCTAAAAATCAATTTCACATTAATACAGCAAAACAGTAGCAAATAGAATAATACACCAAAAACACATTTTATACTATAAATATAAGAAGCTCACTTAAACATGTTATGCAGCATCCCATAGCAAACATAACAAGGGAGCTTCACAGTTTCACCTTAGTCCTAGAAACATCCCTCCCATGATGTTGCTTAGTGTCCCTCTCCTTCTGCAGCTTCTTATAAGGCTTCCAAGCGCAAGGTGTGTGGTAACTGGAAACACTCAAACCCTTGATGTTACTCACAGTCACTCTCCTTGCTTTTAACCCACCCTCCATTGACAAACAATCGCAGAGAGAGGCGCAACAAAACAAAATAGTTGTGCATAATACAAAAACAGGAGCAAATACCAAATCAACACAACAACTAGTACAGCAAAACCATAGCACATAACCAGATCCTAGTACTAATTGTGGCGATCACACAGGGTCCCCGGACATTTAACGGTCTATTGATCCCTGTGCCACCACTGTGATCGCTTCCCTGCTGCCACCAACCAGTTATTCTCTGGTAAAACACTGAGTCCAGTCAGTTGTTAAAAGTGAACCAAAAAAACCAAGTTTATTTTACAAACATTAACAAGTTTATGGTTTCTCAGATAATTTTCCTGTCAGTATCTTAACTTTAGTCTCTTTACCTTCCTAATACCTTCTGACTGATTATCTCAACTGTTTGACTGACTCCTCTTAACAAATTCTCTCCCTCTCTCACACCAGACTAGCCCAACCCACAGACGTATCTTCCCTCTCTCGTCTAACACCAGATTGTCTTCTCAACCACTCTAACTCCTCTTAACAAATTCTCTCTGTGCTTAAACCTTATACACAGCTAACTCTGCCCCTTGGGTTCCCATTGGTTAGTCATTTTACAATTAGTTAACCCTTTCCCTATGAACCCAGTATGATGATGTCACACACCTAGGAGGGCAAACGCTACACTAATGCTCTACAAATGTCTGTGGAAAAACATTTCTTTCAAACGTGGCAGATACTACTACATACCTCATGGGGAATGGCATTCCATTAGCAGGTGCCACCACTGAGAAGGCATCTCTCATGTTGCATCATAACAGATCTCTTATGCCTGAAACACAGGCAAGGGTCCTAAATTTCTGATCTAAGTCATGGGGTCTCCCACTACCCACCCAGGTTGATGCTGGATTTTATCATATTTAGTAGCTACCCGTGTGTCTTGGGCACTGCTCCCCACATTACTGCACAATCTCACCATGTGACAGCCACTGCTATGTAATGATTATAAAGTGGCTTTTCCACATAGCTGCATGTAAGTAGTGAAATCAAGACGACGATGATGATGTTGAAGAATACGTGGTTTGTGTATTTCTTAGTCCAAGCAGGTTTCAAAGCACTATGTTAGGTGTGCCCAAAGCATGACCAGTAGGATATTTGATTCCCTTTCATTGAGGAGCAGATTGCTACATGAATGGCAGTCTGCTTTGGAGTGGAGAGGGGCTGGTGTTCAAGAAAGACAAGATTACAGCCCTTTTCAGTATAAGGAAATAGGTGTGTGTTATATTGGATCCTGGCCAGGATACATAAATAATATACAAAAATTTAGAACAGAATATGCAATATTTCATAATGTAAAAATGAATGGATATTTAATAAACAGATGTGTAATTGAGAATGTGATTCATTGATCCTGCAGTTTCCCCCCTCTGGATATAATGACAGAAGTGGCATCGAGAGTTGTAAAGGCCATGAGAAAGCATAAATCATCCCCAAGTGTACAGCTGGAGGCACTAAGAGTTATTTTACATTTTATGACTTCAGGTAAGAAAATGCATGAAGAATATTTGCTTACATCATAATCTAAATGAGCAACTAGAAATAAGGAGTTAATGAGCCTGCTGCCTAGTCATTTTGCTGTATGGCTTCTCAAGAAAGTGATGGAAATGAAAAATTAATCAGTTTCTGCTAATAGGAAGCCAAGTGATTTTATGCGGGGAAGGGGGACTTGTTGATGTAGGAAATTTACAAAGTTTTATATGTTTAGGTCCCATTGGTTTATGTGAGAAAGGTTTAAGTATGTGCTGTACTTAACTTTCCCATTGAAATTAACAGAAGTTACAGGTGTTTTGACTTTAGATGGATTCTGGTTGTAATATATACTTATTCAGAGTGAAAACATCAAGCCAATACATATAAATTCACAAATGCAAATTAATCCATAATGTGTCACATACCTGTTTTAGTTCAAGTTGCAAAGACATACACTAAAAATACGCACACCAAGACACAGGAAATTCTGTGTCTGTGGTTCTATATATGTTTAGCGTAAGTGTCATTTCCACTTTTTCACCTGAAAGGGAAATACAAGTGTTTGTGTTTTGTTGCTTGCTTGTATGCCAATATTTGTCCAGGTTTGTGTGGGGCTTATGAGGTAGACGTGTGAAAGTTGTTGACTGAGGATGTAAGACTGAATTATGGGAGTGTTTGCAGAGCGTGGAGAGTGATTTGAGATTGGTTTAGACTAGAGTACTGATGTGTTTGACACACTTGCAACCATCACAAGTAAGGGTGTGCTTGAGTGAGATTGAATGGAAAGTATTCTTAGTTGTCGTTAGATTAAGTTTTGTGTATTGCAATACAGGAAACTGGGAATTTAATTGGATTGATTTGCTTAATAGTATGATTGATTAGTGTATGGTGGTTTGGAAAAGTGAGTTGATTTTCTTTTGCCTAACAGTCAATCATGTATGTCATTTAAAAAGATGGAACTTAGAGCTCCTAGTTCATTTCTCATTTGTAGTATTTTACATCCTGACATTTAGAGGATAATTTGTTTAGCTGTTTATTGTGATGCACTATATTTCTGTACCCAGTATTTATGTGCAATGTTTATTTTGATACTAAAGAAGATACTCTGTTAAGTTGCTAATTGTGTTTGAATAGAATAGAAAGATTATGCTGTAATCTCTCAGCATGTTTTTTGGAAGTGAGTTTCACTGAACACAGTGGGTTATTTATGAGTAAACATGTTTAGGATCAGGTTGTTTGGGTTTAAAAAAAATCCAAAATGAACTTGGTAACTATCTGGTATAGATACCTGCAGCTTTTTCCATTTTGAAAATGGGAAATATTCAGTGGTAATTTATCCCTTGCAGTAGCTTATTTAGCCTGCATTTTTAGTGTGGCATCTTTTCTCATGACTGAGTCATGAGAATGCTCTAAATAAAGTAATTTAATTTAACAGTCATTGATTTTGGCATATTACAGCCAGTGATGGGGTTTGCTTTCCTTTCCTTTATTCACTCAGTGTATGACTTGCTAGCTGAAGATCTGTTTTTTTAAAATGCTAACATTTTGTAGGGTATAGAATGTATGAAATTGAACACTAATGATCTGATCCTGTGAGTATTTATAGAGAATAAGATGCCACTGGTTTGAATGGGACTTGGGTCTGCAAAAGCATGTTTAGAACTAGGCGCACCTAAATTAGAAGTGAGGCTATGGTAATTTACGTTCCAGGAAATAATAATAAATTTGTAATAAGTTGCCGAACTCCCTCCTCACAGAGTTGCATCTGGCACCTTCATTATATAGTTGACTTGCAACTTGTGCAAGTGTTAGGTTCTGGGTATTGTGTGTAAAGCTGAAATTGTGTATAGCAAGAGGAACCGCAGAACCACCACTATGTGGTCATCCCTGCCTTTCTGAAGCTGTTTAGAGACCAACTAAGTTTGTTCTGGGTATAGCTTTCGTGTGCATGCACGCTTCTTCAGATACGTGTAACACTTCAGATACATTTAAGAATGGTATCTCAAATGGCTCTCAAAAAAGACCTCCCCAGAGTCCAGTAAGTTAGCCATAGAGCTTTTAAGCTCTCCACCTTGTTTAATTTGTGCAGTTGCATGCCGGCCAGCCACCATGCACATAAAGCATTAAACACAAGTTGAATGCAAGTTGCAAGTCGACTGTGCAGCTTTTGGTACGTGCTGAAAATGTACCTCTTTATTCTGGCTTTTGACACTTGAGGTCTATGTTTTAGGACCCTTCTTATTTCTGTGATTTAAGTTACTTTGAATGGTTTTTAATACTGTGTTTCAGTAGCTGTAAACCACCCTGGGAGCTTAGGATGAAGGGCAGGTTATTAGAATTATAATAATCATTAATAATAATACTGTCTATTGTCTTCCCCAGCATACCATAAGGCACTGATAGATTGACCTTCTTTTTTACTTTTGAAGATATCAGCAAAATAAAATAACAGATTGCAAAAATTGTTATATAAAAAGAAGGAGGGAGAAACAAACAGCTGATTACTTGGTCTGTAGTCAGAGAAATTTAAAGTGAAAATATTGGGCTGTAGATTCATTCATATAGATAGATAGATAGATAGATAGATAGATAGATAGATAGATAGATAGATATCATTGACTCATTTTAACTAAGTATTTCTTTTTACAAGGAAAATATTTTGGGGTTTTTTATGTTACAGGCGTACTGAAAAAGCAACCAAATAATTCTGACTTGGGAGATACTGAGTTGGCGCTAATGCTGAAAGTGATAAAAAACCAATGTTTGTTGCAAGGTGCTCACTCATTAGTCCTTGATGCTCTCAACACGGTATGACTCGATTTTTCCCTCCCATGGCAAATTCCCTCTAAATAATTTCAGTCTCGTTTTCCTTTCAAATCAAGATTTCTTCTGTTTCTCTCTACTCAAGTTGGAATATTCTGTCCATATTTAAAGTGTAAAACATAAATTGTAGCCTTGTGTATTGAAATGTAGATTTATTCAACTACACGGCATAATTGTCATTTAATCATATCGGTCACTTATTTACCCTGGTTATTTGAAGTCGCTAATTCTCATCTGTCACTTGGAGCTCTCTGAGGACATGATCCAGAGCTTTAACGTACTGATGCACACATTTCTGGCAGTGCAAGCAGCATATCACCAACACACCCCAACCTCTGCAAGGAGACTGGATGCTGCCGGGCAGTTGTGCCAAGTAGTATTCCATCTCTTAGGCATGTCTAGATTTTGCCAGTGCTTGCCTTCCTGTGCTGGAGCTGAAGGGCATTAGCGCAGTGATGCAGTGGTTATGAATCTCAGTGAGCATTGAAGAAGTCTTCCAGAATAATAGATGTTTTTAAATGTAACATCTGATCCTGCATTAATTACAAAACTTAGTAGAAATAACTTAACAGTTTGTTTTTGCTTTTTCCATATAAGATAACCATACTTTACGTGCATGTTTTTGTTTCTAGTTTATTGGAAATCCTGGTATTCAGAAATGTGGATTTCAGGTACTTTCTTCTGTTGCGGAATGTTCAGGTGCGCTAGAAATGTTGACACAGCAAGGAATGACAGATACCGTACTCCATACGCTACAGATGTATCCTGATGATCAAGGTACAAAGCACTTAATTGCATCTTGCATAACTTAACTGCATCTAACCCAGTCCTCCTGCCCGAATGCAGGACACCCAGTGGCTGAAGCATATTTGATTGTTCATCCTTGCTTGAAGGGCAATTTAAGGCCTATTTTATCAGCTGCAATGAGACAAATGAAACAAAAGCCACCCAAAACATCAGTCTAGAAGCATGTTTTTAACAACAACAGAAAACAGAGTTTCGGTTTACTTTGTTGTGTTAAGGGCTTTCCATGTTCCATCAAGCTCCTAAATGTTGGGAAATTACAGCTGTTAAGGACCATGCCCTGAACAGCTGTGTTGTTTAGGCAATATTTATATGGCATGGTACCCTATTACTTGGTTAACTCCAGCTTTATCACTACCTTGGAGCTGGATTGCTCTCTATGCCAGAGTGATGAACCCCAATTCCAAATATGTCTGTTTACTGGGATAGAAACATGAATTCTATGTGCAAACTGAAAGTACCATTCCACATTAGAAGTGGCCCTTAACAGCTGTGATTTCCTGGCACTTTGGAGCTTGAATGGAGCCTTAATATGCTTAATCAACGGGTTTTTTTGCTGACCAGATTTAATTATCTTTTTTTTTAAAAAAAGGGAATGGAGCAAGAGAGGAAGAAATATATTTATTAATAAGAAATCACACACCATTTAGAAGAAAAGAATTCACATTCAGCAGATGAGACACACACAGAGCCACATGGTTTGCCCAAAAATCTCCCTCCCACTTTCTTCTGAAAGGAGCTCCTGTGTTTTCAAAGCTGCACCTCTACCCTGCAGCCACCTGCGCATCCTCTGGAGGGTTGGAGACCCTCTGGAGCAGATATGGGAGGACTGTGGGAAGAGAGGAAGGGGAACTCCCTTGTGTGTGCAGAGTTCCACTTGTAGAATGTTGTGTACCGCCCTCTGTGCAGTAGGAGCAAATAGGAAAGACACTGTTCTGTGTTCAATACCATGCATTTATTTCAATATTCCTGACCTTCCTTTCCCTTTTCTCTTTCCAGAAATACAGTGCTTAGGCTTAAGTCTTCTGGGATCCTTGATTACAAGAAAGATATTGTGCATTGCAATTATACAAGTTCTGGCGGCAATCTTGGTTTCTACTTTACGGCGCTTTAAGGAGGTTGTTGAAATACAGGCACATGTATGTAATGCGTCTGGTATAAAAAACCAGCACTTTTCTGTTTGGCTGGGCGGCTTCTTTGGGGAAGGTTAAATTCAGAGATGTATTTTCATACTAGGTTTTGAATGTAACCACTTTTAGTGGGCTGTAGTTCTGTGCCTCACTGCTGGTTTACTCATGACACTAGGTCATATCAACTCGAAACTTATTTTGCTTTAGATCTTACAGCTACATCTCAAATCCCTGTTGTAGCCCTTCTCATTATAACATGCTCTATAGTTGTTTCATGCCCAAGTTGAACCCACCTCTTTTTGTGATCACCACCCATTGCCCCTTTGCCTCAAAACTCTTTTTTGGCCATATTCTTCTGTCTCTGAGAATATCGTTTCTCCTGAAATACTTGCAGTTGTGACTGTGAAACAGCTAAGACAGTTTCATATTTTACATGCCACACAAATGATTGCTGCTTCAAATGTTGGTTTAAATTTACAGTGATCTTGGTGATCTGCAATTTCCCATTACTATCTCTGTACCATAGAGAAGCATGTTTTCATGGCTCTCTTCCTGGGGTATATAGCCTCTCATTCACTGATACGTATGGCATTTCCAAGAGCATGAAAACTGCATCCTGAGAATTTTGTGCAAATGCAGAAAATTCATTAACCAAACTAAGTTACTTTTGTGGAAGTGGATGTATACCACAAGCATGTTTGCTTGAGAACAGGTTCCATACCTTCTACATTCATTTCCAAGTAAGTATGCTTAGGATTGCCACTGTGTCGTTGCTGTCCAGCTGCAGTATACCAGTGCATAGATTCGAAGTGTTGTCCATGCATGTATGTACCAGAATTTAGGTCTTCTCCATGAGGGATTACCTAAAAATTGCCTTCTGGTGGATGGCAAGTGGTACTAGAAAGTGAAATGGAGAGAGATTGTATGTCTTGTCTTATTAAGACCGTATTTTTTTAGAGCTAAGCCAAAATATCTCAGAAAACATGTTGACATTTCTTATCCCCCCCCCCCCAAAAAAAGCCATTGTTGTTTGGTTGTGGTTGTGGTTTCTCTTGTGAATGCTAATCTGCCATCATTGTGGGTGTTCAATGACACCTGGTGGTTGAAGGAAAAATTGCTGTTCAGAAGAAAGCTTCCAACCTCTCATGAGCTCTTAGTTTTGATTTTGTCTTCACCATTATCATTGATTTTCAATAATTATCTGTATCTCCACTTCTTACATGCTTGCTTCCCTTGTTTGTGTGATTGTTAGCCCTGTTTTGTCCTCTATTGTTCCTTAATAAAAAAAGAGGCCCTTCTTCCTCTGCTCTTTGCTCAGCATTGCCCCTTCAAACTGCTAATACTTCCCATCATTCCACTCCACGAGCTGGGAATCTCCCTCCTATTAAAAAACAAAAAACCTACAGCTGCTCAGCCACGAGGAAGGTAACACAAGATTCCTCCATTTTCCACAGTTCCCAAGAGTTATTGTCTCCCTTGCCAACCTTGCAAGCTTTCATTGCAAGTAAAAAGTTGGGGAAATTGCAAGAGCAACTACTGTAATGCAGCCTTAGTGTCAGGATAGGACCTCAACGTCAGCTGCAGGAGGGGCTGGAAATGGAGGCACTTCAGTGGACCCCTCTAGCCCTTCTATTCGGTCCTTCACTTCTTTTGGGCTCAGGTACCAAAAATACCACCTCCAGTGTGCCGGGCTCCTTGCACTTCAGCTTCTCTGAAATGCAGGTAGGAGGAAGAGATGAGAAAGGGGGCTCCAGCCCCATCTTACAAGACAAGGAATCCTCTCAGTGTCTAGCACACATACCTCAGATGGCTCAAGAAGGACAAAGGGGTGTTGGGTTGAAATAAACGACAGACGAGTGACAAGTGTCATATGGGAGGCATCTCCCGAGCATGTCTCAGGGAGTCCCTTTTATTGAATATTACAGCATTGCCACATATGTGCTTGTTGCTGATTGGTTAACACAAATACAATACAAGGGTTGCATATAGACATTATTCATCAATAGATTAAAGGTTGGGAAAGGGAACACAGAATTAGACAGGCATGAAAACCTCCTTATTAAACTATAACTAGTGATTGATATAGCAAAACTTAAAGGAGCATATAAACTATAACTAGTGATTGATATAGCAAAACTTAACAGGGCATAACTATTGTATTCCGTAGATGTGGTCAACCATGCATTAAGAACAGGTCAGGGTACGATGTTTCATGAACTCAATGTGAACTGAACATTCTAGGATGGGTGAGGAAGGAATGTTTCAGCTTGTGCAGAAGCAAAACTTCCCATCAAAGGGGGGTAGTCCCTAAAAGAACTGAGGACTATTTTTACTGCCCAAACCTTTTCTGAGAATTTTTCAGGCTTCCTGGGGGCTCAGAGCACTTCAGATTCCTAACCCGACTTTATCAGTTATTACTACCCTGACCACTGCCTCCCAGCTTCCAATGCAGGAGCTGCCCTTTGCTCACCAGCTCCTAACCCTTCCCTTGCTGCAACAGCTTAAGGCAGTGGTTTTCAACCAGTGTGCCCTGGCCTCCTGGGGTGCCTTGAATGGTGGACAGGGATGCCGCGGGCAACACTGGCCTCTGTCCCCCTTTCCTTCCCTCCCTCCTCTGATGCCCTCTTGCGTGTCGCCTGCCAAAGGCTTGCACAGCTGTTTGTTGCAGCAGCCCTGGCTACAAGCTCCCCAGGCGAATGGTGCCTCTGGGGCTGGCCAGAGGGTGCTGGTTGCCAGGAGCTGAGGTGGCCTTGGAGCAAGCAAGCAAGTGGGTGAGGGAGCACAGCCAGCCAGTCCGCCAGCCCTTGCTGTTGGGAATGGACAGACAAGTCCCAGGCCCCTGTGGGGCAGTGTGAAGAGGCAGTTCTCTTTGGGGCAGGGGGGGGCAGCTCAGAGACCAGGGCAGCAGCAACGGCTGCCCAGAGGACTCCCAAGGGAGAGGAGAGGAGGCTGAGCGAACACTCCACAAGGGAGGGTGTTTGAGAAAGGGTGAGAGGCTGCTAGCTCTGCAGACAAGGGGTGACATAACTGGGCTCCTGAGCCCCACAAGGCTGCCTCAGAAAGAATGTAGTTGGGTCAAGGGAGCCATGGACTCATAAAGGTTGAAAACTTCTGACTTAAGGAGGTTTTGCCGTCAGATTTAGCCACGGAGCTGGCTTCTCATCTTTCTCTGATTCCTGCACTGGCTGTTTGTTACTTATAACCCAGCTCTTCCTTCTTCTATGCCTCAGCAGCAGCCCACTTTGAACTCTGGTGAAATAGTCCCTCCAGTTTCTCTGCCCATTAAAAAAGGTAGAGGATTTTGAGAGGCCATTTTACCCAGCTTTAATTTTTCCTCCTATGCTCCCTGTTTACTGTTCAGTGTAGAGAAGATACCTAGCTGGAAAATATTTATCCTGTAGAAAGAGTAATTGAAACATGATTTTTTTTAATGTGTAAAAACTTCCATCCCCCCCCCCCCGTTGTTTATGGAAGCTGCAGTTTCACTTCTAATTTGGTAGAATTCTGATGTGAAAGATAACAATGTCTTTGACATGCCATGGTATTGTTCTGTCTTGTCAGTGCAGGAATCTTCTGTTCGTGTGCACCAAGGCTTACTGTTCAATTCTGCCCTGTGGCAAAATTGAACAATATGATTAAGGGTTCATCTAACATTTCCCTTTGCACTGCGCTTTTAAGCACAGGTCTGGGATTTCCTGATCTGTGTCCAAGTGGTTATTGCCATTTGCTCCAATTCAGCAGTAAAACACTCTTGACACGGACTTGGAAACTGCAGACCTGTGGCTAGAAATGTGGCACAAAAGGAATTGTGGATGAGTACCAAAATATTTTTGGTCCTATTTGTCATTTGGTCTGAAGGTTTGTTGTTTTCTTGAATGTGTTTAGCAATATATTATTGACTGTTGTCCTAACCATTTTGATTTCATTTTATCCGTAGGGATTTAATGTGATTATAAAAATACTTGACCTGTCACCTTGTTTTGCAAAGCTGTTAATACAGGAGTCATTTGATACAGCCATTTTTTATCAGATGTCCATGTGTTTCACTGAGCAAAGAGACCAGCAGGTATCTCAGCTTTCAGTCTTCTCTTTTCCTCTGACCTTCTCCCTGCTCCTTCCCCAGAACATTTAATACGACATGCTCTGGAAGATGTTCACCCAGTTTCAATTGCATGTCTTCTCAATTTAGTTTCAGAGTCTTTGTTGTAAATGCTTTGCTAAAATAGCTGACAACGATGATTTAAAAAACCTGATGTTGGAGAAAGCCTGTGCTGAGTATAATACCATTATGGTTGAATGCTTACTCTTGCTGGGAGCTGATGTGAATAAGGAGACAAAGAAAAACTCTTTAATCTATCAAGTACGTATGTTAAAATATAATTTTTTGCATCAGTTTGAAATATGTATGCCTGACCTTTTTAAGAAAAACATCCTGCAAAAAGAGCTGAAACACAGATGCATTTGACACCATACTGAGTACACAAGAGAAAAATTCTTAATAGTTAATTTAGAGGCTGCCCTTTAAAAACCGATCACTTGACTCCGATCATGTCAAACATCCTAAGCATGCATGAATTGCATATAAGTATAAAGCAAAGTCAGTTTCCAACATTGCATCCTATTCCTCAAACCTTCTGTCACACTTTGGTGTGACCATTGACTAGAACTCAGAATGGTGCTACGCAGGCAGCAACAAGCTTGAAAAATCTAGAGAAACACTAAAGACAATGAACAAGCATAGCTCACAACTCCATAATGTTCTGGTTTACTTTCCAGTTCATTCTCCTATTTAAGTGACTGCCTTTCATTTTTATAGAGGACCACCATTGGATTACTCTTAAATGCACGATGGCTGGCTCAGCCATGGCCAGAAGGGTTTCCCAGAGGCTCTTTAACAGTAAAAACCTTACTATTGCATAGTCATGTGGGTTTTCTGGAAAATTACAGTAATTTTGCATAGTTAAGAAACTGAAAACTTTGAAACAGGCATGTTTGCCTAATATTAACTTGCATTTGGCATGCATGGTTACTTATGAAATGAAAAATGTTGATGGAAAAATAAAACACTAGAAAGCAGGGGTGCCAACTTGTCCTCCACATTGAGGAGGCACAGTCATGTGATGTGTCACATGATGCTTCTTGGCATGCACCAGGCAGGGGCAGGCTGCACAGAGGGTGATCTCTGCACTTGCTCATCCCAGCCTCATACCAGGAGCCAGGCAGCGGCTGGGACGCGCAAGCGCAAAGGTCGCCCTCCATGCTTGTCCCAGCCGCCGCCTGGTTCTTGGGATGCCGGGTGGAGGCTGGGGCCAGGGTACGTGGAGGGCACCTGGCAGCAACGGGGGATAGCGGCTCCCTCAATATTGGGGGGCAATGCCCCCTGCCAAAATATATTGGGGGAATTGAAGCCCCCTTTGCCCCATATACCTGGTGCTGCTGCTAGAAAGAGAGTGAGAAAGAAAGAAAGAAAGAAAGAAAGAAAGAAAGAAAGAAAGAAAGAATTGTAGGAACAGGAGACACACCCACTAGCTTGCCAAAATTATGTGCCATTTGCATTAATCATCTATTTCTCTTTCATAGATTTGTGAAAAAGGGAGCAATCCTAAGTTGGTAGAACTGCTATTAAACGGCGGTGCTCGAGAGCAGGATGTCCGGAGTGCTCTCACAATCAGCATCAAGAAGGGAGATAGCCAGGTCATTAGCTTGCTCTTAAAAAAGCTTAGTCTGGATTTGGCCAACAGCAGCATATGTCTTGGCGGTTTCTGCATTGGTAGAATTGAACCTTCCTGGCTGAGCCCCTTGTTTCCAAGTAAACAAGGATCCTTCAAGAAACAAAGTAAGTGGCTGTAGATGTTCATGTTAAAGTATGTATTGTGCTGTTGATACCTGCATGGCCCAACTACATGTAATTTTCAGCTTGTTTAAAGCTAGTTCCTTCAATAAGCAGTGTAGGCCCCTGATTTTTCTTTGCCATTGATTTCATCTGTACATATTGCTGGAACTCAAACATGATTTGTAACAGGCCATGTTTTACCTCCAAAGTTCTGCCCAACCTAAGTTTCCTGGCTTTTTATGTAGGAGGTTAATAGTTCCAGGTATGTTCTTTATTCACTGTATTGTAGCAACATTGGTGCATTCTTTCACATTGTGCTGGTTCAGACAATCGTAACTTGACTTAGTAAGCCAATAGATGAACAAGCCTTTTGCCCGTAAGACTGGGAAACAGTGGTTATCAAGTCTGGAACAAACCAGAATATTGACTCAAGTTCAGATTGTGGTTTAATGTTTGGGAAAGGGTCAGAGTGGCAGAACATCTGCTTTGTAAAAGGCCCCAGATTCGGTCCTCGGCATCTCTAGGAAGGACTGGGAGAGACACCTGCCTGAAACCCTGAGAGTCACTGCCAATTGATATAGACAACACTGAACTGATGGTCTGAGTCCGTTTGAACCAGCTTCCTATATTCCTGTATGACTTGTTCTAAAGCTGGAGTAGGGTGAGGCTTCAGGGAATACGATCCCTCCCACGATGGGAAGCCAAGAATTAGATAAACAAGAAGAGTTCTTACCAAGTCTTTTATTCAATATTCACAGAGAGAGGCTTTGAAAAGTGCCTCTCTTGCAGTAATAGCATTGCTTCGAGTAAAGCCCCACTCCCTCTGTCTCTCCTATGTATTGAACATCATCCCTACGTTGGCTGATCTGTGCTTTCTGCCTATGAGCTTTCTGTTCTACTATCCATGCCTGCTGGGTTCTGGGAGAAGGGTGGGTGGGTCTGGAATGCTTTCTAAAGACACTGAGTTTGTCAGATGTCTCTCCCCTGGTGCTTTTTCTTCTTCTTCTAACTCCTCTCCTGATATTTCCCAGCTTCTCCCCTTTGCAGCCTCTGAACTATGACCTTTTGCAAACCACTGTTGTAAATCTATGCTGTCTTCCTCTTCTCTGGGGGGGCAGTCTCCACCATTCCTCCTCAGACCAGTCCCTGACAAGTAGTAACCATAATTTCTTGTTTGGGATTAAATGGGGAACTATGGTTAATTAGAGACTTATTGGTTTAATCACAGTTCACACAAAGGGCAAAAGACCAGTGCATATCTCTGCTTATTAAGCTGAGATACAATTGTCCAAATGCAACTATTGTATATATACTCTGTCCAATGCAAGTTTTTTTTGTTTCCTGTCCATCAGATGCAGGCTCTGCACTGGCCAGAATGGTGCTTAGATACCAAAAGAAAAGCAGCTATGAGGACCAGTCAAGTTCTAGTTTTGAAGAGAATACTGATGAAAATATAAAGGAGCAGCTTGATGACTGGGAACTTCTTCCTGACCATTTAGTCGACAGTGTTTTCTGCTTGAGTGATGGTATAGATAGTGAAGGTATATTTGCTAGATTAAATGAAGGATTTGCCACTCCATTACTTCTTTTTTCCAAATAATTTTTATTGGTTTTCATGTGAATACAAGAACAACATATAACTACAGTAACTTTTCCTGTGTTACATTCTTAGTAAGTTTCATATGCAGTACACAAGTAATACCTTTATTTATACATTGTCAGTTCAAGTATCCTCTCCACAGAAATTCTTGTGTTGTGGGTGGAATAAAAGTATCTTCTGTCTCATTTATAAAACAAAAGAATGGAAGCCAAGTCTCACACAAAGTGTCTATCTTTGAAGTGCCTTTAATTACCCTTCTATGGCGAGTAAGGCATTCTGATAGAGGCACATTCCAAATATTATTTACCCAGGTTTCAATGGAGATTTCTATAGGTTGTTTCCAGTATCAGGCTATTGTCTATCGGGCTGCTGATAATAGAAAAAAAATACTAAGTCCCTGCATTTAAGATTATTTAAATTTGAATCTAAAGATAACAAGGCAAGAGCTGAATTAGGTGGACGGGATTGCTGCGTAATTTTGGAAATAGTGTGGAACACCTTTTTTCCAAAAGGAGTATACCAATATGCAACTCAACCATGGATGAAGATATGAGCCTATCTCTTCAGCCTTTCCAGCATAGGGGAGAGATGGTAGTGATTATTTTGGCTAGACATGATGGAATCCAGTGCCAGTGAAATATAATTTTAAGAGAAGCTTCCTGCAAACTACTCCATTACAATCTTAGCCTTCAATTTGTAGCCTTAACCTGACCTGTTTGACTGTTTGGCACAAGTGTACCTAGCTACCCTGTATACAGAGGTCTTGCATAGGGCTAAGGCTCCTAGTAAGGGAGCATGTTCTTGCAGTTATCCATTTGCTGCTGGCCATGGTTAAGAGTGCAAGGACGCGGGTGGCGCTGTGGGTTAAACTACAGAGCCTAGGACTTGCCGATCAGAAGGTCGGCAGTTCGAATCCCCGCAATGGGGTGAGCTCCCATTGCTCGGCCCCAGCTCCTGCCAACCTAGCAGTTCAAAAGCACATCAAAAAGTACAAGTAGATAAATAGGTACTCTGGCAGGAAGGTAAACGGCGTTTCCATGCACTGCTCTGGTTTCGGTGTTCCGTTGCGCCAGCGCCCTAACCCCAGAGTCGTCTGTGACTGGACTTAACTGTCAGGGGTCCTTTACCTTTAAGGCTCCTAGTGCTACACCCTCCCTTCTTTGACAGTGTTCTATGAACACAGTCCCTTGTATTCGCTTTTATTTTCTATTTGTTGAAATAAAAATGAACTTAAAAGCACAAATGATTTCTGTGTATGCACACATATTCACACATGTACACCTGAGTTGAATGTGCAATGTAGAGGGGGGGGCGGAAGGTGGGTGAGAATTATGCTTCTTTAGAAAATAAAAAAGGAATGACTGTTCGGATGGAAAGATAAATGAACTGGACTTGTCCCTTGTGCACCTCTTTATTTTGTTTGACCTTATAATGCTGCTGCTGGCAGAACTGAATCCCACCAGAGAAAAGTTGCTAAAATATAAAGTCACTTCCAAAGTTTAGTATTTGAAATGGTGACCACAAGTCAAATTGCCCTGCATGGAAAGGATGGCAGGAAGGGGAATCTAGAAAGTGACAGCAGCGTGGAAAATCATGAAGTTAAAGACTGTGTTAAAAGGAAGCTTTTTGAGAAACACTGAAGGATAGTAGATTCTATCCAATAAGGAAAAAAAAAAAAGAAAAAAACAGCAAAAGAAACAGCAGGATGTAGTCAAAGAAAGGGCACGGGGAAAGAAGAAAAGGAAAACAGTACAGTTGTACCTTGGTTCTTGAACGTAATCTGTTCCAGGAGTCCGTTCAACTTCTGAAACATTTGAAAACCAAGGCACGGCTTCTGATTGGCTGCAGGAGCTTCCTGCACTCAAACAGAAGCTGCGTCGGACATTCGGCTTCTAAAAAACATTCGAAAACCAGAACATGTCTGGGTTTTCGGCGTTCGGGAGCCAAAATGTACAAGTACCAAGGCGTTTGAGAAGCAAGGTATGACTGTACAGAGAAATAGTATCTGCTGTATGTGTAAATTAGTCTTCATAAATGTTAACATTTATTGTTATTTTATATCCTGCCCTTCCTCCCAAAGCAGTCCAGGGTGGCAAGTATCAGTTCCTGCTCCTGGTGTTGTGCTGGTGACATTTCTGGCATTTAGGCTTCTATTTGTTTGAATTCTTGGCTTCAGTTTATGTAGCCATTCTTGCAGTCTCATTTAACCCGCCCGCCCCTTTTTTGCCTCAGGGAGTGAAAACTCAATTATCGTGAAGAAGAAATCCAACTCCGTGGCTGTTGCAGACGTCCACAAAGACAGGGCCTTGCAGATGGGTTCTCAGACCCTGAAAAGGAATTCCAAGTCTGTGGTAAGAAAAATAATCAAATGGGTGTAAAGTCACATTAGATGGTTTATGTTGTAAACCGCCCTGCAGTTTTTTGATGGTGGGCAGTATGTAACTGAATGAATGAATGAATGAATGAATAAATAAATAAATAAATAAAAGGTGTATCTGCAAGTGATAAAGGGACTTCTTTAGCTTTTTGTCTCTTGACTCCTTGTCTGGGGAAAGGGCAGGATATAAACAAATATCATCATCTACATACATAGCAGAAAGAAATGCAATAACTATAGCATAACAGTGCATTGCAGCTGTGCAATTTCTATAAGAAATAGCTCCTGGACCACATATTCTTCTTAAAGCCCCTTTGTCCACAGTGCTAATCACATCAAACAATCTGCACTGATTTCTCATATGCTCATTAAGTGCACACAGGGCAGTATTCAACTAAAATAATTGTGGGAACACAAGGAATACCACTGGCGCAACAGGACTAACCTCTCTGTTCACCCACGTCCACCCCATGCCATTCCCAAATCTGCTCTAGAGGGTTGGAGGTGGTCAGTTAATGGGTTAATTCTCCACAAGTCAGCAGAGATTACTCATTTCCCGCAGTACACCTGCAGGTATCTTGTGATTCTCTTATCTGGCAAGTAACTTTGTATATAAAAGGGCTCAGGTTACAGCATACTGTGTGTTTCTGAAACGTAGGTTGCTTTGTTAATGCTGATACCGCAAGCAAAGCATAATAATTTGATCATCCACTCTTTTTAAATGCATCTAAATGTTCATAAGGGGACGCGGGTGGCGCTGTGGGTAAAAGCCTCAGCGCCTAGGGCTTGCCGATCGAAAGGTCGGCGGTTCGAATCCCCGCGGCGGGGTGCGCTCCCATTGCTCGGTCCCAGCGCCTGCCAACCTAGCAGTTCGAAAGCACCCCCGGGTGCAAGTAGATAAATAGGGACCGCTTACTAGCGGGAAGGTAAACGGCGTTTCCGTGTGCGGCTCTGGCTCGCCAGATGCAGCTTTGTCACGCTGGCCACGTGACCCAGAAGTGTCTCCGGACAGCGCTGGCCCCCGGCCTCTTGAGTGAGATGGGCGCACAACCCTAGAGTCTGTCAAGACTGGCCCGTACGGGCAGGGGTACCTTTACCTTTACCTTTAAATGTTCATAACTGCAACATTTAAGCTTTCGGTGTTTTCCAGGGACCTGGGTCACATCACGAACCATTTAAGAATCCAAGAAGAGGGCAAATGTCTTCTGAAGAATCACACAGTAAGTGTATATCCACAGTAGGTTTTTAATTAAAGAAGTTCACATCATTCTGTATTCACTTAAATTCTACATACAGTTACCATTCTTCATAAGAATATGTGTGTAATTTAAACATCTAAGAAGTAGACTACATAGTACAAACTGGTATAGAATTGTGCAATTGGAGAAATAAAATGCCCACCTAATTAAATTTCTTGCTACATCAGTGGGTAAAGTCCCATCAACACATTCTATGCCCAAGTCTTCTACATGCCTAGAGAAAGTAGTTGTAAAGAACTATGCTTGTAAAGAACCGGGTCTCTGGCCTGAAGCAAAATTCCTTTTTCATGCAAAATAAAGTAATACAGCCAAGATCTTGAGCATATGTAAAAACATTTGTGCATTTCCTCATACCTTGAACAACAACATCATAGTATAGCTTGTACCTATTAAAGCTGCAAGAAAGAGAAGTGGAATACGTGGAAGCTGTCAAGTTGTTTTTGGTCCGGCTAGCTCAGTGTTGTCTGCTCTGGCTGGCAGAAACTGAGGTTTCTGGAGGTGATATTTCTAACTCGACTTCCTGAGATCCTTTAGGTGAAGATAGGTGCATTTGAACTGGGACTGTAGTTGTAAAGCATGTACCTGGTTTATCTATAAAATATTTGTATACCAATTTGTCATTAAAAAAAATCAAAGGGGTTTGCAGCAGTAGAAACATAAAATCATACAAGAAAAACGATAAGAAAATTAAAATCAGACATCAATTAACCATTCTTGATTGCGTGTCTACGCCTGGTGCAATAGAAAATTTTTCAGCAAACATTTAAAAGTTGGCAAAGAAGGCCGCTGAAGATGGAGGGGAAAGTTTCCTTATTTGTTTAAATTATTTATTTATCTATTTGTTTTCCAAAAATGTCCGTTGCACAAAAAATACAGTGAAGCAAAAATTATATACACCTGGCTATCCTGAAGCTTAACATTCCAGAGCCTCACAAATAAAAACCACATTTCTATAAATTTATTTGACTGTTGTTCCTTACTCATTCTTCTGTAAGGTTAATTTAAATAAGATAACTATTTTCCATATTCTGCTAAAGCTGTTTGGTAACACTGGGACTGTGTTCTTTTTTCCAATTAGCTGCTATACAAATCCAAGTAGTGATAAGAAGATTAATAACCATTTCCAAGTTAACGTAAATAATTAAGTCTTTTAAATATCCCAGTAATTATACCTTTGGATCTAGTGGTAATAAGTAACCAGTCATTTGCCTAATTAGACTTTGAATTGTAATCCAGAAAGTCTGAATTATAGGGCATTTCCAGAATATATAAAAAGAATGTCCGTTCTGCTTTGCACCTCCAAAAACGACTCTACTGGCAGATAAATCTTGTTTACTCTGTATGCCATTGATACTAAATTTTAAGGAAATTTTCTCTGATCTCAAGCTGTGTAGTATCTTGCTTCACATCTGTTGAAATTCTCAGATATTTCTGCCTTAGGTTTCTTACCCTTTTCATCATAAAGGTACCTAATCTCCCCCCAAGTAGAATTCAGCGTCATACTAGTACAGATATTCCAGCTGCGCAGTCGTTGCAGTTTGCCAGTTGGAGCAATTGGCCATCTCCCCCTGAATACTGTAATGGGGGTTCCCCTCCCCCAGAGCCAGGGGGTGCAGGGCACAAGGGGAGGAGAGGGGGGAAAGCCCCATTGCATGAAGGAATCCTTGCTCAGGCTTCTGCTTAATGAGCTATGTTAGGTGAATCCCGCTCAAAATATGTATTTTGCTTATGCTCACTATATTGACATTTTGGTGACACTATGGCAGAGAAATGTATCTCTGCAAATACAGTGGTGCCTCGCAAGACGAAAAGAATCCGTTCCACGATTCTTTTCGTCTAGCAGTTTTTTCATCTTGCGAAGCAACCCCATTAGCGGCTAAGCGGATTAGCGCTATTAGCGATTTAGCGCTATTAGCGGCTTAGCGGGCTTAGCGGCTAAGCTGTTAAAAGGCTATTAACGGCTTAGCGGCTTTGAAAAAGGGGGGGGAGCGGGGGGGAAATGGCGAGACTCGCAAGACGTTTTCGTCTTGTGAAGCAAGCCCATAGGGAAATTCGTCTTGCGAAGCGCCTCCGCAACGGAAAACCCTTTCGTCTTGCGGGTTTTTCGTCTTGCGAGGCATTCATCTTGCAGGGCACCACTGTACATTTCCATGTAAATCTATTTGTTTTCCTCTTTACTTCCATCCAAAATGGTAGATCCCGATGGTTAGCATTTTGAGGCAATTTCTCAACCATGTGGCAAACCAATCAGGAAGTTCTTAAGTGTTCATAACTGCTGGTCAAAAAGAAATGTCATTTATACTGTAGCAAGCATTTCCTGATAAAGCTAATGTTTCTGCATTCATTCATTTATAAAATAGACACCCCAAATCGATTGGACAGTTCCTCTTCGTCAATCCCTGACAGGGAATTTATTAAATCACTTGATCTTTCATCAAATGAGCTGGAGAATATAGATAGCATCAGTCAAAGCTCTTGCTTAACTACTCATTTGGAACATCTTGAGAAATTAGAGCTTCATCAAAATGCCCTTCCATGCATTTCTGAACAATTGTGTGAGGTGAGTCTAACACAGTGCTGGAATATATATTTATGTCATACTATCAATGTATTTACTGTATCATAAAATAGTTTAAAGTGCCCACTAAAAAGATCCAATTCATCCTTCTTTCTTCCAGAGCTTGAAGTGTTTAACTTATCTGGATCTGCACAGTAACCGTTTTAAATCGTTTCCTCCATACCTGTGGAAAATGCCTCATATAGCACATCTTGATATCTCCCGCAATGAGATTGGTCCTTCCTTAATCTTGGATTCAAAGATTGTCTGTCCATCTCTAAAGCTACTGAATTTATCATACAACCAATTGTCATGCATTCCCGAATTTCTCTCCAATGTTGCACAAAACCTGGAGCACCTTATATTAGAAGGGTAAGAACAGGTCATGTTGATTTTGATATATGGTTCTCAAGGGTTGTTGGCAGCAGTGAATTGAAAGATGAGGAAAGGGCCTGTAGGTCCCTCCATCTGATGCTGGGTTACAACTCCCAGCATCTCTGGCCATTGGAGACCAACATTTACAGGGTCACCCCTGCCCTACACAAAAGTTCTGTGGCTGTGTATGTCCCAGTTCATCATTTTATGAAACCTTATTAACCCCTCCACCACCACCCAGCCATACAGAAGGAGGAGTGGGAGCATGGGAGCCTGAGGTTTCCTTAGCCCAGGGGTCTGCAACCCGCGGCTCCGGAGCCGCATGTGGCTCTTTTACATCTTTGCTGCGGCTCCGGGGCGGATACTAGCGAGGGGAGGAGGCGCATTGTGCGCCCCGACACTCCTCACTGTGGTGGGCGCTGTACTGGCTGTGACGTCGCATGGGGGCGGTGCGTGCGTTAGTCATGCACCGTCCCGACGTCACCTTCTCGCCCGCTGTCAGATCGCGGCTCCGGAGATATATTTGTTTTAAATGTTGCAATGGTTTTGCGGCTCCCAGTTTTTGTTCCCTTCGGAAACGGGTCCAAGTGGCTCTTTTTGTCTTAAAGGTTGCAGACCCCTGCCTTAGCCCATTCCTCCACTTGATGTTAAACTGATTTAGCATGACATGCAAATGTGGCCAATGCACTGCAGCCCAAAGTGTGGGCTGCAGACCTCTAGCATCTTTCCATATGCATCTTTTTTGTGTATGCTACTTATAACTCTTATTTGGTTTTCTTTTTTCCTAGTAACAAGCTTTCAAGTGTGTGCTCACCGTTATGTTTGAAGGAACTGAAAGTGTTAAACATTAGTAAGAATGCTGTATCCTTCTTGGCTGAGAATTTCCTAAAAGACTGTTTGAAGCTGGAGACACTCAATGCTGGGATGAATTCACTCGGTGAGTGTATGAAGTGGCACAGTATTATGGCTGTGAGGCATGGGAGCAAGTGAAGTGGGGTGTGTAGGAGGAGAAGGAGAATGATGTAGTTAATATTTGTGCTATTGTTTGCTGTCTACTGCAGTGTATTTATAAGACTAGTACTGTCATGAGTCACTTTTAGTGTATATAAGTCCTTGGTTTTTGTATTGTATGTTTTTTTTAAAGGTGTACGTCGCCTTGGATGCCTTTAGGCAGAGTGGTGACTGGGAAATACTATAAATTAAATATAAAACCAACCTGAAAAATAGAAAGCTTTAGTAATTGCTATGCAACTGTAAAAGGCCTTACTTTCAAGTATTGCTTTTAAAAGGAGAAAGCCATGATTTTTGCAAATGTGTGAACAATAAGTGGGGGTTTTGTGCTCATACATCTGCACCCAACAGAGAAATGTCTTGTTGGAAGTGGCCCTAATATTGCCATATTATAAGATGGGAAATTGAGGTTGAGAGATGATGACCTGCACAAAGCCACTTGTCAAATTCACGGCTAAGGTGTGATTTTTAGTCCCATGCCATCTTTACATGTCTTTTCCAGGCTGATTAATTTTATAGCGCAAAACATCCATAGCTGCTGCTAATTTGTGCATTAGGGTCCAGACATCTTCCAAATTTCATGTCCAGTCCTGATGAGGCAGAACCCGTGGACGGATTAGGGAAATGGAGATCAGACAAATAGCCTGAGGCAGAGGGTGTTGAAACACGAAGTGTTAGGAAAGCAAAACAGTAGACGTCTCTTATTTCAATGGTTGGCATCTGTCTGTCTCAGGAGACAATGGAAGAGTGTGCCTTCGGGGCTGAAGTCAAACTGTTGGTTATAGTTAGATTATATGATAACTGCCTTCCTATATTGTGTGTGTTATTTAACAATTTTACTAACTGGTAATGTAATTGCTTTTCTTTTTTCTGTTTTTAGAGGCCACACCTGATTTGCCGCCTAACATAACTACATTGAAATTATCTCAGAATAATTTTTCTAGTGTTCCAGAAGCAATTCTTCTTCTCCCACAGTAAGTTTCTACAGTATTTCCCTTTCTGAATAATTGCATGCTCGTGTAGCCAGTGCAGAGATTTGAGGATCAGCAACATGTGTTGCTGCCCCACTAAAACAGCCCGTCAGTGGCTTTCTGCATCAGCTGCAGAAACCAAACAGTCTTTGAAGTTAGCCCCACATACAGCACATTGCAATGCTCCAATTGTGAAGTTGCTACAGCATGGGCTGCTGAAATCACACCATCCTGCTCAAGCAGTGGCTGTAGCTGGTGAAGCAGCCATGCTGGGCAAAGGCACTTCTCAAGACTGAATCCACCTGGCACTCAAGTAACAGGGTGGAACTGAGGGGTGTCCCCAAGCTACACTCCTGTTCCTTCCACAGAAGCGCAATTCCATCCAGAACAGGCAGTTTCCCTAAATTCTAGACCTCAGAACCATGCACCCACAGCATCTCCATCTTTTCAGGATTCAGGCTCACTTTACTGGCCCCATCACTGCCTCCAGACAGCACCTGCACAGTCTCGATCCTGATTCAGATGGAATGGAGAGACAAAGCTGGGGGTTCATCAGCATATTGGTTACACTGTGCTCCAAAACCCGAAATAAAGTCTTTCAGAGGTTTCATATAGCTATTAATTAGCATTGCTTCCTTAGGGGCAAAGCCCTTTTGGGAGAATGTAAGGTGGTCTGCCAAGTCGAACTCTGACCCACGATCATCCAGGTTATGCATAGACTTTGGAAATCCAACTGTCTGTATTCGAAAGACTTAACATGTATGTTGCTTCAAAACTGCTTTTTCTGTCTCTTTCTTGAAGCTGAATGTCCAGCAACTCTGTCATAGTTCGGCTATATTAAGTCTTTCATAGACTTTCCTATGACTTTCTTAGTTTAAGAATGTCCGAGGATCAAAGCAGTCCTAGTCCATCTATCTGATCGAGACCACAATGAGTGTTCTAACAGATGCCACTTAGGCCTTATTAGTATAGAAACAGAGATAAACAGGCATCCACTGGCTTAATCTTCAACACGGTGGATAAAATAAATATGCCTGTTCCAGGATAATAATTTTTTTTAGTGTATAGTTCTTTGAAATAATCTTCTCATAACAAGTTTGCATATTCCTCATTTTCTTTTTAGTCTGAGATCAGTGGATTTAAGCAACAATAAGATTACAACTCTGCCTGGGCCAGTTCATTGGAAAATGTCTAATTTAAGGGAGTTGCTGTTTAATCATAATCAAATAAGCATCCTGGATCTGAATACAAAAGCTTTCTTGTGGTCTCGGCTCGAAAAGCTTCACCTCTCCCACAACAACTTAAAAGAGGTAAGCTGTGAGCTTCACTATTAATAGGGTGGTTGCTCTTAAGAATGATATTCTTACTTCACCACAGCACAGTTCTATAAAAAAAAACAACCTGTTTGATAGGGACAAGGTTTTTCCTATGATTTCTTGTTGTTGTTGCTTTATTTTCAAAATTACTCTTTCAACACCAATTTCTTTGGATGCCTGAGTAGCAAGGTGACCTTATCACTAAACAACTGTGTAGGGTAGCACTTCTGCCACAGAAGCCAATGGGAAAGATTGTGCTGTGGAGGAACCACAAGAAGACAAAGGAAGAGCCACAAACTTGATACAGTGGTACCTTGGGTTAAGTACTTAATTCGTTCCGGAGGTCCGTTCTTAACCTGAAACTGTTCTTAACCTGAAGCACCACTTTAGCTAATGGGGCCTCCTGCTGCTGCCATGCCACCGTGGCAGCAGCAATTTCTGTTCTCATCCTGAAGCAAAGTTCTTAACCTGAAGCACTATTTCTGGGTTTGCGGAGTCTGTAACCTGAAGTGTATGTAACCTGAAGCGTATGTAACCCGAGGTATCACTGTACTATAAGTATGCAAGGAAGGCTGAGGTAACAGGCAAAAGACTCCCCAAAAACAGTTTGAAGAGGATCAGGCTGTATTTCATTATGCCAACAGCTGTGTGTGATGGATGGACAGTGGCGCACTAATAAGACCCAGTGAAGGAGTTGTCCTGGAAGGGGTCAGTCTACTGGCCTAGTTATGAGAAAAGAGTTATAGAAAGCTCTGCTTAAGGTTAGCAAGCCAGTGAACACAGTCAGTTTGGTGAGACTCTTAAGAGGAGGGCAGAAGAGGGACATCTGCTCAAAGATCCTCAAATGGTGAGGAGTGCAACTTTGATTAATCATTTGCTCCTTTTAAGAACCCTGGGGTGGGTGGGTGGGTGTGTAGGTATGTGTAGATTCATATTTCTTTGGTCCATAAATGTTTTCAGAGGGATCACTAAGAATGAGTCACTAGGTGCAGGATCTGTAGGGTGATGTCTGAGCAGAAACAGAACACCATTTTTAGATAGCTCTCCAAGGGTATTAGGATGCCTAAAAACAGTTTTGCAAAGGAGCAATATAGCATTTCTATAGAAGGATGCATTGCTACTGGAGAAAAATGATTTATTCTAAATTAATCATTTGTTCCAAATTGCAAGCTATCCACTGTAGATAAAATATGTTGTCTATGTTACAAATATTGTAGAATAGTAAATGAAACAAGGGATTTGCTATATTAATTATTATTTGTTCATTTTAGCTGTTGATATGCTTGATCTTGCACAGATAAATTACTCTATCCCTCCCCCCAAGAAGGATTTTTGTTAATATGCTTCCTCTCTCTCTCTCTAGATTCCTCCTCAAATTGGGTTCCTTGAAAATTTAACATCTTTTGATGTAAGTTACAATCCAGAATTAAGAAGCTTTCCTGATGAAATGGGAAAGTTATCCAGAATATGGGACCTTCCTTTGGAAGGGTTAAATCTTAACTTTGACTTCAAGTATGTGGGATGGAAAGCCAGAGACATTATAAGGTTAGTTGTCTCAACATTCTTATGGGTGGGTGTGTATTGACTGTTTAAAAACAAAACAAAACAATACCAACAGTATACCTATCAATTCAATTTAATTTGTATGTTTAAAAAATGGACAAATTGTTCAAAACAGGAAGGCTGAAGTGGCAAATCTGTAAGAATAAATTTGCTGCTTTTTTGTTAATGTTTTAGAATTTGCTGGTATCAACAGGATCTGTCTTAACAGGTAAAACTGCTAAGCTGCAGAACAAAACAATGCAATTGGAATAAATAAAAAATAAGGACAAATTTTTACATAAGTAAAACTTTGTGGGATCATGGGCAGTGACCAGTGATGGTCACTGGCTTTAAACAAATAACTGAACTGAGCTGAAATGTAATGTAATGTAATTAGTCTTAACTGGTGGTTAATTGAAACAAGCCATAGAATCATAGAATTGTAGAGTTGGGACCCCGAGTGTCATCTACTCCAACCCTCTGGAGCAATGCAGGAATCTCAACTAGATCATACATGACAGATGGCCATCCAACCTCTGCTTGAAAACCTCCAAAGAAGGAGAGTCCACAACTTCCCGAGGGAGACTGTTCCACTATCAAGCAGCTTTTACTGTCAGAAAGTCATTCCTGATGTTTAGTCAGAATCTCCTTCCTTGTAACTTGAATCCATTAGTTTGAAGTTGGCTTTTAAGATTAGCCGCAGGTTGTCCACGTTCAAACAAAACACTACTGTAGTTGGTCTGAAATGAAAACCTGGTCACAACCTCCTGCTGTTCTCCTTCTCATAGCAATAAGCTGTACATAATGCTAACATTAATGTTTTGCAATGTATAACTTGTTCTGCATGGTTCATATGAAGGGGTTTTTTTAATTACAATTTTCTCACGAAGGTTCCCTCCCTTACTCAAGGTTTCTTCAGCAGCGTTTAAAGAAAGCTGTCCCTTATAACCGGATGAAGCTCATGATAGTTGGAAATACAGGCAGCGGTAAAACTACACTGCTACAACAATTAATGAAATGCAAGCGACAAGACATGGAAATTCCGAATGCGACAGTTGGCATTGATGTGATTGACTGGAGGGTTACGGTGAAGAGTAAAACAAAGAAAGAGCTTGAATTAAGTGTCTGGGATTTTGGAGGTATCTTGTCGTATTTACATTTAACATCAAACTTGGCTTATGCACAGTGGGGAGATGGATTCCATCTCATCAGTTGTGCCCCCATTACATGTTTTTTTAAGGTCCAGTTGTGTAGTCTTCGTGGGACGCGGGTGGCGCTGTGGGTAAAAGCCTCAGCGCCTAGGGCTTGCCGATCGAAAGGTCGGCGGTTCGAATCCCCGCGGCGGGGTGCGCTCCCGTTGCTCGGTCCCAGCGCCTGCCAACCTAGCAGTTCGAAAGCACCCCCAGGTGCAAGTAGATAAATAGGGACCGCTTACTGGCGGGAAGGTAAACGGCGTTTCCGTGTGCGGCTCTGGCTCGCCAGAGCAGCGATGTCACGCTGGCCACGTGACCCGGAAGTGTCTCTGGACAGCGCTGGCCCCTGGCCTCTTAAGTGAGATGGGCGCACAACCCCAGAGTCTGTCAAGGGGTACCTTTACCTTTTCCTTTACTGTGTAGTCTTAAATGGCATAGTTGTTGTTTCCTATATTTTATGTAGATTAATAACTGCATGGCCTTAGTCTGTTTGGTTCAGACCTATGCACAAGGCAGCCTATGAGAGTGAACAGACCTGGCCAGTGGCTGGTGTAAGGCTCAGTATAAATGTGTGTTATGAACTTCCAGTCTTGTCCAAATCCAGCTTGCAATGATTCATCAAAACAATCTTAGGTTACATAGTAAATATTGGGTGTCTCATAACATTTTAGCAGTGTGAAAATGCAAGTGGTCATTGAACGTTTGTAATGAAAGTGTTTTGTCAGCCTTGATAGGTAAGGTGTTCGGTCTGGTTTAGTAGTCATAGAAACAGAGATAATTGCAGCCTGCTTATTTATTTATTTATTCAATTTATATACTGCCCTTCATTAAAGGATCACAGGGTGGTTTACATTATAAAAACACAAAAAACATAGCACAATAAAAAACAAAAATACCTCACCCACCCATGGACACACACACACACACACACACACACACACAGTTTAAAAGGCCTTAGATTGTTTAAAAATCTGAGAGAAAATGAATGTTTTCACCTAACACCTAATGAAGGCACCAGGCAAACCTCCCTGGGGAGAGCACTCCACAAACCAGAAGTGACCGCAAAAAAGCCCGTTATGGGGTTGCCACCCTCTGGACCTTTCCCTTTAGTTAATTTTGTTGCAAAACGTATAATATCCTTCCAATATTAAAAGCAGTGGAAATTGTTGCAGAGAAGAAAGAAACTGGAACTCTTCTCTGGATCCTGTCAAGCATAAAATTGCTTCCAAATTTCAGGGTTCTTGGGAGTGTGGTTACCTAATTTGGACTCTCCTGACGTGTTTGTAGGGAGCTTTTCAGAACAAGGTGCCTCTCAAGCTGTGCAATGTTAATTTTTTCTTAGCCTAAAAAGATTTGAACTCTGGGGTTTTTCTGTAAGAACTGGAGGTTGTGCAGATTACAGCATAGGAATGTTATTGTGGTTTTCTGTGACCTAGAGGAGAGAGAAAAAGCAAGCGCATAACACAAAAAAATGATGTTGTTATTTAGGCCAGGAGGAATTCTACAGTGCTCACCCCCACTTTATGACCCAGAGAGCTCTGTACCTTACTGTTTATGACCTTAGCAAAGGAGAGGCTGAAGTGGATGCTATGAAGCCGTGGCTGTTTAATATCAAGGTAACTTTATCAGGATCTTGATATCTGTTTAATATCAAGGTAACTTTATCATAGGGATGCGGGTGGCGCTGTGGGTAAAACCTCAGTGCCTAGGACTTGCCGATCGTATGGTCGGCGGTGGGGTGAGCTCCCGTCATTCGGTCCCAGCTCCTGCCCACCTAGCAGTTCAAAAGCACCCCTAAGTGCAAGTAGATAAATAGGTACCGCTTTATAGCGGGAAGGTAACGGCGTTTCCATGCGCTGCGCTGGTGCTGGCTCGCCAGAGCAGCTTCGTCACGCTGGCCACGTGACCCGGACAGCGCTTGCTCCCGGCCTCTTAAGCGAGATGAGCACGCAACCCCAGAGTCGGTCACGACTGGCCCATACGGGCAGGGGTACCTTTACCTTTAACTTTAACTTTATCATACTGGAGGTACCCTCAGTAAGGTGGGTCCAAAGTTTGCTGAAAACACATCTGTTTGCTCAGGCTTTTCCTGACAGTGTTATCGGCCTGTCTTAGATACTGTTATTTTTTCTTCATATTTTCTTTAGAGTTTATTAAATTGTGAATTTAATAGATATAGTAACAATAACATGTTTTGTACTATGCTCATAAAATGTTATGTAAGATCATAGGTGGACAAATTTTCTATATTCGTTTTTCAAGTCTGCATATAGCATTACGTAGTGTCCCAGTTTGCACGTAATGCTAAGCCAAACCATGATTTAGCTTCAACAATCAAGATTCCAGACCAAAGTTCATGGCTGTGCAGTGCTCTTCCCCTAATCTACCTGAGGCTAAGTCCTGGTTTGGTTTAGCATTATGTCCAATCCTGGGCTCATAGTTTGTCTCGGTTCAGAGAAATCATAAACCATAAACCTAGAACAAACCTTGAAGTGGTGCATTGACTGTTGAATATCCAAACTATATGTGATGCACTTTATGGGAAATACAGTGTAGGGGCAATGACTGACTCAGCAAAACCATCCTAAAAGCTGTATATTATGTACTGGATGAGAATCTTAATCAAGCACTGTGATTATCTGTTCTTTGCAGGCCCGAGCTTCATCTTCACCTGTGATTCTCATTGGTACTCATTTAGACATCTCTAATGACAAACAGCGTAGAGCTTGTGTCAACAAAATTACCAAGGAACTGATGAATCAGAGGGGATTTCCAGCAATCCGAGATTACCATTTTGTGAATGCTACTGAAGAGTCTGATGCTATGATGAAACTTAGAAAAACTATAATAAAGGAGAGTCTGAATTTCAAAGTAAGCCATGCCATTCATATAGATACATGTTCACATGCAGGAAAGTTTACTGTAGCACTTTGTTCTTTAAGGCTTGCAAAGTTGAATCAAAGCTTATGGTGCCATTAATCGGAACTACTACACAATCTGCAGCATTGTATCTCCTTAATGAGCCAGTGTGGTGTAGTGGTTAAGAGTGGTAGACTCGTAATCTGGTGAACCGGGTTCACTTCCTCGCTCCTCCACATGCAGCTGCTGGGTGACCTTGGGCTAGTCATACTTCTCTGAAGACTTTCAGCCCCACTCACCTCACAGAGTGTTTGTTGTGGGGGAGGAAGGGAAAGGAGAATGTTAGCCGCTTTGAGACTCCTTAGGGTAGCGATAAAGCGGATATCAGATCCAAACTCTTCTCTTCTAATGTGCAAAAAACATTTTACCAATCCTTATATCATAACCTTACAACAAAAAGTAGTTCATAAGTTATTCTCATTGCATAGACAGTGACTGTAAAGGCTTCAGAGAAATTGTAAATAATGCAAAGTATCCCAGTAAAGCCACCGTTGGGCTCCTTTGTAGGAAGGTGTGGGGTATAAATCTAATCATCAGGAGAAGGGAGAAGAGATTTGGAACTAGAAGTCAAGTATTATGCACAGTGTCATGTGAATTGTCAGTCGAGAGCAATAGAAATAAGTCATTTGGATTTATACATTTCTATGTCTTAAAACACACTCTCTTGTTTTCTCTTAAGATTTGTTGTGGTTGTTTTTGCTTGCCTTTTCCCCAGAGTGGGACTCAAGGTGGCTTGCACAAATTATCATGAAAAAATAGTAAAGGTAAAGGTACCCCTGCCCATACGGGCCAGTCTTGACAGACTCTAGGGTTGTGCGCCCATCTCACTCAAGAGGCCGGGGGCCAGCGCTGTCCGAAGACACTTCTGGGTCACGTGGCCAGCGTGACATCGCTGCTCTGGCGAGCCAGAGCCGCACACAGAAACGCCGTTTACCTTCCCGCTAGTAAGCGGTCCCTATTTATCTACTTGCACCCGGGGGTGCTTTCGAACTGCTAGGTTGGCAGGCGCTGGGACCGAGCAGCGGGAGCGCACCCCGCCGCGGGGATTCGAACCGCCGACCTTTCGATCGGCAAGCCCTAGGCGCTGAGGCTTTTACCCACAGCGCCACCCGCGTCCCTCATGAAAAAATACAAAGAAATAAAAAGATAAAAAAAGACAATAGTTTAAAAGCAATCAAATTCTAATAGAATTAAAACAATATGAAAACAAATCTATTAAAATACTGGTAATAAAAATAGCACGCCACTTTTAAAAGCCCTCTCCTTAAAAACTGTCAGTTCCAAATGGCCTGTTGGAATAAAACTGACTTCACCTGCTAGCAGAAGGACAAGGAGTTTTGTCAGTGTAATAATAGGAGGAGGTCTCGTTCCTCCACTGTCTTAGCACACTGCTTTGACTGAGCCAGCACTGCTGAGGTCAGTAGCATTGGGGAAACCACCCCCTGCTCTGACAGAGTACAAGAGCAGGGGGTGAAGAACTTCCCATCTTCTTCCACCACAGCAGCTGCCCAGGCTACTGAATGGGCAGAGTGGAGGCTGGCCGACCAGGATTTGGAGTTCCATTTCCCATGACATCATGGTTGTGATGGGGTCCAGTTTGGCCTAGAAATGGGCTCAGACTTGACCAAACTGTCCCCCAAGTTTTAGGATAAATTATTTAGTTTTCCAAACCTGAGGAGGGAGGTTTGACCCATCACTAAAGAATTCATAAAAAGGTCTAGACAAAGCATGTTTGCTCTACAGATCGGAGACCAGCCCGTTGTTGGGCAGTTAATCCCAGACAGCTACTTGGAACTTCAGAAGAGAATTTTAGAGGAATGCAAAAATGTTCCCGCTGAATTTCCTGTGATTGACCACAAGAGGTTGTTAGAATTGGTGCAAGAAAACCAATTGCAGTTGGATGAAAATGAGCTCCCACATGCTGTTCACTTTCTGAATGAATCAGGTAACATGCAACATCAAAATATGTTGTTCTTAGCTTTTGTGTCCTTTCCACCCTCCCTCTCCCTCCATTTTTTCTTACAGCTGGATTCTTATAGACTCATACCCTTAACTAGGAGAGAGACGACCATGAGGAAGGTATTTGTAGGGAGAATAGATAGGCAAGAAAAAAGGTAAAGTTGACACCCATCACTGCCCCTCTGCAAATGCCTCTCCTTGCATTTTAGCAAGTAGAAATGTGTTTAGGAAATGTGTTTGCTGCAACAATGTATATTTCTGCCTTTGCTCTAGCATAGTTTGGTGCATGAGACTATTTTCAAGAGAATTTTTTAATGATTGGAAGCCCCTTGCTTACCTGCAGTACTGCCCCAAGATTTTAAACAATCTATCCACATCTGAAAATGTACTACAGTGGAACCTCGGGTTATGTACCGTCCTCCTTACAAACGCTTCGGGTAATGAGCACCACTAACCCGGAAGTAGGTGCTCCTGGTAGCGAACTTTGACCCAGGATGCGAGCGGGAGTTGTGCACGGTGGCAGCAGGAGGCCCCATTAGTGAAAGCACACCTCAGATTAAGAACGGTTTTGGGTTAAGAACGGACCTCCAGAACAAATTAAGTTCGTAACCGGAGGTACCACTGTATGTACCTTTCTGTTTGTTTATTTCTGCTAAGAATAGCACACTTCTAGGTATAAAAGTTTTGCTATTGATCTCAAGTAGAATATCTTCATTCTCCTCTAAAATAGATAGACAACTGCTGAGATTCGTATTGTTGCATTAGTGAAAATTGCTTTGCAAAAATGGGTATATTGGGAGAAATTTGCACTAAGATGCTGGTGAATCTTATTGAAGATCCTCTGAAGAAAATAAAATCACAAGCTGATGTGGAAACGTGAAGAAGTGAACATAAGATTGGAATAAATAGAAAATGAAACTGACAGATTTCCCCATCCCTAATCCAAACGCACTGTTCCATCAAAATTGTCTTCCTTTAAGATTCAGTGGAGTCTTGCTCTTGGCTATTTTGGGTCCAATCTACCACAAGAACCAAGCAGTGCTAATATCTACAAGTACAATATGTGTTGATTAAAATATTAATTTGTTCTGCTCTTCACCCAGGTGTTCTGCTCCATTTTCAAGATCCGGCACTTCAGCTAAGCGACTTGTATTTTGTGGACCCTAAATGGCTATGTAAAATCATGGCACAGGTGAGTTTTCAGATGTTTTCTTTTTTTGTGACCAACTGAGTTCACATCGACCTCTTGCCTTCCTGCTTCAGGCCCCACTTTTTTTTCAAGAACTCTGAGTTTTGTTTCTTTTCCCTAGATCTTGACAGTGAAGGTCGAAGGCTTTCCTAAGTACCCAAAGGGAATCATAAAGCGTACCGATGTAGAGAACTTCCTGCTAAAGAAAAGCAAATTTCCTAAGGTTTACATGTGTAAATACTTCAGGCTTCTGGAGAAGTTCCAGATAGCACTGCCACTAGGAGAAGATCAGCTCCTTGTTCCAAGCAGGTAAACAAAAGGCTTGAAAGCAGGTGCTGTGTTAAGGAAATGTAGTGTTAGAAGTTCATGACTTGTTTTATCTTTGGTCTTTTTAGACTTGCCTGCTAATCAGAACTATGAAGAACACCTGAGAAAGAGACTCATTGCACATTCTGGCTACTTCTAACCCCTGCTTTCAGTCTATAGAAAAAAATAAAATCAGAAATATTAAAAACAACTTTACTTTTTCTTCCAGCTTGTCAGATAATAGGCCTGTGATAGAGTTACCACACTGTGAAAACTCTGAAATTATCATAAGGCTGTATGAAATGCCCTATTTTCCCATGGGATTCTGGTCCAGGCTAATCAACAGGTTGCTTGAAGTGTCGCCGTTTATTCTTTCAGGAAGAGGTACATTAATTTTCACATGGCTCCATTATTGCTCTCCTTGGCTAAAACATAATTAAACATAGGGAGTTTTGGGTGGGAGAGGGGACAGTATCCCAATTGAATATTGAAAGTAACTCAGAACTCTTAATATTGAAATTGCTGGCTTCTTTTTGTTTCCTTTTTAAAAAAATCTGTCGGGATTTTTATATTTTCTGTTTGATTTCTAATATTTTTACATGGCATTAGTAAGGGGAAGTGACCATAGCCCCTAGGATCTCTATTTAACAGAAATGCCTCTGTTGCTGGAAAATTGCTGCCAAGTCAGGAATAAACAATAAGAAATTAAATGGTAGTCTGATCCAGTATAAATCAGTATTCTGAACTGGTATAAATCAGATTCCTGATACAGTAGTATGTTTTTTTTAAATTACAAATTGGGGTGGGCACGGAGGAGGAAAGGTTGAAATAAATAATGGAGCTACTTCTTTTGCTTACTACTGTATTTTTCGCTCTATAAGACGCACCAGACCACAAGGTGCACCTAGTTTTTGGAGGAGGAAAACAAGAAAAAATATATTCTGAATCCCAGAAGCCAGAACAGCAAGAGAGATGGCTGGGCAGCGAAAGCAGCGAGCCCTCTTGCTGTTCTGGCTTCTGGGATAGCTGCGCAGCCTGCATTCGCTCCATAAGACGCACACACATTTCCCCTTATTTTTTAGGAGGGGAAAAGTGAAACTTAAAGAGCAAAAAATGCTGTAATTTTTAATGTATTATAGTTGAACCCTAGCCTTTGCTGAATCAGTATTTCATTATTTCAGTTTATCTTTCTCAACTGATTCATGACATGTTATACATGTTCTGAGGCCATACTAACATGCAAATATGCAGTTACTTACGTGCTTATGCTTTGCACTTTCATGCAGTGATATAAAATCATGGCAATATATAGCTAAGAGGTGGTGTGCTTTGTCAGATAACCTGTGTAGACTTACAGCAGGAAAATAGTCTTTGCAAAGCCATTTTTTTCTTTCTCTGCAGAACGAGCTCTTCGTCCTAACAGGATGTATTGGAGGCAAGGCATATATCTGAACTGGTCACCTGAAGCCTATTGCCTGGTGGAATCGGCAGTTTTTGAAAACAACCCAAACAGTTTCCTCAAAATTACTGTGCCTTCTTGCAGAAAAGGTTAAACTTACATCAGAATGAATATTTTGGGGAGGAGAATGATGTTGGGTTTGCACTTTGTAGCTGTAGCACACCACGGTCCGAATAACATTTTCTTTACTCTCATCCAGGTTGCATCCTCTTGGGGCAAGTTGTTGATCACATTGATTCTCTTATGGAAGAATGGTTTCCGGGCTTGCTAGAAGTGGATGTTTGTGGTGAAGGAGAAACACTCTTGAAAAAATGGGCTTTGTATAGCTTTGAGGATGGTGAGGAGCACCAGCAAATATTACTTGATGACCTTCTGAAAAAAGCAGAAGAAGGTATCGAGTGCTTTAACAAAGCTATCCTAAAATACCTTTTCAGTGTGCAAATAAATGTATATCTGTTCTCATCAATATACTCGTATTTTTATCACAGATAGCCTAATTCACAGGTAGGGGACCTTTTAGCCTGGGGGGGGGCGTGATTTGGGACCGCCAAGGATCCCAATTTGGTCATGAGACTGTTTTCCCCAAGTCCCACCAAGATGCCCCACACCTGACATCGTTTGATATCAGGCATGGAGCTTATGCAGCCATGACTGCAAAAGAACTATTGTGAGCATAACAGTGCGCTCCCAATTGTTCCTCTGCAAGCAAAGCTTGCATTTGGTGCCAAATACAAGGCCCACTGCGATTGGTTCCACTCAGGAGTCTCCCAAGTGCAGCCAATACATCAGTGGCACAACTTGGTTTTTGTACTGAATTTAAATTCAGCACTGAATGCAAACACCGCTGAGATCAGCTGCACTCAGGAACTCCTGATCAACTTCATCCCAGATGGTAAACTCCAAACAGCTTCTGTTAACTGCCAGTACAAATATAATACATACTGCAGCTCTGGATATCATTAGATTTATCACTTCTGTGGTTTCTGTATGCTTCTATTCGGCTCCCAGTACAATGATGCATTACACAAATATATATATCTACAGCTATAAGCCAAGATTTTGCACCTTCCAGAATAACAGAAGTTTCACAGTGGTAATAAGCAGTTTGATTTGATCTTCCAAGTTACAGAAACCGTCTGGCCAGAGGACCTTTAACAACAGATCAGTGTTTTCGTTTTATGCTTCACGACAAATGATGCCATTTAACCTCTTTAAATACATGGCATTTATTATTCAAAGGTACATAGAATTTTATATGTAAAAGGTAAAGGTACCCCTGCCCGTACGGGCCAGTCTTGACAGACTCTAGGGTTGTGCGCCCATCTCACTCTATAGGCCGGGGGCCAGCGCTGTCCGCAGACCCTTCCGGGTCACGTGGCAAGCGTGACAAGCTGCATCTGGTGAGCCAGCGCAGCACACGGAACGCCGTTTACCTTCCCGCTAGTAAGCGGTCCCTATTTATCTACTTGCACCCGGGGGTGCTTTTGAACTGCTAGGTTGGCAGGCGCTGGGACCGAACAACGGGAGCGCACCCCGCCGCGGGGATTCGAACCGCCGACCTTTCGATCGGCAAGCCCTAGGCACTGAGGCTTTTACCCACAGCGCCACCCGCGTCCCATTTTTATATGTATCCTAATACATATATGCATGGAATAATGGATACCATGCGTATTTGCAGGGGCCAGGTCCTGAGCGCAGTGAGGAGTTGCAGAACCAGCCCTTGCTCCGTTTGTTTTGGGGGAGTCGGGTGCAGCCTGGCAGGTGTGGCCAGATCAGGAGATGCATTTTCCCCTGGCTCTTTGCCACAGAAACATTGTTTATTCCCAGCTGTTGCCAGTTCCTACTTTCGCTCCTGATCCGGCTTTATTTCCTGATCCAGTTCCTGATCCTACTTCAGCATTCCTAGCCTTGTTGCAGTTCCTTCTCCTTCTCCAGTTTCTGTCCTCCATTGAACTGCTACCATTGTTACCATCTATAGCCTGGTCCCGGCATGTCGGGTCCTGACTGCTGCTGCCAACGACCCGGACCGTGACAATCTGTTCGTTCAATCTTTCGTATTTCTGTTTCCCTTTATCCATAAAGGTGACCTCTTGGTGAATCCAGATCAGCCAAAATGTACCATTGCAATTGCCCGAATTGCTCCAGACCTGATACTGGCCGATTTACCTAGAAATATAATGTTGAAAAATGAGGAACTAGTATTTTGCCAAACACCAGAATTTCTTCTAGGTAACTATTATTGTTGCTATAGCTGTGAGACTGCCACCTTGTATAATTTTCCAAATCGGTATTCATTCCTTGAATCAAGAGGGGCATACTTATATCAGAGTAGGCCTATTGGCACTGAACACCCTGATTACCCTAGTACATAACATTTTAACATTTATCCATTTTATTCTGAGTTGAATAAAGTAGATTAACTGTGCAAATTGATTGATAAATTATATGAGGCCTAATTTAACTTGCTCATTGACCAGTTCTTGAGAAGTATAGGGAGCACCTATATTGTAGAACATACAAAAAGGAATTCTTTGTACTGTATATTTTAAAGAACGGGCCCTGGCAAATTCGGGATGGATTACGGTCTATATATTTTTAACATTGTGTTCTGTTTTCTTCCGTGAAAGGTGATGGTGGATTTGGATCTGTATACCGTGCTTCTTACAGTGGAAATGAGGCAGCTGTAAAGATTTTTAATAAGCACACATCTCTTAGACTTCTAAGACAAGTAAGTCTTTGAAGAGCTTGTTTGAGAGAAGCACCCATTCTAAAGGTTTCAGCAGCTTAAAAGAAGAAAAACTCACTTTCTAAATATTGTGAACCACTTTTTGAATGCCTAGAGGGACTGGGTGAACAATTTAAATCCAGATAAGACAGTAGTACTGCTAGTTGGGGAAACTGGTTATCCCCAGGTTTTTGTATCCCATGGTTATTTTTGTGTTTTTGTATTTTTTATGTTTATATTTTAATTGCTTGTGGATTTCCTCTGTAAAAGAAATGGGGGCTATTAATATTTGAATTGCCTTAACTTTTAATAATTTGTGTTTCTGGCTTATAGGGAAGTTATTACAAGTTAACACAATAACATGTCGTATAACATTGGCAAAGTAGAGATTTAGAAGCCCTTCCCAAATTGTTTTCTGACACTTTGTGCATACAAGATAGAGCTGGCTCCAATAATCTACTTGACCTCCCACCCACCTGAGCACAGAACTGCCACTGAAAAACCAGTGCTTGTGCTTCTGTTGCTTCATTTTAATTTTACTGTTTCTAGGAACTTGCAGTGCTTTGCCATCTTCATCACCCTAGTTTAGTGCTCTTGCTGGCTGCAGCAGTGCGTCCCCGAATGCTTGTCATGGAATTAGCACCAAAAGGGTCTCTAGATCGATTGCTGCAACAAGACAATGCCAGTCTAACCAGAACACTCCAGCACAGGATAGCTCTACATGTAGCCGATGGCTTAAGGTAAAACTATCTTTAAATGTTTGTTTCAGCACAAAAAAATCAAAATGGATTTTCCCCCATTGCAATACATGTTTCTGAATATTCTATTTCTGCTAAGTAATATTCATTTATACTAATGGATTTCCTAAATTTGATAAATCTGAAGTGTTTTGCACTCTGTTCACATATGACTAGATGTTTTGAAGCTGCCTGGCACTACTTCTCATTTTCAATATTTCCAATACATATATTTTTCTCACAGGTATCTGCATTCAGCAATGATAATCTACCGCGATCTAAAGCCCCACAATGTGCTTCTCTTTACACTGTATCCCAATTCAGCGGTCATTGCAAAGATTGCCGATTATGGTATCGCCCAGTATTGCTGTAGAATGGGGATAAAAACATCTGAGGGCACACCAGGTATGAAGGTCTTCATATTTAATCAAATCAAGGTATCCCATGAGTCTCTTGTAGTGTAACAAGGTTAACATCATGACTCATTTGAGAAATGCAATTTAGAAGAACTACATTTTCCAAAGCCAGTGACCAGCCTTACTCTCCCCATCCTAAGGGGAAATGGTTTTAAAGTAAATGATTACTCTCTTCCATTTGGGAACACAGGGTTAACTCCTCCTTCCTAGAACCCTGTCAGGGTCCTGCAGGTAGTGATGGCAATTTTTCATCTTCATAAGCCTTTCCTTGAGCATACACAATTGCTTCTTTTCCTATGTCTCTGTAAAACCACTGAGCAGGACTGTTTAGAGATACAGAATAAGATGTTTCAACATGCATTATTTTAATAAGATGGCTTGCAGTGCAATCCTAGTCACGTCTAGTCATAAATAAGTTCCATTGGGTTAAATGGTGCTTACTCTCTGGTAAATCCGCTCCACTTCCCAGTGGGGAGGACTTGCGGTGGACCGCGTGGTCACCCACTCCCCACCGGGGGCGGGGGGCTTTGTCCCCCATTGCCTGGGGATCCTGGCTACGTCCGCCCGGCCAGCCAACCCGCTGGCCGGGGGGGCGTGGCCAGGGCTGTTTAAATGGAGGAGCAAGCCAGAGGACATCCACTTTGGCTCGCTTCCTCGATCACCCACCCTCCCTCCCTATTTTGCAAGTTAGGCAATGGCCTTGCTATGGCCTTCGGTTGGTCGCCTTGGTTGTCTGAGGGGCCTGGTAGGAATTTTTCCACTTGGCAAATTGGCACTGGCCACTTGGTTTTCGCCTACCTCGTAGCAATCGTCACAACTTTGTTAGGGTTGCAGTTAGGTATTGTTTGACCTTGTGTGGGGGAGGGGATGTGTGGCCATCACCTGGCCCTCCATGCTTAAGGGTATTCTGTTAAAGGAATCCGGGGTGTTGATCTAGTCTGAAGCCTGGCTGGGGGCTAGGGTCTTAACACGACCCCGATGGGAACACCAGGCGGAGCTTGAGTTGGTTCGCATTGACAGGGCTCCCCCTACTGGTGGCTTACCCTTACTGGACTTCCTGCACAATGGGCAGGAGTCAGATATAGTCAGGTCCAATCAATGCCTAAGCCAATACCACTCACATTCTGTAATTCAATAAAGTTGTGGCCAAAATTTGCCCAATAACATAAACCTAATATCCGTGTCCTTGTGTGAGTTATTTCCAATGAGGGGGTGGCTGCGGGGTCTCGACACGCAAGTAGTGGTGGGGTTGCATCTTAAAACAGGCATAGAATCTTTATAAAATATGCTTTGCACACAGAAGGTCCCATGTTTAATTCCAAGCATATCCAGATTTGGCTGGGTCCTGGGAGAATCCCCTGACTTGAGAGCCATTCAGTGTAAACACTACTGAGCTAGATAGACTAATTGTCTGACTCGGTATAAGTCAGATCTCCATATTGCATACAGCCTCTCAAGGCCAAAAGTTTCAATTTACCTTTTTGGGGTTGTTGCTTGTTGACGCATAGCCAGCTTGGACTTTGAGTAGATGTATGAGAGCCTGTGTATAAAGTCTTTCAGTGACTTTCTTATTCTCCTTTGTATATTATGCTTCTGTGGAAAGAGAGACAGAGACAGAGTGTAAGAGATGGTTTTCTTATTAACGTTCATGATTGCTTTCTGGAAGCTCTCAGCTCTTTTTAGGCCCTAAATAGTTGGTGTTCGTGTGAAGTTTCTTATGTCGCTTAACATAACTTGAGATTCCTAAATTAGAACAACAAATACAGCAACAGCATGGCAAGAAGCATAACAATTAATGACTTGGGTATTGTTTTTTAGGCTTCAGAGCACCAGAAGTTGCAAGAGGAAATGTTATTTACAATCAGCAAGCTGATGTTTATTCATTTGGCTTGCTCCTGTATGACATTTTAACAGCTGGTGGGAGAATATTAGAAGGCATGAAATTTCCTAATGAATTTGATGACTTAGCTATCCATGGAAAATTGCCAGGTATGTTTACTTCTCCTAGTGTTCAATACAGTGGTTGTTGCATGAGCAGTAGACAGTACTGAAAGCCAAAAAGGCAGAAGAGGAAAGGTTTGGAATAAAGATATCAAGTGGCCTGGAAACTAAAGGCACTGCAAACATTCGGTGCACAGTGTTCCATTAAAACCAACAGAAATTCAGGGCAGCTAATATTATCTGGCTCAACCACTGCCATGTAAGTTTACAGAATACATTGTGCCTCCTTAGTTATGTTGATATACTCAGGTTGTTCACTGGTGGTTTATTTTTCATTATTTAATGTCCTCATATAAGATGGTATGTGTAGGACATTATGTGTACAGTGGTACCTCGGGTTAAGAACTTAATTCGTTCCGGAGGTCTGTTCTTAACCTGAAACTGTTCTTAACCTGAAGCACCACTTTAGCTAATAGGGCTTCCCGCTGCCGCTGCGGCGCCCCAGAGCACGATTTTTGTTCTCATCCTGAAGCAAAGTTCTTAACCTGAAGCACTTTCTGGGTTAGCAGAGTCTGTAACCTGAAGCGTATGTAACCCGAGGTACCACTGTATTATGTGTGCACACAATTCTGCGTGGGTGGGGGTGGTCCATTCTAACATTAAAGCAAGGTTAAGGAAATACTTGTGTAAGCAGCAAATAGTTACATTGAAGAGAACAAGGTTACAAAACAGTATTAAATAACAGTGTACCATCCGCTGCTTGGAGTTCATGAGGACCAATATTTTAAAATTTGTAATTTGTTTAATTCTCTGTGTCTTGATGCTGAGAGTAAATTTTGGGCTCTTCTGTGAAAGAAACAAGACTTAGCAAAAAACCTCGTCTTATACACAGAAAAATAAGGTACTTATGGGAGGGATGTACATTCTTTTCAAACCCATTTTGACTGAAGGAATTCTTGCAGTAAGCAAGAATTTAAAAGCAGTTGATTTTACTATAAAAAGGTAAAGGACCCTTGGACGGTTAAGTCCAGTCAAAGGTGACTATGGGGTTGCGGCACTCATCTTACTTTCAGGCCGAGAGAGCTGGTGTTTGTCCACAGAAAGCTTTCCGGGTCATGTGATTAAACTGCTTCTGGTGCGCAGAGGACTGTATACTTAACACTGGTCTGTGTAGTTCCTTTTCTTCATCTGAAACTCAAAAACTTAATTCTAGATCCTGTCAAAGAATATAGCTGCACCCCCTGGCCAGAAGTTGAAGATTTAATTAAGAAGTGTTTGAAAGAAAATCCTCAGGAAAGACCTACATCTGCTCAGGTATGGCATTTACTGTGGGTTATGTGTTTATAAGTGGAAAAGACCATCTGATCTGCTGTATAAATGAATGTGTCATTAAATGCCTTTCTAAACAATACAGTATATGCAGTATTGGCAGTGCATTTTATTACTGTGGTGTAAGGAACATAATGTATAAGAAGGAGCCATTACTCACTGTTGCTACTAATGTGCTATTTCTGCAGGTTTATGATATTTTGAACTCGGCAGAACTTGTCTGCTTGATGAGATACATCTCAGTACCCTCTCCTTTTGGAGCAGATTGCATGGTTGCTGCAAATCCAAGTTGTAAGAAGACAGGAATCTGGATAGGCAGCGGAAACTTAGAAGCAGCACAGATCTCATTTATTGATTTAAATTCAGATGGACACAGGTGTCAGGTAAGTGTAAAAGCTGGTGCTTAATACAAATGCTTCAGTCCTGGTAGATGCAGTATATAATAAACTTCATGCCTGAATTAGTAGAATCTCAAAGGGCAGTTAATTCAGCATGTATATATATTTGCATGCCATAGAAAGGTTTGTTTTGTTTTGCATTTTGTAATGGAGATTTCTTTTACATCTCAGATCTATCAGTCTCATAATAGCATACTCATTTGATAGAGGAACAATAATTGTTACCATAGCTGTTACAGTTTTCAATGTTAGCCTAGCAACAGTGAGTCCTATCTTTTAAACCTCTTTACAGTATGTGTCAATAAGTGCTATAATCTTACGGGCATATAAAACATTAAATAAAAATATATGGAACCCTGACTTTAAAATAATAATAATAATAATAATAATAATAATAATAATAATGCAACCTTGAGAGGTTTGCTTGGTTTTTTTAAATTGTTGAGAGAGAAAAAGAGGACAACCCTAAAGGAGATGATAGGAGGCAGGCTCAATATGTCTTTTTGCTGGAAAGAAGTCAGAGCCCTGAACTGGAACAAGGGTTCTGGTTCAAAACAAAAGAACACGTGTTTCAGGACCACAGTCAGCAATCATGCAGGAGAGCCTAGTATTCAGGTGGTAAACTTTTCGAGCTGCTGGGACTTGGCCAATGGAAGCTGTGCAGGGCTTTCTTGGTCCTCAGAGGAGATGGCAGTCTATCAGCCTTCATAGATAAAGGTACTTCCTCTGAAGGCTGCGTGTAGAATCTGGTGCTTTGTATGCTTACTCGAGATGGGCCCAGTGAGTGGTTTCATTTCCTCCTTTGAGCTGCTACTCCTTGGACATTCAAGAATCCAGGTTCATTACTACTATGAGTAAAGGAAGGGCAGCAGGGAACTGGTCACTTAATCTTTGCTCCTTAACGTACTGCTGCTTACAAAAGTGTAATGTTCAGAGAAAGGGAAAGTGCACCCGACCAGCTGTCCTTAGAGAAAAAGAAGCATTTACATGTTCCATAGCCCCATGGTAGCTACTAATTTTGGAAAGATAAAGTAGTCAGTCGGAATGGAGCTTTTTCTAGAATTCAAGGGAATTGGTAAAATAAAAAGATAATAATAAGATTAATGTGTTTATGTAATTGTGTCCAGATGTTTACTATATATATTGTTCCCCACCAGGAAATTGCAGATAACAGAGTATTGTGTATGGCCTTGGTAACTCTTTCTGCAGAGAAGGAGAACTGGATTGTAGCAGGAACTCATTCTGGTTGTTTATGGGTCTTTCACACAGAAGAGGAGAAGCCCAGGCACCAACTTCAGAAGATGTCAGATTCTGTCACATGTCTTTACTGCTACTCTTATGCAAAGCAAAAGTACGGTTGTATCTAAGTATAGATGAAATTTCATAATTATTAATTATTGATTAATTATTAATTATTTCATAATTATTAATTAGAAAAGTACAAAAAAATGTCCACCCAGAAATAATTTTACATACCTTTGCATCTCATACCTACATATTCAAATGGCTTGAATGGGTTGTTGTGAGAATTATTATCGCCTTTGTGCAGGTGTCTAATTGCAATATGACTTGAAGGGTAGACTTTTAAAAAATGAAGTTGAATGCTTTTGATTTGTGCTTCCAGTCATAATATTGCACATGTATATTGGTGCATCTCACTAAAAATTATGCTTCTGTAGTAGTTCATTTAGTATGCAGTGAACGGTTATTTCTATAAGAATCATGCAGTGGTTTAGTAAGATATATATAATCAGTTTATTTCAATGATAACCTTGCAAAATTCCCTGTTTCATTTCAGCAAACAGAGCTATTTTTGTGCTGGTACAGCTGATGGACAGCTAGCGGTTTTTAAAGACACAGCAGTAAAGGTATATCTGCAACACTATCTTCCAGTAATTCTGAAGCAATGAAACACATACATAGTTTTTGATGCACTTCCCCCTTTTCATTTGTGTTGAAAGTTTAGAGGTCTTTCTAAAACTCTTTGACAGCTGATGTTATTGAAATATCACTGAATAGGGAAGCCACATAAAGGCCCCTTTCACACATTATGGTAAGCCATAGCCTGAAACAAATTATGGGTTACCACAAATGAGCAGTGGGCTGGTGCACAATGATCAAATCATGGCCAACCTGCTCCTCTCTTTGCATATAAATATAGTAAACTGTACAAAGCTTTAGAAGTACAAACAGCTCAGGAATTATGATTAATTTTAATCAAAATCCATTTTATAAACAAGGTTAATTTCATTTATAGCATTACAGAAGAATTGTGGATCATACGCAATGAGTTTCATTCCTTCACTTGTCATGTTTCCCTCTTCAACAATTGTGTCTCCTCATATTTTCTCATTTTCCGTAATGCTTATGAATGCATCTTGGTTTATATTTAAGTTGTTTATGCTTAGATCTTTTAGATTCTGCATATCATATAAATGGTATCCCAGTATTTTTTAATGTAATTATTTTTAGGTTTCAAACAGGTTTTATATATGTATATAGTTTTATCAGTGTTTAATTGTTTTTAATGATTGTTCCCCCTATTTTTTTAGCAGTTCTTAATTTTATTTGTAAGCTACTTTGAGTTCCGCCAGGGAAAAAGGCAGGGTATTTTATTATTGTTGTTGTTGTTAGTGTTGAATGACCATGCAACAACAACAACATTTAAAGTTATGTATATCAGCAGGGACTGGTGTTTTATTCATGCCTGGAGATTTTTCTCACCGATATTTTTTGCTATACTTCCAGTGCAAAGATGCTGCACCTTTGAAAATTTTACAACTTGGAACCCGCAGCACCCCACTTATGTGCTTAAGAGAATCTGTTTATTCATGTGAAAAAAATACAATCTGGGGAGGCTGTGGAACAAAGATTATATCATTTTCTAATGACTTCTGCGTCCAAAAAATCATTGAGACAAAAACAAGCCAAATGTAAGTTCATTTGTTTTAATTTTCACTACATGCCTTTGTCTCTTCTGGTTGTGTTCTTTAAAATGCATCATTTATTCTTTAAGTACCGTATTTTTCGCACCATAGGACGCAGTTTTTCCGTCTTAAAAACTAAGGGGAAATGTGTGTGCGTCCTATGGAGCGAATGCAGGCTCCCTGGCTTCAGCGATAGCAAGGCAAAGCCTCCGAAGCCTGCGCTCCGGAGGCTTCCCGTTGCTTCCGCTGAAGCCAGGAGAGTCTGCTCTTTGAGGCTGGCGGGGGGAAAAGCAGCGCTTCCCCCATCGCCAGCCCCAGACGATGGGGGGCAGCAGGAAGGCGCGCGACGCCTTCCCGCTACTCTCCAACCCTCCTGTGGGCTTTTGCGGGAGATGGGGGAATTCCCCCACCTCCCGCAAAAGCAGGCAAAAGCCGCACGCTCTTTAAAGAGGCTCTGTGGCTTCTGCTGGCTTTTCTAGGAGGTGGGGGAATTCCCCCACCTCGCAGAAAAGCCCACAGGAGCCGCGCACCCTTTAAAGAGCGAGCGGCTCTTGGGGGCTTTTCCCCAAGGAGGGAGAAGGGACTGACTGGCTGAGTCAGTCCCTTCTCCCTCCTGCGGGCTTTTGCGGGAGATGGGGGAATTCCGCCACCTCCCGCAAAAGCAGGCAAAAGCCGTGCGCTCTTTAAAGGGGCTGTGCGGCTTTGCTGGCTTTTCTAGGAGGTGGGGGGATTCCCCCACCTCGCAGAAAAGCCTGCAAGAGCCGCGCAGCCTTTAAAGAGCGCACAGCTCTTGGGGGCTTTTCCCCAAGGAGGGAGAAGGGACTGACTGGCTGAGTCAGTCCCTTCTCCCTCCTGCGGGCTTTTGCGGGAGATGGGGGAATTCCCCCACCTCCCGCAAAAGCAGGCAAAAGCCGTGCGCTCTTTAAAGGGGCTGCGCGGCTTTGCTGGCTTTTCTAGGAGGTGGGGGGATTCCCCCACCTCGCAGAAAAGCCTGCAAGAGCCGTGCAGCCTTTACAGAGCGCGCAGCTCTTGGGGGCTTTTCCCCAAGGAGGGAGAAGGGACTGACTGGCCGAGTCAGTCCCTTCTCCCTCCTGCGGGCTTTTGCGGGAGATGGGGGAATTCCCCCACCTCCCGCAAAAGCAGGCAAAAGCCGTGCGCTCTTTAAAGGGGCTGCGCGGCTTTGCTGGCTTTTCTAGGAGGTGGGGGGATTCCCCCACCTCGCAGAAAAGCCTGCAAGAGCCGCGCAGCCTTTAAAGAGCGCGCAGCTCTTGGGGGTTTTTCCCCAAGGAGGGAGAAGGGACTGACTGGCCGAGTCAGTCCCTTCTCCCTCCTGCGGGCTTTTGCGGGAGATGGGGGAATTCCGGCACCTCCCGCAAAAGCAGGGAGAAGGTCTTGGAGTAGCGCACAGGCTGCGTGCAGCCTGTCCACTACTCCCAGAGCTGGGGGGGGGGAATCATATTTTTTCCTTGATTTCCCCCCCTGAAAACTAGGTGCGTCCTATGGTCCAGTGCGTCCAATCGTGCGAAAAATACGGTATCTTGCTTTTCTTTTTGCCTGGTACTTCTCTTTACCCTATCTGCATCTTTTTGGTGGGATGAGGAGAATAAGATTCTCCTCGCCCAACCATGAGAAACCTTATTTGGCCTTATCACTTGTAAAATATAAATTGTGTGATAAGGTTAACCAAACTGTTTACAGTTTCCAAACAAATGCTGAGTGTCTTCCATTCATATGACTGAGGGTCAGGGAGTCCCAAGTACTTTCACGCTTGCATAAACGCTGCACACCTTTGTCAGATGTATTTTTCCATTTATTTCTATTATGCTGAGCCATGTGTATTGCTTATAAACATCCTGGAATACATTTTTGTGAGAACTCCCACTAATTTTTTCCTTGTGAACTTTGGACGCCCAGAAGCTGATCTGAACAAATCCATGGATGTCATGGAGGTAATCTTAAGTGACATCAATTGGCAATAAATCAAGCCCTCATTGAGCATGTATAAACATTTGCACATTATCTGCACATATCTACATAAGAGGTGGTCATGTGATGCCCTCCAGATGTTGTTGAACTCTTAACTCTCATTGGCCCCAGCCAGCATTTTCAATGTGCAAGGATTATAGGAGTTGCATACCCTTCAAGGGTATAGGCTGGGTATAGAACCGTGGTTCCCAATGTGTTTGATTTTTAAGGGGGGCAATTTAAGAATGTGTTATTAACAGTTAATGTCCTTCTATGCTTCCTCCATGTGAATAGGAGTTCACTTTTTGAATAGTAATAATTATATGTCACGGGGGCATCAGGGTTTTAGAGATGCTTAGGTTTGGCATGGCCAATAAAAGGTTGAGAACCACTGGTATAGAACATGAAATACACCACAACAGAACAATGAAATTCAGAGCAAAGTCAGCTCAAAAAGCAGAGGAGGCTAAACAACCATCAGCTAAACCAACAGCTATAGGCGGGGGGATTAATTTGGCACTAGAGTGATGACAATATTGATGGCAGTCAGACTTGTGGGAGGAGGGCATTCCACAGCTGAAGGCTCTTAGTTTGGACACGCATTAAATTCAAACACGTAGGCACTGAGGATAGCGCTGAATATTGGCCAGTACCCAGAGATTTCTGTGCAGGAGCAGAAAGTACTTACCTGTGTGAGCTGGTGCTGGGGAAGGGAAGTATCCTCTCCCACTGTGGCACACATTTTTTTGAAGGGTACTTCAACGCCTAGGAGCAGATTTTCAGGGGAGGTGAACAGCTCTGGATGTGGAACTTCTGCAGGTAGGATCTAGGTTATTGCAGGGATGGGGGGAGTCCACCAAGCTTTTCAGAGGTGTCTATTGTAAACTTCCCATCTTTGCAAACACATGTTATATGTTCTGTACCATCATATATCATTCTGATTTTTCTGCCCCTCAGATTATGCCACAGGGCTCACAGTGATGCCAATATCATTTCCATAGCAGTGGACAAATCCATCTACTTGGCGAAGAAAAATAGCTATTTTGTGGAAGTTTGGGATAAAAAGACAGAGAAGCTTTGTGAACTAATCGACTGCATGCATTTTCTAAAGTGAGTGTTTGATATTTTGTGTACAGCTGTCACAGAGAAGTCAGGGATATCATGGGTGGTTAAGCTGATTTTAAAAATGTGTTCCACAAGCGAAGCTTTAATAGTAAAAAATAAATAAAAAGGCTTCCAGAAAACCTGTTTGTCCTGATTGCACAGAGGTTATACAGTGTGGTAGTTATCTGATACATTCCTATGCTTTTCCCCATCATTTTTCTTACTGTAATATATTTGCCCATTTAAAGTGGATTTGTAGCTCAAGAGTGCAGTAGAGATTTTGCTATGTATTACAATGCACAAACTTTTCTTGTAGGTTTATTATGAAGGCACACTTTATTGCAAGAAGCACATATGTTGGCAACTACTCAAACTGGGCAGTTGTTCTCACAGGCAGGAAGTGACCAGAGATTGCTAGGCTTCTGCTTTTAGTATTCTAAATGATAGTGCAAAGAGAATAGGAAGCCGGTGTAGCTTAAAGCATTTCTGTCCTTCTTTCAGTTAAACAAATGGCCGCTTAATGAGATGCTTATGTGAAAATGTACGGGAAACGAAAGGAAAGGCATGACCCATTGCAACGTTAACATACAATGGTATCATATTGTTTTAGGGAGGAGGTGCCAAACCTGAATAAAGAATCAAAACAAGAAGTTGCTATTTTGGGAAGAGTGAAGAGCATCTTCCTGCAGAAGAATACAGCCCTTTGGATTGGCACAGGGGGAGGACATATCTTACTGCTTGACCTCTCAACTCGTCGGCCCATAAGAATAATAAGGGATTTCTGTGATTCTGTTAGATTCATGATGACAGCCCAGTTAGGTAAGTGAAGGCTTCACAGGAAATCATCATAGTCCCAGGAATGAAATGTATTTATGTATGGCTTATCCTTTGCTTCCTTCAAGGAACCGAGCACACATGTTTACCATTTTCATTTTTACTTTACACGCATATGTGTTCAGTTTTTAACATCTGATCCATGGCCATATTGAACCATTTCGAAAGTACAGTGGTACCTCGGGTTAAGTACTTAATTCGTTCTGGAGGTCCGTACTTAACCTGAAACTGTTCTTAACCTGAAGCACCACTGTAGCTAAAGGGACCTCCTGCTTCCGCCGCGCCGCCGGAGCACGATTGCTGTTCTCATCCTGAAGCAAAGTTCTTAACCTGAAGCACTGTTTCTGGGTTAGCGGAGTCTGTAACCTGAAGCGTATGTAACCTAAGGTACCACTGTACTGCAGCAAATCTACCCTCATATACCTTTTTCATTAACCTCCATTATTAAAATTAATGTGTGTTAGTTGAGCAAGACCACTTTGCTTGTGGGAAACGCATCTGCAGTCTCCAGTTCCCAAGTTAGATATTAATAAAGATCTTTTTCATTGCTCTACCCACATGATTCTTACAGTGTCATCCTATACATGTCTCTTAGAAAGTAAGTATTGTTTTCAGTGGAACTTACTCCCGGGTAAGTGTTTCGACTCAAAACAAAAAGTCTGAACATTAACTGCAGTTGGTAAGGCTTGCTGCATGAGCTAAAAGTCGAGCTCCGAAGTCTCCTCCTCTTGATTGTAAAAACTTTAGTATGGAATTTAGAGCAATAGTACTATTTGTCATAATTCTACAATACGTGCTGTAGTTTATTTTTGCCCTCTGCACTTTCCTGATTGTTTATTTTCTTGGCAGCCTTCCTCAAGTGCAGCCTTAAATTATAATACTTTGTCAAAGTACAGGGCCTGAATCTAAAGAAGCCTCAGTTTGCTTCTACTTACACAAAGGAACTTTCCTGCTTTCCTCCCAAAGCCCCTGTCAAAGGTTTGGGGGTGGCATTAGAGACTACAGTCAAAGGGATAGGACAATCCCTGCCGCTGCTGCCGATGCACGCATTGAGGTACTTTCCATTTGCACACAGAGGGTGGGGCTGGATCCAAGCCGATGTACTTTTAATACTGAAACTGTTTCGTTACTAATTAAAGTTTAACTTTGGATACTGGATTATATCTTACTTTTGTTTGTTTGGTAACAGGGAGCCTGAAGAACGTAGTTCTGGTGTTGGGCTACTGCCATAAAGGTGAAAGCAAAGACAGCGAATACACCACAGGTAAGGATTAGTGCCTTCTGCATTAAACATTTTAAAGGGAATCTGTACAGCTTTTGTGAGATCATGCCATGATAATATTTTCACCGCTGTTTATTCACTCTTCTACTCCTTCTGACTCTTGGCAAGTTTATGTTACACGGCGTCAATCATACACAACAGAATGCGATAATACACAATAGAAAGCCCCACATAGTCTTTCCGGGGACCATTTCCGTCTACCCAAAGTTTTAATATGCCACATAGCATGCTGATTAACTAGGAGTGCAGTCCTTTGCAGACTTATTTCCATGTAAGTGTGTAGGATTTCAGTTTACTGCTTAACTTGCTGACTAAAGCATTCTGACTGATGGCTATTGTTAGGTCCACCAGTCAAAGACCAAGGTCCAGTTCAGATGTAATGGGAAACCTTGGTTTTCTGTTGTGAAGCACAATTGTGCAGGGCTCTTCATACATGTTTCACTACTCTTCAGTGAATCAAAAAAGGGGATCTAAAGCTCTCACTTCTGCTTTGAAACTTTTCTCAGTTCTTGATTATGTCCAGATTCAGGCTTTGTTTATAAAAGGCACAGAACAGGAGACTGTGGTTTTCCATTATGTTTGAATCAGGCGTAAATAACCACATACAGTATAAAGCTCCCTTGTCAGGCTGTAGGTACATCCAGCCCAGAACTCGGCAAATTCCTTCACAGAATAACCTGATACGCACCTCTTGGACAAGCACAGATCAGAACTTGGCTTTGCCCTTGTCTGAATATTGTGATGCAGCTCATGTAAGCATGCAAAATGCTCATTTAAATAATTGCTTTGAGAAGATTTTGATTTAAATGTTTGCAAATTAATGCAAAAATCAAATGGAATTGTGTGTAAAAGCACGCATAAGTGATACAGGCCATAAATGCAGAGTTGCCCATTGCTGCTCCCAGACCTCGGAGGCAGAGGTCTTTCCTACCTTCTGCATGCAACCACGTAAAAGGCTGGATCTGCCTGGTTAAAAGTCAGGACTTTTCTCATGTGAGGCAACCATGAGAACTATTTCACTTACAAATACCATAGAACTCTGAGATCAGGAATCCCGCTCACATGTGGGTCTCGTATATGCAAGATTTTCCTTTCTTAACCAGACTGATGAAAAATAAGCTTGGAGATAAATTTCCGCACATGAGTCTGCTGCCATTATGGCTAGCTTGTCCCTTTCTCACACTTGGGCTACATATACACCATATATTTGAAGCTCATGAATTCCCCCAAAGAATCCTGGGAACTGTGGTTTACCTATCACAGAGCTACATTTCCCAGCACCCTTTGCAAATGACTTTATCCAGGAATTTTTGCAGAACTGAGGCTGTGGACACACCGTACATTTAAAGCACATAGCAATGCAATCCTATGCCTGTCTACTCAGAAGTAAGTCTTATTGAGTTCGATGGCACTTTTCCACCAGTTGTGTGCATAGGATTTCTGCCTAAGTGACTGTTTTAGCTCCTATTTCTAAAGTCCTACTTCTAAGTTGCCCAACAGCTGGAAAAATGCTTGAGATATATTTCCTGATTAATATCTTCAACCATATTTCCCTCAATTTGTTCACAGGAGTACAGTCATGTTTGACTATATGGGACATTAATCTGCCACATGAAGTGCAAAACCTGAGAAAACATATTGAGCTGAGACAAGAGTTAGCAGAAAAAATGAAGAGCATTTCTTTGGATTAACTGGCTATGAAAACACTTATCTCACTGGGCTCATACGGGAGGGTTCTGTGCTAGCTCCATTGAAATATGCAATGTAAATATTTCTCAGGAGGCATCAGCATCAGTTATGTTGAAAATATAGAGAATATTATTGACCGGGCAGTGCCTTAATTTTCCAGTGGTGAAAGGTAGGTAGAAAACCCAGCTGTAACATGTAACCTGAACTTTCATCTGGTTTTCAATGTCTTTTATACCACTCCATGTTTAGAGTAATTCCACTATCCCATGCTGTATTTATGTATGTATATTTAATCAAGCAATATTTTTATACTTTGTAACTTTTTGAAGCATTATGATATAAATAAAGACAAGTTATAGAGCAGGAGTTGGCAACCAAAGGCCCATGGGCCACAAGCAGCCCACGGGGTCATTTTATCGGCCCACGAGCCACCTCCGAACCGAGCTTGGCGAGTCCCTGCACACTGCGCTAAACCGGCGTGGCACAGAGACTCACTTCAGTGACACCGGAAATCACATCTGTGCAGACGCCAGCACCGGAAATCGCTGTCGGAATAACTTCATTGGACACAACCACATGCCAGGTCAGCACTAAGTCCAACTGAATTAAATGAAATTTACTCTATGGTAAATGGGGGCTAGGGATGCGGGTGGCGCTGTAGGTAAAACCTCAGCGCCTAGGGCTTGCCGATCACATGGTCGGCGGTTCGAATCCCCGCGGCGGGGTGCGCTCCCGTCGCTCGGTCCCAGCGCCTGCCAACCTAGCAATTCGAAAGCACCCCGGGTGCAAGTAGATAAATAGGGACCACTTACTAGCGGGAAGGTAAACGGCGTTCCGTGTGCTGTGCTGGCTCGCCAGATGCAGCTTGTCACGCTGGCCACGTGACCCGGAAGTGTCTGCGGACAGCGCTGGCTCCCGGCCTCTAGAGTGAGATGAGCGCACAACCCTAGAGTCTGGCAAGACTGGCCTGTACGGGCAGGGGTACCTTTACCTTTACCTAAATGGGGGCTAGATTACAGCCCAGCTTTGGTCCCGTTGAGATCAATTCAACTTACATAATCCTGTTTGCCTCCAACCTGTTTTAAGCACTTTAGATTGCTATTGTTGTGAATGTAATTATGATTTCATGGCCTCATTTCAGTTTGTGGGGCAACGTATCTGATGGAATGGGTGTTCACTCTGTCGCGAGACACTAGAGAAGTGCAGACTTGCGGGAAGTTGGCTCGACTCCCTCGGTTTTTCCTCCTGTCTAGACACACAAAGTACGTTCTTCCTGACTCACCTAAGTTTTTTACTAGATTATGAACCGCCTTTTTTTCTTTAGATTTCCTTTAATGTTTTTGTTCTACAGTTCTTTGTCCGCACATTGTGTTTTTCCCCATAAAAAAAGAAAACCCTTTCCATTGCTCTTTACGTTTGGTCATCCCGCTTATTTGCTTATTTAAAAACGGTTTGGCCACCTCCCAGTTTGCTGTTTTGACACTGGCAACGGAGTGAGCGTTTCTATTACATCCCTGCCGGTTCGCTTTGGCAGAGACATAGTGCCTGCCCCTTGTCCTTATCTTCCTGGTCGGTGGTTGTGACAAGGAGAGTGTGTGTAGCTTCTGTTTTCCCCCATTCCAGGTCCACAGCGTGGCAAATGGAGTGTGTGGTGTGGTGTGGTGTGGTGTGGTGTGGTGTGGTGTGGTGTGAAGCTTTTGCCTGCCTTTTCTCCTGGTCCACGGTGTGGCAAATGGAGTTGAGTATTTATTTGGTGAAAATTTGAGTCTATCTCTGTGTGTGCGTGTGCGCACACGCACGCACGCCTCTTTGCTGTCTTAATGGCTGCTATGGAGGACACTTGCGGCTTAAGCCACCCACCTCTGAAGCAAAGCAAAAACTGAAGCACTTAATGTCCTATAAAGCCGGAGGACGTGCTAAGACTGCTCCCCCGGCTCTTCCAAGGAAGCGTCTTTCTTCCATAATTTTACCCCAGTCCCAAGCTCACAATACAGAGCAGGCGTCAGCTCCTAAAAGTGCTTCCACTCAGTTGAATGCTCAGACTATACCACCACCTACTGATTTTATTACAGAAACTTGCGGGGAAGGGGGAAGTAGGCAGGTTTTTATTTCTCCTTAGGGACTCTGTCAGTACTTTCTGCTTGGTGAATCCAGAAAACTGAGGGAGTCCAGCCTACTTCCCACAAGTCTTTGCTCCAGTCTAGTGTCTCCATTGGATGCAACGCCCCCCTCTCAAAAACGATACTTCAGATGAGATCAATTGTTCTTTCTCTGTTGAATGCCAGTAGCATATTCCTCTCAGGATGCTCCTTCCCCTTTCCCACATTCTCCCTTGGCAAAATTGTATTTAATTCTGATATTCCAGGAGATGTTCTGTTTGCTCTCTCACACCATTCACCTTTCCCTTCTAACAAGCTGGAAGTATAGTGGGAATGTAAAGCAAGGTGATTTAAGGGGGTTGCTGATGACCCGAAGGGGTTTGATTAGGACCCTCTTCACATGACAGAGGCAGGAGAGAAAAAAACTCCATCAACGGAGTGATGGCTCCTTAAGAGCGGTAGTCTCGTAATCTGGGGAACCGGGTTCGTGTCGCCGCTCCTCCACATGCAGCTGCTGGGTGACCTTGGGCCAGTCACACTTCTTTGAAGTCTCTCAGCCCCACTCACCTCACAGAGTGCTTGTTGTGGGGGAGGAAGGGAAAGGAGGATGTTAGCCGCTTTGAGACTCCTGAAGGGGAGTGAAAGGCGGGATATCAAATCCAAACTCTTCTTCTTCTTCTTCTTCTTCCAATGTGTCCAGAATCTTAATTTTACTACTCTGTTCCACAAGGTCATGTCTACTTTAGGTTTGGCTTCGCAGAAAGACAAATCTGCTGAGACCTCAACTACTAGTGATATTTCTTTACTGACTGACAGCCGATAACAGGCCATTTATATTAAAGAGGGTGGCTAAGACTGAGCTGGATGTTCCTTTGCAGTTTAGAAAGGGCACCAATTTGGCAGATAAGATTTATTTTCTGGAGACTGATTTCATGGCTTATATTAAGACTCTTTCTGTGGACTGTCCGGACGCCATTCTTTCCTCTTGCAATTTATTGCCTCAGGAAGTTGATGCTCAACTGAAGGATATGACGGATAGGCATTTGGATTTTGCCTTGCATAAGGTGCATGAGGCCACAGCATTGTCTATGTGGGCGGCTTGCCCAGCTGCCTTTTATGCAAGGGCATGCATAGTTTGGTTGGATGACTTACTGCAAAATCCACCGCAGGATATTGTGAGGCTGAGGCAGACCTTAAATAAATCACTGAAGGCGCAAGCCTTTACAGCTCATGCCACCTTGGGTGTGACTCAGTTTTCTGCCAGGGCAATGTCGGCTCAAGTCGAGGCACGCCAAACTTTGTGGTTAAAAAATTGGTGGGCGGATGCAGCATCAGAAGTCAATTTGGCCACTGTCCCATTTGTGAGGGGAGTCGCTGGTTTGGGGATGGGTCCCTGAAGGATGTGCTTATTGCATCTAAAGATAAAAGAAAGGTGCTGATGACAGCGGCAGAGCAAGCCGATCGGGTGACTGGGGGCACGGGCACCCACCCACATGGGCACTGTAGGACCACTGAGGAGTCTGCCTGCCTCCTCCCACTCAGCGCGGAGCCTGCGGGTGCCCAAGCCACCACATCACTCCCAGGAGGGACACGTGGCTCAGGCGCGCTGCAGGCCCTGCGGTGAGTGCCACCCACCATTTTGTCACCCCCCCTTAGTGGGGACACCCGGGGCGAGCCGCACCTGCTGCACCACCCCTTGCTACGCCCCTGGCTGATGAGTCAGAAGGAGCATAGGAGATATGCCAGGCGTTACTCCCCAATCCTTTTGCACCTTTCATAATCAATACAGGCAAAGGGACTTTAGGTTTACACCACAGGGGTTTAAGCCTAGATTCTGTTTTTTTATTATTATCAAGTTCTTTTTTGAAGACATCCATATATATTTTCCATCCTTAAATTGAACTATACCTAGGAATAAATAGTTACATAAGAAAAGAAATACAGGAAAAATTACATAGCCACTAGAATCTAAGCTAGACAGGGTTCCCAGTGTTTCCCAAGCACTGCTGGTTCAAAAAAAAGTCCCCCAAGAACCATAACCAATGGTGGGACAGCCAGCCATGTGGGGGGTTGACTGCAAGAAATTATTCCTGCTTGGGTGGAGGAGGCAAAAAAGCCGCTTGGGGTGGCTGGGTGGAACGGGACAGAAGATAGTTTAATAAAAATGCTAGTTTTGAGGGCTGGCGATGAGGGGTTGTGGCCTTCTCTTTTGATGTCCTAGGATGGTGAATTCTCATTTCTGACTTACAAGACCAGTGCTTTAGGTTATTTAAGCTATTGGGCTGGTTATCATTTAAGGAGATCGTTTTTTATTATAGCGGCTATAGGTATGAGGAGAAGAAAGATTGTGAAGTAGAATGTTGAAGCTAATTGGCCGATAATAATAGGTGTTCTACAGGTTGGCCCCCAATTCATGTTAAAATGGTGATGTCTGAGATTAAAAGTCAGAATAGTATCTGGACGCTAGCAGTAGGTGCGTTGTTTTGATAGATGAGTTATTGGCATAATAAGTAGGATGAGGATTGAAAATAAAAGGACTAGGACACCACCCAGTTTGTTAGGGACTGAGTGAAGAATCGCATGGGTGCTAAAGACTAATTTACTATGGTGGATGTTGAAGCCACTGGATTGGATTTCTCACCATATTACTGAGGCAGGAGCAAAGAATTGTGGGGGGCAGGCTGAATCTCCTCAGTTTTTTTCCTCCTGCCCTGATGGAGCAGTTCGTCGTCCCCCCCCCCCCCCCGGCATAAAACTTAATGCAAGTCCCCCATCCAGCTTCATTCCATCTCCAATGCCAAAGCACCCAGAGAGTTGAGCAGCAGTTGAGGCTTGCATGCCTCACCTACTAAACATGGGGGCCATTGGTACCCTCCCAGTGGAGCAGTGATTTCAAGGACTTTACTCAATCTTTGTGGTTCCAAACAAAAGGCCACAAGAAGTGGAGGCCAGTGTTGGATCTCAAATTCCCCAATCGCTGGATAGTTTACAAGAAGTTCAGGATGCGCCCTATTCGACTCATCAGCAACCTATTAAAGCGCCACTTCGGGTAAGACCAATTGTCCTTTCTCATATAATGTCTTATACTTTTAAACTTCTTTTCTCTTTAAATAAAATAATGTGCTACCATTTTCTGTTTTTTGTCTATTTGTAATGTTGTGGCTACATGCAGATTCAGGATTGTGAAGTTCTCTGCTTTAACACATTCTTGTTGATATACCACAAATTTTCTGTGTATATATGAATGTATAATTTGCAGACTGTACATGACCTTTATGTAATAAAAATAAACATTTTTTTAACTTTCACACAAATTTTATTTTATAAGTCTTTTGACAGATGCTACACATAACTGTAAGCTGAGTGAAGTTTTCTGTTGAAATCAAATTGTTCTTAGTAATTAATCAGTTACATTAATGAGATAATGTATGTGTATATCACTTGAAGGGACGCGGGTGGCGCTGTGGGTAAAAGCCTCAGCGCCTAGGGCTTGCCGATCGAAAGGTCGGCGGTTCGAATCCCCGCGGCGGGGTGCGCTCCCGTTGTTCGGTCCCAGCGCCTGCCAACCTAGCAGTTCGAAAGCACTCCCGGGTGCAAGTAGATAAATAGGGACTGCTTACTAGCGGGAAGGTAAACGCCGTTTCCGTGTGCAGCTCTGGCTCGCCAGAGCAGCGATGTCACGCTGGCCACATGACCCGGAACAACACAAAGGGTCTGCTCCCAAGGAAACCTACTGGTGTGGCCAATTCCCTCCCGGGGTAGGGCCCAGGATGCAGCACAGCCAAGCCTAGGAGGGCGCACAACCCTAGAGCCTGTCAAGACTGGCCCGTATGGGCAGGGGTACCTTTATATCACTTGAAATACGTGTAAAATTTTATTCATTACGTATGATGTATCTGAAATGAGGTGAATTGGAGCAATCAAATTACGATGCCAGTAATCCCCTCCCCCAAATAAGATCAGGACCTCCACAAAGCCACACATACAGCTGCTTCCTTTGGGGAACTCTGATGATGGAAGCACGGACAAGAAGCCTTGCTTCTCCCCTAAACTGCTCTCATCACAGATTCTTTTACAGATTTATAAACTGCCTTACAGCTAAAAGCTGCTGGCAATGATGTACAGGAAGATAAAATACAGAAGATTAAACTCCAGTCAAGTAATGTGTACAAAACGTATATTTAGGGTAAAGTGTGCCTAAAACACATAAATTAGTGAAAATAGCATATGCAAAATGGCCTACTGACTGTATTCTAATTATCTTGGCAAATGTGCACAAGTCCCTTTGAAACTATCAAGAGCTCCTATGAAAGGGCTTCAGGAATTTGGAAGGGACTACTGTGTCTGACATACTGCAACCCCAGAGTCAGCCATGACTGGACCTAATGGTCAGGGGTCCCTTTACCTTTACCTTTTTACAGGTTTTCTCCAGATACAGCCTTTCATTGGTCATGCTGGCTGGGCTAATGGGAGTTGGAGTCAAAATATCTGGAGGGCACTGTGTTGACTACATATATTGGATACAGAGGGTCTTTGCTTTAATTCTCAACATCTCCCGCTAAAATTTTTGTTGTAGGTCGAGCAACGATTACATCAAACATTTAAAGAAGTTGCTGGACCAGTATTGATCTAACTACCCACAAGCAAGCTTCATGTGATCACACAGAGGTTCAGTACTTGAAAAAGAGCTTTAAAAAGTGCTCTCCTGGCAAGGACAAGTTCTGGAAAGTGACAGACCCGTGTTCTGATTGGCATTTTTATTCTGTACTTGTTTATTGGACTTCCTAGATTGTTGATGCTCAAATAATGACAGGAGCAAAGGGACAGTGGCAATGGCATTTTGCCAACTTGTGAGAGAACAGTGATGAATCAGAAGCAGCTGTGTACTCATTGAGATTGCCCCAAGAAGTAACAGCGCCAACCTTACAGGTTCTAGTTGAACTTTGTGGGGGAGATCCCAGTTTTTCCTTTAGGCAAATTAGCTGTTTATTCAGCTATCACTATTGTGGATATCAGCATATCAAGGAAATAAGACAGAAAAGCAAGAGCAAGTAGTAGATTATAAAAAGCCAGATGATGATGGAAATATTAGTCTTCAGTGGCAGCCACAAGTCACCATTATGAAATGGACAGTGCTGTACCAAATTCTGATGTTCGACATTTATGTCAAAGGTAAGGGAATTTCATTAATACATTTTGGGAAGGGTGCTTCGTTTTCCTTTTCCACCCTTCAGATGTTGATGCTTACAAAGCATAAGGCAATCATGAGTCTTACCTGTTCTCACAAATGAGAGATTCCACGTGTTCAGGTTTCATATGCTCATACAAAAGTTCAGCACCACGAAAAGAGGTTTAGAATGTGCTCCACTGAGGATGAATTCCTGAACTTGCTTGAAATCTTACAAGAATAGCTCAGGATACAGCTGTCGCCATTAAGTGCAACAGTAATTTTTGACACATCGTGGACTGGAGCAACTGACTTTAGCTGATTGACTGCTAGCTTGTAAAATAAGGATGTTGTGCTTGTAACAAACTATCCATATGACTGATTGAGTACCATCTTGTTTTAAGATGAGAGCCAAACCATATAAATAGTTGTACATGGAAGTGGGATAGGGGGGAGGTGTTAATTCAGCAAAGGCTAAGCATGTTTGGTGATTATTGAATAGTGACTGTTGTGGTAGCAGAGACAGAAAATCAGGTGGGAGTACAGGCAGAATGGAATATCCTGGAGTGGGGAGTGACTGACTTACTGGAACACCGAGCATCATCAGAAGTCAACACTGCAATATTTTGTTGCAACTCAGTCATTTACATGCAGGTATCATAGGTACCGCTACGGCGGGAAGGTAAACAGCGTTTCCGTGCGCTGCTCTGGTTCGCCAGAAGCGGCTTAGTCATGCTGGCCACATGACCCGGAAGCTCACTCGGCCAATAAAGCGAGATGAGCGCCGCAATCCCATAGTCGGTCACAACTGGACCTAATGGTCAGGGGTCCATTTACCTTTACCTTATCAGTATCAAGAGCCATCATGTGTGTTTTTTTCTCTTTTTAAGTACAATTTCAGAATGGTACCCTTGTTCTAGAAGATGGAAAGTACATGTTTATTAAAGATCCTGGAAGCTCTCAGTGTGAAACTGACAAGCAACCATACACAGTGCGCACAGTTGGGCTGTACTTGATACATACATGGAATAACATTGATCTGGGACACAAATACCAGTTTCTATTATAATGGAGCCAAACTGGAAGGTAAGCACAATGTAGATAATTTAAACACTTAACTATTTTTATGTAAGATTTTTGTTTAACAGTAAATTGTGCTTGATCATATCCCTGGCAATAATAATGCAAGCAGAACCCTGCTTCTTATATCGTTACATCAACTTCTTACATCATCTTCATTAGTATTATTACCCCAACAACATATGTAACCTATAGTCAGGCTTCCTCAACCTCGGCCCTCCAGATGTTTTGAGAATACAATTCCCATCCTGACCACTGGTCCTGCTAGCTAGGGATCATGGGAGTTGTAGGCCAAAAACATCTGGAGGGCCGAGGTTGAGGGAGCCTGCTATAGAATCTTATTTATACCTCAGGAGCAGACCAGAAGAGAGCAGTTCCCTCTCTGGTCCACACAAAGGGTCTGCTCCCAAGGAAACCTACTGGTGTGGCCAATTCCCTCCCGGGGTAGGGCCCAGGATGCAGCACAGCCAAGCCTAGGAGGTGCCTCACCATATCTTTCTGCTTGCAATACAGAGACAACTATGTGGCCTTTGTGGAAATCTTCAGGACGAATTCACCCCTAGGCATGGTTCACTAGCCACCAGACCGATGGAGTTTGGCAACAGTTGAAAGACAAGCTTTGCGTGTTGGGACACAATAGCCGAGACTTACCCATGTGATGCAAATGCATACTGCAAAGAGTGGGCCGAGAAAAAAATGCAAAATTATTAGAGGCTGTAGGTTCAGAGCCTGTCACAGCCAGGTAAGCCTTTGGAAAGAAGATTTGCTCAACACTTTTATGCATAAAATCCCCAACAAGACTTTGGGGTGGTTTAGACAATAGCCTGGTAAGGCCCTATATGAGGCAGCCACTATGTTTCGGTCTAACCTACCTTACAAGCAGAGTAGTAGTAGTAGTAAATAATAATAATATTATTTATACCCCACCGAATCTACTGGGTTTGCTCGGCCACTCTGGGCAGCTTGGTCATATGGTGGAGAGCAGACACATTCCCAACGCCATGCTGGGCAGCGGATCTTGGCGCCTGGCTAAGCAGTGGAACCGCAGACCACCCTAACAATAATGGTACAGTGGTACCTCGGGTTAAGTACTTAATTCGTTCCGGAGGTCCATTCTTAACCTGAAACTGTTCTTAACCTGAAGCACCACTTTAGCTAATGGGGCCTCCTGCTGCCACCGCGCTGCCGGAGCACGATTTCTGTTCTTGTCCTGAAGCAAAGTTCTTAACCTGAGGTACTATTTCTGGGTTAGCGGAGGCTGTAACCTGAAGCGTATGTAACCCAAGGTACCACTGTAGTTCAACAACACCTTCTCCTTAGGTTGAACCCACTCCATTTCACAAGGCTTGCATTAAAGAAGCTTGCGCCTGCACCATGGAAGGGAAGTGCCTTGGGCTCTGTACTGCTGTTGCGATGTACGCAGAGGCATGTGCAGCAACTGGCATCTGTGTACAGTGGCGTACCCCAAAACTTTGCCGTAAGTGAAACATCTACTAATTCACATGAACGGTTTCACATAGTTTCACATAGTGTTTCAGACAGCTTGTCTCTCTCCAAATGTTATTGGGATGCAGTTCCCATCATCCCTGACCATTGGCTATCAGAGCTGGAGTGCATCAGCATCTAGAGGGCCGCAAGTTTCCCATCCCTGCGCTAGATAATCTCTGCTTCTCTTAAAACAGGGTGGGCCTTAAAGTGCACTCCCAGAGGTCAAGGCAAGGGTGGATTCAGCTGTAGCACCATCAGTTGGTGGCTGGGGAAAGCAAAGCCATTCATCAGAGTCCCCTTGGCTAGCAAAAAGCAGTCTCCCAGAGGAGGCTGAGACAAAATCATAAACCTGTAACACAGACTGGGGAAACATGAGACATGTATCTGCTTAATATGGCCATTTGGGAAGCACCAAAAACAAAAGGCGGAGATAAAGGGGAACAGGGGCTTTTAAAAACACTGCAATGGGTTACTGGAATGGTTAATGGAAGTTACTAGAGTGTACAGATTCTGAGGCCTCATTCACAGCATGCATTTAAAGCTCCAGGATACCACTTTACAACAGTCACAGCTCCGCAAAAATAATTCTAGGACCTGTAGTTTGTTAAGGGTGCTGAGAGTTGTTAGGAGACCCCTATACTCTCCCCCCACCCCCCACAGAGCTACAATTCCCTGGGAGGAGGGATTGATGATTAAACCACTCTGGGACCAGTTGCCTGAATTTCCTTTATACCTTCTCCCTTCCGGTTATTATCTTTATCACAGAAATTCTACCCAGCAAAGACAGTTTTAGTTTTTCCCAACTTAACATATCCTTTTTGATTTCCACCCACGTCATAACAAAATTATTTTGAAACAACATACAATTCATATTTGTCATAGTAATACCAAAATACTCTATTTTTTACCCTTTTAAATCCAGAGTCTTTTGCTCTGTTATATTCATTTTGGTTTTCTGATGGTTAACCTTAAAACCTGCTAGCATGCCAGATTCATTTATCCAAAAATCTTCCTGTCCAATCTTCTTTATTTTCCAGACCATGTGTCCTCTCTCATCACTTATAAACTATTGTCATGTCTATAGTCTGGTATTAACACAGTTCACAATGTTGGAAATTTATGTCCAGTCCTCTCGTAGTCTGTAATCCATTTTAGAAAAGGAATTTCAACATACAATTGAAATTTTGAAACAACGTACAATTCATATTTGTCATAGTAATACCAAAATACTCTATTTTTTACCCTTTTAAATCCAGAGTCTTTTGCTCTGTTATATTCATTTTGGTTTTCTGATGGTTAACCTTAAAACCTGCTAGCATGCCAGATTCATTTATCCAAAAATCTTCCTGTCCAATCTTCTTTATTTTCCAGACCATGTGTCCTCTCTCATCACTTATAAACTATTGTCATGTCTATAGTCTGGTATTAACACAGTTCACAATGTTGGAAATTTATGTCCAGTCCTCTCGTAGTCTGTAATCCATTTTAGAAAAGGAATTTCAAGCATTACACAAACATCCAGGTTTCCTTTAATAGACCTCACTTGTGATCCTTTTATTTCTTTAAACCAGATGGGGTAAGTGTTAAGTCCTTGCAGACTAATAATAATAATAATAATAATAATAATAATAATAATAATAATAAGTTCCCCTCCCCTCTTCTCTCCATTTTTAATCACGGCAGGACATTCAAATTTCATCCCTCCACCTCGATAGTCTCATTCAGATTGCAGCTCACTGTCCACATTTCCTCTGGAGGCGCCTTTAATTTTGCTCCAATATATCAAGAGGTGAAGGAGCTTTGCCTCTTGCAATGGCAGCCGTGGAGCCTGCCTCAGCGGCGCAGGGCTTGAGACCAGCAGGAGCAGCCACAAAGACGTCCACAGGTGCCTTGTCCCCCGACTGCCTTCAGGGGTTTTTAGAGGGTTTTACAACCTCAGGTAACCCCCTCCCCTCCGTCTGAGTCTGGTCCCAGAATGGGAGAGATGTCATGGCAGAGACCAGAACTGGAAACCCTACAGATCTTCAATAATGATGTCCTCTGGAAGAGAACGGAAATGAGAGACTGAATTAACAGCCTCTCTCAAGAAAGCCCTCTAAACAATACCCAAACCCAAGGGTTCAGCCACCTCAGCTTTTGTAGCTGGAGTCAGTCAGGGCCCTGCCTACTGAGGCGAAGTGAAAAAGGCCTGCAAGGCACAGCAAGAAGGCCTGGGAGGTCTTTCTTGGGCATGAACCATAACGCTACTAAGTGAAAATCCCCAAGGTGTGGAGATTCGTTTACCTTCTTCAGGAGCTGGCTGAATACGGGACCGGTGTCGTTGGGCTATTGCCTTCTGCAGAGGAAAGAGAAAGCTGGATCAGACGCCATACACGTCCCGGTCAGGGGGTCCAGGGGCATGACTAGCTGCTGCAGGAGGAACAACGCTAATTTCAGTCCTGTTATCTGCGGAGCTCCGAAGCCTGCTTGCTAAGCCATCGCCATCTTGGAACCACTAGAAATGCTTCCTCTCCTCTCTCAAGTCAGTAGCATCTTCATCAGCCCCACTAGGGTGGGTTTCCAGATGAGCCTTGGGTCATTTCCCGCAGTCTGGCTCTTTTGGGGTTTTTTTACTAGCTCCCCCCCCCCACAAATCCTATACCCTGAGCTGCCCCCCTAGCCTATTCCTGCCTTGCCCTTCCCAAAATGTTGCAGGGGGGTTTACTTCCTCTCCTGGTGTCACAGGCTCCTCCTTGGGCTGCAGCGGGGCCACTTTATTGCTCCTTTTCACCTGAAGAAAGCTCACTCGCCTGAGCCTAAAAGAGGTGATGCAGAACAGAAATACGTTTAGCCTAATAGAGAATTGCCAGCACATTCTTCCCTCTTTCTGCAGTTGAATGAACTGTAGGACTTCATAACAGCTGCAGAGAGGCAGCCAAGAGCATTCAGGGCTTGGAGAGAAAGGAGGTACCAGCTCCTGCCACTCCAGGACCAAGAGAGCCTGGCTACCCTAGTTCATGCCCTGATTGCTTCAAGACTGGATTGCTGCCATGCACTGTACGTGGGACTTCCCTTGTGCTTGGAAGCTGCAGTTAGTGCAGGACACTGCAGCGTGAGTGCTGACAGGAGCAAGGCCTTGTCAACATAAGTTGTTCACCCTTCAAAAGCATGTCTTCAATTTGGTACCTCGTCAAAGGTGCACACCTCATTCCTGCCATCTATCTGCCCTGTGCACACTACAAACACATTTGTACTACAAACAACAACAACAAACCAACAAACAGCAAACCACCAATCCTGCATTGAACATATATAATTTTCATTAAATTTTCTGTTTTGCAATTTAGAATATTCATTTAAACAACCTTAAAATAGCAATGACTTCCCTTCTTTTCTTTCCATGGTTCATTTTACATAACATAAATCCTTGCATATTTTACATAAACTAAACCATTCAGTATTTTATTATTGCATCCATCAAAACTTATTTACACTGTTGAATTTATCTTAATCCTGCCAGCTGTGCACAGTTATTTATCTTAATCCTTTCAGTTGTGCACAGTTATTTCCCATATATTCAATAAACGTTTTCCAATCTTCTTCAAACATATGTTCTTCTTGTTCTCTTACTCTGTATGTTAAGTCTGCAAGCTGCGCATATTCTGTTAACTTAAGTTGCCATTCTTCTTTGGTTGGGACCTCACTCGTTTTCCATTTTGAGGCTAACAAAACACGGGCCACTGTAGTGGCATACATAAATAACCACTTTTGACACCTGGGAATTTCAGTCTGAATTCTCCCCAACAGAAAGGACTCTTTTTTTTGGGGGGGGGGGGAGTACTTTTGAACATTTTTTCCAATTCATTATGTATCATTTCCCAATATTCTCTTACACCTTTACAAGTCAACCACATATGAAAGAATGTTTCCTCAACCTTTTTGCATCTCCAGCACTAATCTAATTCAGACTTATACATCTTAGCAAGCCTACTCGGAGTTAAATACCTTCTGTACATTATTTTCATGTAGTTCTCCTTCAAAGAATAGCTTGCTATTAACTTCAAATCACTTTTCCAGAGTTTTTCCCAGAGGTTAAAAATCGATATTGTGACCTATATCTATTGCCCAGTGTGTCATTGAGGCTTTAACAAACTCATCTTTTGTTTCCCAATCTAATAACAGATTCTACATTTTGGAGAAAAGTTTCTCTTTGTTTTTGTAATAGTTCTTTTGAATTGTGAGCTTTGGTCCAGAAAACCATTTTTTCCTATCTAATTTAAACATTTTATGTAACTGATTGGTATTGTAACCAATCCGTAACATGGCTCTGTACATTTTGAATGTGTTATAAACATGCAATGCCAGATGCCACTGGAGAGCAAATCAATTTTCTATGCAATTTGTACATGGCGATTTTTTCTTTTCTTACAACGATTTAATTTCTTATCTATAGTGGGGGTTTTCCTGTGTGTAGATCCATCCCTGGTCTCGCATTCTGCACTAATTTCTGCTTCTGGATCAAGCACAAGGGAAGCCCCATATAGATTGCATGGCAGTAGTCCAGTCCTAATGAGTTGTAATGGGGTTTTTTTGGGGGGGGGGATTGTGATTTTATTAATTTCTTGTAACCAACCTTGGAAGGATTTATATCCTGAAAGGCGTGGTGATGGTGATGGAAGATAAATGAGAGAAGGCAGGATGGCAGCTGAACTTGCATCCTTCTAATTAAAAGGTTTTTGATTGTGATGGATGGAAAATAGTTGGCCATTTCATAGCGATGCCTCTTATCAGAAAGGTGCCGGGAGGAAGATCTGTTCATGTTCTATCAGCAGTGCTGCAGCTTCCGAGACAGAAAAATTTGCCATGCCATATGTATAATCAAATGTGGCATCTGCCTCTGTGTGTGTGTAGCTGGCTCACCTCAGCAAGAGAGAGGAAAGGCATATTGTATTCTTCTCGTTATACAAGTCTCAGTGTTTTCTAATGTCATCCATTCCTTCAGCCAAACTACGCAGGACGCCTCTTAATATAAATTCATATCTGGCAAGGCGAAACCGCCTCTTTCTTTTTTGTCTATTAATATTTTCAATTTAATCCTCGGTTTTTCCCCTTGCCAGACGAATTTCAATAATGATTTTTGCCAATCTCTGAGTTGTCCTGTCCCTTCAATTACCGGAATTGTTTGGAATAGGAATAACATTCTAGGTAAGATATTCATCTTTATCACTGATATTCTACCCAGGAATGACAGTTTCAATCTACTCCATTTATATAGATCTTTCTTAATTTCCTTCCATGTATTCTCATAATTATCTTTAAACAAATTAATATTTTTTGATGTCAACCAGATTCCCAGATATTTCACTTTTTTTGGCCACCATAATACCTGAGGATGTTTGTAGTTCTTTTATTTCTTCTTTTATCATATTCTTTACTAACATTTTTGTTTTAGTTTTATTAAGTTTAAACCCAGATACTTTCCAAAATCTTCCACATTCTTTAAAGCCACTTTAATACTATTTTTTTGGATCTTCCAGGGTTAAAACTAGATCATCTGCGAAAGCTTTCATTTTGTACTCCTTTGTTCCTCCTTTATACTTCTCATTTCTGACACTTCTCTCAAGTTCTTATTCAATACCGCCAAAACCATAATAAACAAGGGTGACAAAGGACACCCCGTCTAGTGCCCTTAGAGATCTCAAAATTGTCAGACAAGTTATTATTAATAATCAATTTTGCTTTTTGTTCTGAATATATAGTGTCTGCTAATACCTTTCAAGAAATTTTCTCCAATCTTAAGTCCATTCACGTTCCATGACAATAATTTCAAGGCCATTGTCCAATTAATATAAGTCTCGCTTAAATTTAGGGGTCCTTATTATTATCCTCTTCCTCTTTTTCTTCTTCCTCCTCTTGTTCCTCTTCCTCTTCTTTTCTTCCTCCTTCTGGTCTCGTCCTGGTCTGGCCTTCTCTATCTTCCCTAGTTCATTATCATATCTTCTGGAGAACTTCTCTAAGTCCTGAAGACTACATAATTTGAATCTTTTGTCTTTGTAATAAAAGGAGATTCCCTCCGGAATCTCCCATCTGTACTGGATCCCATTTTTCTTCAACAGGCCAACTAGTTGTTTATAAATGTCTCTTTTTCAAAGGAATCTAGATGGAATCTCTTTAAATATGATAATTGTCTTACCTTCAATACATAAATTTTTGTTATAATTCAGTCTCAAAATTTCATTCCTTATATCCATTGAATTAAACATAACCAGGACATCTCCTGGTTATTTCACCTTTGCTTTTGCAGATTTTACTTTTATTCTAAAAACATTTACAATTGTAAGTCTTATATCTTCTTCTTTTAGGTCCATCCAAATCGCTAATTCTTTTTTTATGTTGGCTCCATCTCTTCTTGCATTTTATTAATTTCTATGACCTCTCCTCTAACCCGTTCTGTCTCCCTCTTTGTCTCCTTCAATTCTTTCTTTGTGCGTTTCACTGAGTCTTCCACAGCCTTGGATCTAACTGCAAGGTCTTTTACTTTGCCTGACAATTCCCCCCCCCCCGCCGACTGCTTCTAGTTTTTTATCTAATTTTCCTGTACCTCCAATAATTTTTTCTCCATATATTGTTCATTCTGTTTAAATTCTTTCCTTATTTCCACCATTAAACTTTCATAGTCTCCGATCTCCTTCCCCTCCTTCCCATTCTCCTGCCTAGAGGGAAGTCTTTCCCCTGGGGTGCCTATTCCCTTTTCCTCATTTTCCCCAGACATTATGTTTATTTTGCCCCAAAATACTGTTTGGGTCTCAAATTGTCCTGTGTAATTTTTTGACAATCTCCAGGGGTCGTAAGTCCAAGCTTTCTATTATTAGGTCAAATTCCCTCCCGTCCCACACGATGGCAGCAAACACAGAAATGACCTTTCCTTCAGTACAGTTACTTTCGTTTTCTTTGTCTATTACACCGTCGCGTCCAAAGAAAGCCCACAGGAAACAAAGAGCAGAAAAACCAAACTACTGTATATGAGGAATAATAATAATAACAGTAATAATAAATAAGAATAATAAATTTTATTTATACCCCACCCTCCCCAGTCAAGGCCGGGCTCAGGGCGGCGAACAGCCAATAATAAAAACAAGTTAAATGAATACAACTGAAAAAACAAGATATAAATACATTAAAACATTAAAAGGAAGCTATTTGTAATCCAATATGCATTCTTCTTGTTCTGCCGCTTGTTGGCTTAATCCACTGGTGACCTCTGAAAAGCGCCACAAACTCCAGCAACAATAACGAACAGGGTTTCCAATGTCTTCCTCCTCACGAAACAATGCTGGCAAGGGGGTGAATTTTATAAGTCCCAGCGCCAAAATCTTCTCCAACACTGTCTTAAATCACCCAACAAAGTCTGCTTATCGGCTTAGTCCACTGGAAGCCTCAAGAAAACGCCACGTACTCCAAAAGTAATCAGGAATGGGCTTTCCGGTGTCTTCCTCCTCACGAAGTAATTCCTTGCTCCTCCTGCAACCTTCTGCCATATGCCATCTTCTCCTAGCTGCCGGGACGGACTCCCTTCCTGCGCCCCGAAGAGCAGGAGAGCACGACCGGGCACCGCCGGGTGCCAAATCCCCCAAGATAACTTCTTGAGGTTCCAAGGTCCGCGTAGCCTTCACTGAACCTCTAAAAAGCCCCCGCGTTGCTTGAGATTCCATGGCGGGCTATCCCGTGCTTTTTTCAATGGCCGCGGCTCTGCCAGAAGTTCCCTGAAGCTCATTCAATATCTTCGACAATGATGTCCTCTGGAGGAGAATGAAAAAGAGAGACTGAATTAACAGCCTCTCTCAACTAATCCTGCCAAACAATACCCAAACCCAAGGGTCCAGCCACCTCAGCTTTTGTAGCTGGAGTCAGTCAGGGCCCTGCCTACTGAGGCGAAGTGAAAAAGGCCTGCAAGGCACAGCAAGAAGGCCTGGGCGATCTTTCTCAGGAATGATCCATAACACTACTAAGTGAAAAGTCCCCAAGGTGTGGAGATTCGTTTACCTTCCTTAGGTGCTGGCCGAACACGGGACTGGTGTCGGGCCATTGCCTTCTGCAGAGGAAAGAGAAAGCTGGATGAGACGCCTTTTGTGACACTACAAAACCCACCATTGACGGGTGCAAGGGAGCCCACAAGCAGGCCCAAGCCAGGAAAGACTGGCCTCCCTCAGGCTTGGGCCCTATCCCTTGCCCCAGAGGACCTCCATGGGCCCTGCAGCCTCCTGGGCAGAGGTGGAAGGGCAGCACCAGGGAAGAGGGCAGGACATGCCTCTGGCATCATCCTGACACCCCAGGGACACACGCCACTGCAGAATTGGGGGCAAAGACCACAGTCAGTGGGCAGAGGGTCTGGGGGATC